CACTTCCATTTCCCTCTTCTGTTTACCCTCCATCAGTTTTTAATAACACCCTCTTTCTTATTCCACACTCTCCTCTAAACGCTCCCTTTCTTTCCTCTTTCATCTCCTCTTTGTTTCCTCCTCATCCTCTCACCCTTTTATTTTCTCTTCGGTGTGTCGACGGCTGACTTTCATCTTCAGACTCACATGTCTCTGCATCCTCATGCTCTCTATCGTTTGTCTCTGGCGTCCTGCAGAGAGACGCTTTTCTTTATTAAATTACCCAGCAGGCGTGTGGGCCTGAATACCTGCACATACAGATATACACACAGTGACAACCAATCATTGCAGGAAGAATATATGTTATTTAAAACTATAATATGTGATATTTCTGTATTTAAATGCCTATAAACACCAGACCTGTTTTATATATGTTGTTGATGGGATGTTGGGATGGAGAGAGGATGAAGCCCACAGAATAAGCAAGTGAGAGCTGTCCCAGCTAAACAACAAGAACTCAAATTAAATCTATAATCATTAAACAGTTTATAAACTCTACAGCTTGTTCTATATGTATTTGATTCAATCAATAATCTATAATCAATGGCGTCATATCCCCTTTGTGCCTGCGTCAGTGTTGTGGTTGTCTGCCAGAAGCTGTCATACATTGACTGTTGATCCAGTCTGAAGCCACATTGTTACCATCCACTGTTTAGATCTTGTGGGGGGGGGGGTAAACACTGAAGGAATCCTAACCGAGAGAAGTAATGACGGCAATGGTGGTGAAGACAACAACTCCCATGATCCCATGCTGCTTCACCACCTCATCCAACTTCCTGTATTGTTATTGTTGTATTGATGTGAGAAAAATAACATATTGTACGTTCAAGTAAAAGTATTAATTACATAGTTTAGAATTACATTGTTATGTTTAAAGTTCTGCATTTAAAATATTACTTAAAGTTTTGTCATCAAAAAGTACCAAAAACAAAAGTAGACGTTATGCAGAATAATCCAATAGTTTAATTTATAATAACATATCATAATTCATTAGTTGATTATATTTTGTATTATTAATTTGCAGAGTCGTAAAGTATAAATTAATAAATATAGTGGTGTAAAAAGTGCAATATTTGCCTCCAAAATGTGGAAAAGTAGAAGCATAAAGAACCATAAAATTGTAGTTAAATGCTTCTTTCCACCACTGCAACCGTGTATCTGTGGAAGAATGTGACAGAAACATTATTATCTTCATGTGTTCACAGACTGCACATGCACCCACCTGATGGTACGATACTCCCCCCTGGTGGACAGGAACTGACACAGCACGTAAACACCAGAAATACTCTGATCCTTCAGTACAAGCACACGAGTATCGTCGGCTTCATGTAGTTAAAGTATCAGCACTACCATAAAGTGTGTGACTGAGATCTGTGTGACATTATTAGACTGGTAATCAATGTTATTCAATAATCAGTGTTAGGTCTACTTTGAACTACTTTATATACAGTTTAGTCCACTGGTTCCCAACCTATGGGCCGGGGCCTCCAGAGGGGTCGTTGATGAAGTTTTTATGTTTCAGACGGAAACAACAGTGAAATATGAAACCTGCTGTTTTTGTACTTTCTGATTAATTAAAGTGTGTTTTAATGGAGATAATCAGCGATCTGGATCTTAATGAGCAGAGTGATTACAACGAGCAGCTCAACGTGTTCGGCATCTCAATCAGTGACTCAGAAACCTAATCAACTCAAAACACTGTTGAAACTGAATATTTAAGTAAAACTAACTTAATTTTTCTTGATCAAATAACTTTAGTGACACTTTAATTAAGTTTTATTTGTACTGTAAAAACAGAATTACTAGTAAAAGATTCTTAATCAATAATGTTTTTATCTGTAAAACCAGATACATTTATTTAACTCAGTTGAAACTGATTCCATTAAACATTTTAAGTAAAACCAACTTAATTTTGTAAGTTAGAAAAAATACATTTTTAAACAAATAACTTATACTTATATAGTATATAATTTTGAGTGTCTGACTTAATTTTGTCATTTCTATTTGTGTTGTGAAAACAAAATACCTAATAAAAAGTTATTAATCAAGACTTTGTGTTAAATGTTCAATGTAATCCTTTTTTAGTTCTATTGACTTATCAAATTTAAGTTTTTGTAAAACTGATATTATCTTATGAACGTTGCCGACTAAATACTTTGATCTGGTGGTTAAATATAATAATAAATATTTAAATACACCTTAATGAAGTTGAGTTCCTCTCTTTCATTGAACTAACTTCTGTTCCAACAATCACCAACTCTCAGCTGTTTCCATTAAGGATCCCAAACGGTGAGCAGACAGACTCCTGATGGCTTCCTGTGTCTGATGTGAGTTCAGTATCTGTCTCACATCAGAGAGCAGATTCAGCTTTACGTCAGCCGCTGACTGAGAGCTGCGACACTACGTCAGGAAGGTCGGACCGTTTGGATCAGAGCTCCATAAAAACTTTGTAATTGATCAGATGAAGCCGACTGGTCTTGTTAAAGAATGACTTAAAGTACAAACTGTATAAAAATCAGAGTATAAAGTGGCTGTGAGTCAGAGTTTCATTCTCTTATGAACTTTATACACTTTATAAAATACACCTGGCAGAGGTCTGAGGGGTGCCCGGCCCCTAGAATCTGATTGGCCGCCCCTGGTGGTAAACTATAAATATATATGTTTGTACACATGTTGTTCTACAGTTAGAATAATGAGTGTCTGCTGCCCTCAGGTGGCCACAGCGAGGAACTACAGCACTACGTTTTATACATTAATAATGATGATCAACACATAAATTATAAATAATCAAATAAATAAAACACACTTCCTGTTTCATTTAACTAACCGATCCTGTTTCCAGATGTTGTGATTAAATATCAAACATATAGTGTTGGAAAGTAACTGAGTACATTTACTCAAGTACTTGTAATTTACTTGAGTTTTTAAACTTCCATCCAGAACATCTCAGAGGGAAATATTATACTTTTATCCAACAGCTTTACTTTGAAAATGAAGATTTTTACACACAAACAGATTATTTCTTATTAAAATATGATGTTTTGTAATCAATTAAATAGTTTATAGAGCTGGAACCATTGGTCAATAATATCTAATATTATAGATGTTTGTTTGTAACTTTATTAAACTTCTTTAAGTTATAAACAGTAACATTAATGGATGTTAATCATACCGAACAATAAATCCATACAAGCAGCATTTATTAACAGAAAATAGACGAAAATAAAACACAAACAAATAACTAAAACAAGATAAACAAACAAACACAAGTTAAATATAAATTAAATATAAATTAAATTAAATTATAAGTCTTTTCCAGCTGATTTAAAGAGTCACAAAGCTCGGAGTAATGTACCTGTGTCACAGCAGCGGGTTTTCCGAGGGGTACTTCAACGCACCATAGATCCCAGTTTGTCCTGATTCCAGCGAACACATCACGTTCCCGCCGTCGTTATTAAGTTATTAATTAGTCACATTTCACTTCCTGTTTACAGAAACTAAAAGCCGCGTTTAAAGACGGCCGGAGACCGTGTTTACATCCGCGATGCGTTCACGTTCAGAGACCATGTTTGAATGAGAGCTTCACTTTTTCTCCGCTTCCGGAAGAAGACCCAAACGCCGCAGCCGCTGGCGGGAAAAAAAGAGGTGTCGCCCTCTGGAGGCCGACGGGAAGATTACAGACAATAAATTATATTTAAAACTATATTTTATTAGGTTATCTTTAGGATATGACAGACACATTCATTTACATTAAAAACACAAATAAATAAGTTAAATTATATAATAAATAAAATCTAAAAACAAAAGGGGATTACTAAAAATAAATACAAATATTTTACAATATTATAAAGTTAATAATTTATTCAATCTACAGCGATAACAAACGTATAATAATTTAATATCAGCGTTACAAAATGTGACAATATTAAACTTCTGGTGGATTCATTTAATATTCACAGTTATTTTGTCAATAGATTTAAAATGCACAACCTTTAATAATAATAATAATAATAATAATAATAATAATGATAGTGTGAGTTTTTAAAGGAAACATTTCACAGTGAGAACAGTTGTTATGTTATTGAGGTTATAATTACAGATAAATGTTATGTAATACAGGAACCAGAGAGCAAAAGGACAGACTGAAGGAAATGTGATGGGAATGCTTTAATTACAGCTTTATAACAGCTGAGACACTTCACCCACCAAACTCCATTCATAAAAAGGTCATTTTTATATTTCCTTTCTTATTACAGCCTCCACTTTCTGACTGTTATTTATTTAGTAAGGCTATAAAATACCTTTTTATGGCTTTATTTTGTTTAACATAATGTATACAGTATTATATTTAATTTATATTATGTATTGTTTTTGTACTTAAAGCATCGTGTCACTAAAGTATTTATTCGATCTCATCAATATGGACTCGAGCTGAAATGAATCGATGAGTTGATCCACAGAAAGTTAAAGTGTTTTGAAACTTGATGAATTATTTTGCTAATGGAACTTATAGTGGGGAAGTTTTCACTGTTTTGAGAAAAGACTAATTGATTATGAAGATTTGGGCTTCACAGTTAATGTAAATATTATTGCAATAGTTTGTTACTGAAGGTAAAATGTGTGACTAACACATTCTAATAAAGTAATGCTGCTTATATCTTATTTTCCACATGTAAGAAAACATGTTTGTTTGGTACGAGCTCCCAAAACTATCCCATAAATCATGCCTCGTAATATCTGTTAAAATAATAATCAATAGAATATGTTTACTGTACGCTGGAGTCCTGATATGGATCAATAATCAGGAACAAAGTCCTTCCTAAAAACAGTTTTATTATTGTGAGATATTAAAGATCTGAATGTGATCCCTGCAGTGTGTTGTTGTTGTTGTTGTTGTTGTTGTTTGTCGGGGCTTTGTTTGTGTGTCCCCCTGCTGGCCGCCGGCTGCAGTGCGGGCCGGCGGCCAGCAGGGGCGCTGTTGTCACTTTGCATACCCATAAGCGGGGGAGTGAGAGGTGCATGAAATGGAGAAAAATGGCGGATCATGTGCAGGTAAGCAGAGGTTTCATGTTTTTGTAGCGGACAGTTGGTCCAGGGGCGCAGTGCGGAGCTCGGAGGCGCATTGTGGAGCCGTGTGGGCGGGCTCGGAGGCTGTGTGCGGCCGCTGCGGGCCGGAGGCGGCGGGGCTCGGGCCGCCGGCGGGGAAAGAACCGATGCGGCCGCTGCTCGGTTGTGGCCTGCTGTCACTGCCCGGGCTGCACGGTTAGCTCGGGGTAGCACAGGGGCAGAGTGTAGCCTCCGCAGGGGCAGCAGGAGCCGGGGAGGCTGCGGGGTTGAGCCCGCACTGTCGCTGCCGTCGGGCCCCGCAGCGGGAGCAGCTCCTGCGGGATTAACGCGGGTTTTATCGGGGAAGTAAACACGGACGCGTTAGCCGCGGACGGGTAGCTGTCAGGCTAACGCGGACGGGTTCAGGCTCCGTTTGGCGCCAACGTGAACCAGAATATAAACAGAACTTACGCCGCGAACTTGCAGTCTGACTCGTTGTTGAACACTCTGACTTTATAAAGTTTAATTATTTAATCTGCGGCGCTGCTGCTGCTAATGCTAGCCGAGCCCTTAGCACGCTACGCTAACGTTAGCTAGCTTCAGCCCCAGACGTGAACTTCTCCCGCCCGAGTCCAACAGCTCGGTTCCGCTGTCGGTCTCTGACAGCGGGTCCATGCCGGCGGCTGCAGCCTCCATGTTGGATGTTGTGAACGTTGAACGGAGGCCGGAGAGGATTTTACAACCGCGTTGTTTATGTGCGACACCCAGCAGGGCTGTGTGTGGAGCTAGCTGCTGGATGCTAACGTTAGCTGCCGCTGTGAATGGACACATGTTCGGGACACACAGAACCACGGTCTCCTTTATTGGACTTTTATTACTTTTATTCATGTATTTGGTCTAAGTGCAGTCCTGTCACACAGCCTGATGATGATTCTAATAATAATGAGTTTTTAATCAGTTAACAGCTCAAACTCTTCACCCACCAAACTCCATTCATAAAAAGGTCATTTCTGTATTTACTTTCTTATCGCAGCCTCCACTTACTGACTGTTATTGTGTACCCGGTAGACCTATTTAATACATCTGTATTGTTTATTTTACATATTGACTATGTTCATAATGTTTTTACAGAATCACTTTTATTGGACACATACGAGGAATTAATTTTATGGTATTTATCAATATATTTTGTCCAAATGCACTTCTGTCACACAACCTTTAATAATAATAATAATAATGTGAGTTTTTAAAGGAAACATTTCACAGTGAGAACAGTTGTTATGTTATTGAGGTTATAATTACAGATAAATGTTATGTAATACAGGAACCAGAGAGCAAAAGGACAGACTGAAGGAAATGTGATGGGAATGCTTTAATTACAGCTTTATAACAGCTGAGACACTTCACCCACCAAACTCCATTCATAAAAAGGTCGTTTTTATATTTCCTTTCTTATTGCAGCCTCCACTTACGGACTGTTATTGTTCACTCTTTGTAGTTGTTGTTTAAGTTGGTTGTATTTAGTCGGGCTTTAAAATACCAGCTGTGTGTTCACATACAGTGAATTTGAGGCAGGTGGATGTGACTGTATATTCAGTGTGAACCGTATAATGTCTATTTAGTGATGATATTTAGGTGTTTTTAAAATAAAACTGAGTTTCCTTACTGTAAATCAGTAATATACAGATGCATCAGTTGAAGTTTAGCTGCCAGGTCTTTGTATACTGCTTACATCTGCCCCAATGACCCCGCTGCCCCCCCTCCATAACCCCGCTGCCCCCCCTCCATAATGCTTTTTACTGTACGGTGCAGACGTTGCCAATCAGGTCACATTAAGTAAAATATGGTATATTTCAGTAATGAAGCACAACTTGTCTGCTTTATAACTTAAGTGTTTTGCACCTGTATCTGGTATCAGGTCCGATACTGTCAACCAGTCCTGGAAACACCTGGAAATGGATTTAAATAACCAGAAATCCTGGAAATAATCTGAGTTGTCCTTTAAATGTTTATTGTATTTCAGTTTGTGCTGTGGCCAAATTAATGTTACGGTTAAAGGACAGCTGTAGTCAGTCGTCCTTTATTGTTTTATTGTGAAGAAAACATCCTGGAAAGGTCCTGGAAAAAAGGTCCTGGAAAGTGATTGTAGATTGTGTAAAACAGCATAGCTTAATAAAAGAGGTTTACTTAAAAGAATCCTCCAGAAGAGTTACAGAACTGAGCTACAATGCTTCAGGTTTTCTTTTATTTCAGTTTATAAGCATCCAAATAATCCTAATAATCCCCAAAGTGTAAAGATGTCTCCAGTAAACTTCAGTAGAACTTCAGTAGAACTTCAGATGAACTGAACCCAACAGCTTTATAATGTCGCTGTTATGACGTAATGACCTCCTCCTTCTATAGTTTCCTTTCTGTGGGCGCGGTGGCGAGGGATTCTGACCATCAGTAACTGTATTTAAACAGCTGTCAGGCCCGAGTGAGGCGGTGGTTCTGGTTCTGGTTCTGACAGCAGTGGAGGTCGAACTGGAGCAGCCGCACTGACATTGAGTTCCTCTGGATCGGATCCAGACCGGCTGCTTTATATTTGTCACCTGAGCTCCAGAGAAAGGAGCGTGATCCGATTGTAAAAGATATTCTTCAGTAAGGTCGTCGGTTCTTATGATATTGAACATCACAGGATGAAGGATGACGCTGGTTGATCGTCGATTGATCTGCACATTATTTCCTGTTAGTAGATAAATCTGTAGAGTCGGAGGCCCAAAGTAATCAGATTACTGTGACAGAAAACACAGAAAACCAACAGATTGTGACGTTTGAGAACCGGAACAGCTGCTCTACAAATAACGATTAATCAATAATTCAAATAATCGCTGATTAATCTTCTGTCAGTCGACTAATTAATTAATTGGTTCCTCTTCATCTTTAACAGGTTTTATGTGACTGAGCTGTCACACACTGAGGGACTGCTTTATTAATCGATTTATTGATTTCACTCAGTGTTAATAACAAATATTCTCAGACGTTAGAGCTGAGAGTCTCATCAATAAGTCCATAAAATAATAAATAATAATAATTCAGTTCAGAGTTACATTCAAATAATTAATTAATGTGATTTCCAAAAGGTCCAGAATATAAAATATAAGGAACCGTAATGTAAAGTGTCTGTGTTCACATGAGCACTATTATTCTGAATATGACCATATTTAATGTTTAATAATGTCATAAATCAGGTAAACATTATATTCTGTTCTCATACGTTCAATAGTTTAACTTTAAAACTGTCAGACTGTCGGTGAACCGTCGATCATACAGGAGACGTCTCAGCTCATCTATAGAGACAGTAAACTATATAGTGGTTATATCTGTGCTTATTGCATCAGAATCAGCTCATATGTTATCTGATACTCACAATATTGTGTTAACTCTTTACATTAAATCTGTTTCCTGTTAAAAGGACCTCAGACTGTAGAGAAATTGAATGAAAATGTATTATTATTATAAATGAATCACAGCCAATCAATGATCAGCCCATAGTAATAAATCATAATTAAATTACTATTCAAAACCATTGATCGTTCATTCATTCCATTGATATTTGGTCATTTTAATCAGACTGATTAATCTGTTGTTACAACAAACAGCTCCGACTCTAAAGTTCATTTATTTCTTCTATAAACTTCAGACTGTGGCTTTAATATCACTGTGACAGTAAAACTTTGATATGTATTTATGCTGCATTTTAAAGGAAGTTATATTAATATTAATTTTATAGGATATAACGTGGAAAAACGCTCCTTCCTCTTCTCTGCGCTCAACTTTGGGAATTAAATCTCTTGAGTTGGCTCATATTTGTCTGTAACTGTTGATATTTGTGTATAAATAAACAGTTGCAGTAGCCCCGCCCTCTTTAATATCTCGCCCTGATGCGGCGTTATCGCGGCGCCTTACTGGAGTATTTACAGGCTGATCTGGTGCAGCAGACGTCAACGGGAGGCGGGAGGCGGGCCGGGTTCGGTGCTGAGGTCTTATCTGAGGCTGGCAGAGGTTCACACACAGGATGTAACGTCATACCTGCTGCAGACCACGCTGCCCCTCACCTGTTCTCACACACACACACTAATGTGAACCAGAGGACCCCCCCGGCCTCCTCCACTACACCTCCTCTGATCTCGTCCTTTAACCACTGACTGTGGATGACTCAGCACTTTTCCTGCCTGCCACACTAGTGAACCTGATGTCATTAAATGTCTCACAGTCGGCCCCGAATGGGAAATATCTCCAAACACTTGCAGTGAATGTAGCCCCCAGTTATTCTCCCCATGGATTTAATGTGCTCGGTTCATCAGTTTTAATCAGATAGTTAAATATACAGTGAAAGTGCTCACTGTTGTTGCACTGCGGGCACAAACATCCAGAAACAAACGTTTCTTGTTTTGTTTTGACGCATTTTTGTTGTTTTTTTAGCGGCTAGCATCACGCTAACACTTTGTACTTCCTGTGACTGGCTTACTTCAAAATAAAAGTCCATTTGTGTGTAGCCTTCAGTTAATAATATTCAGTTAATGGTGCAGCCCTTTGTTTCTTTTATAATATAGTTTGACCGTCATTGGAATTGCTGATGTTAAGCTAGCTCGAGCTAACGTTAGACTACAGGAAAGGTTGGTCGGTCGGGTTTAGACCCGAAGTCGTCAGTGTGTGAATGAGTGAGTGTCTGTAAGTTCAGTCTGTTTATCTCACAGCCTGTTCACAGTTTACCAACATACCGGCATTAATAAAAGGAACTGATTGATTGGACAGTTTGATTCCTGATTACTTCAGTCTTTACTTTAGTCTTCAGTCTTTACTTCAGTCTTTAGTCTTTACTTCAGTCTTTAGTCTTTACTTCAGTCTTTAGTCTTTACTTCAGTCTTTAGTCTTTACTTTAGTCTTTAGTCTTTACTTTAGTCTTTAGTCTTTACTTTAGTCTTTACTTTAGTCTTTAGTCTTTACTTCAGTCTTTAGTCTTTACTTCAGTCTTTAGTCTTTACTTTAGTCTTTACTTTAGTCTTTAGTCTTTACTTCAGTCTTTAGTCTTTACTTCAGTCTTTAGTCTTTACTTTAGTCTTCAGTCTTTACTTCAGTCTTCAGTCTTTACTTCAGTCTTTAGTCTTTACTTCAGTCTTTAGTCTTTACTTCAGTCTTTAGTCTTTACTTCAGTCTTTAGTCTTTACTTTAGTCTTTACTTTAGTCTTTAGTCTTTACTTTAGTCTTCAGTCTTTACTTCAGTCTTTACTTCAGTCTTCAGTCTTTAGTCTTTAGTCTTTACTTTAGTCTTTAGTCTTAACTTCAGTCTTCAGTCTTTACTTCAGTCTTCAGTCTTTACTTCAGTCTTTACTTTAGTCTTCAGTCTTCACTTCAGTCTTTACTTCAGTCTTTACTTTAGTCTTCAGTCTTTACTTCAGTCTTAACTTCAGTCTTCAGTCTTTACTTCAGTCTTCAGTCTTCACTTCAGTCTTTACTTCAGTCTTCAGTCTTTACTTCAGTCTTAACTTCAGTCTTCAGTCTTTACTTCAGTCTTCAGTCTTTACTTCAGTCTTAACTTCAGTCTTCAGTCTTTACTCACTTCAGTCTTTACTTTAGTCTTCAGTCTTCACTTCAGTCTTTACTTCAGTCTTTACTTTAGTCTTCAGTCTTTACTTCAGTCTTCAGTCTTCACTTCAGTCTTTACTTCAGTCTTCAGTCTTTACTTTAGTCTTCAGTCTTTACTTCAGTCTTCAGTCTTTACTTTAGTCTTCAGTCTTTACTTCAGTCTTCAGTCTTTATTTTAGTCTTCAGTCTTTACTTTAGTCTTTACTTTAGTCTTCAGTCTTTATTTCAGTCTTCAGTCTTTACTTTAGTCTTCAGTCTTCACTTCAGTCTTCACTTCAGTCTTTACTTCAGTCTTCAGTCTTTACTTCAGTCTTCAGTTAGTCTTTACTTACTCAGTCTTCAGTCTTTACTTTAGTCTTTACTTTAGTCTTCAGTCTTTACTTCAGTCTTCAGTCTTTACTTTAGTCTTCAGTCTTCACTTCAGTCTTCACTTCAGTCTTCACTTCAGTCTTTACTTCAGTCTTCAGTCTTTATTTCAGTCTTCAGTCTTTACTTCAGGCTGTATCAGAGGTATTTCCAGTATCAGGATTCAAACAGGTTCAGTGTCTTGTTTTATTATATAAGCAGAAGAAAAGTGAGCGAGTGGATCAAACAGTTGATTGATTATTGGTCTTCCGCTCTGCTGCAGGTTCACTGTCTGCTATGTTTGTGGGATGTTTCAGCGTTTTCTGTTCTCGTGCGATTGTTTCTTCTCCTACAATCATGAAAGTTGTGGTTTTCTTGCATCAGTCTGTCGGTCGCTGATAAGCCTCGTGTCTTCCACCTCTCTGTGTTTTATCAGGGCCTTGCCCAGCTGGAGATCCTGTGTAAGCAGCTGTACGAGACCACCGACACCGCCGTCCGACACCAGGCAGAGAAAGCTCTGGTTGAGTTCACCAACAGCCCCGACTGTCTCAGCAAATGTCAGCTCCTGCTGGAGAGAGGCAGCGTGAGTAGTCTCTGTTCATCAGGCACAAAACACTGTAAACACCCCATAATATTGTACTGTAAACACCCTATAATACTGTACTGTAAACACTGTAAACACCCCATAATACTGTACTGTAAACATCCCATAATACTGTACTGTAAACACCCCATAATACTGTACTGTAAACACTGTAAACACCCCATAATACTGTACTGTAAACACTGTAAACATCCCATAATACTGTACTGTAAACACTGTAATAACCCCATAATACTGTACTGTAAACATCCCATAATACTGTAGTGTAAACACTGTAAACACCCCATAATACTGTAGATATCATCATGAAATCAGATTATATATTATATTAATGTTTAAACTACAACAGTGTTATAAACTATCTTAAAGTCACTACAGAGGTATAATTAGTAGTAAAGTAAGATATTTCTACAGATGCTCAATAATTATCAGGTAAATATGATCAATTATCGGCTGATTATTATAAAGGAGCAAGATAATTCAATTCTAGCAGATAAATTATCAGTTGATATTAATAAGAATTTATTTTGAATTCTTCTGCCAAACAACAGATAAACTTTATGTTCTGTTAAAGTCTGTTTGGGAAGTTTTTATGAATTCAGGAGTAAATTTAATATAAAAGCAGGTTTTTATTGCTTCATATGAATATAAATCAGAAACAACATTTCTTCCTTTTCAAAACTAAATAATTTAAATTAGTTAATGTATAACACTAAAACTATCTTTCTCCAGTGAGTTCCAGCAGTTGTTTCAGCTGTTTGAATATCTATGGCAGTTTATGAAGGATTCACACTAACAGGATATTAAAATCTAAAAGTACATAAAGCACCAAACACAACGTTTTTTACTAACATTGTATTTGTGCTCTCTCGCCACAGTCCTCATATTCTCAGCTGCTTGCGGCCACCTGTTTGTCTAAACTGGTGTCTCGAACCAGCAACCCTCTACCGCTCGAGCAACGCATCGACATCCGTGAGTACGCCTCCACCTTTCAGCCCGACCTCCGGGTCCTCAGCCCGACCTCCGGGTCCTCAGCCAGCTTCTGTCACTGAAAGTTTAGTTTCTTTCCCTTAAAGAGAAGCTTTTAGAGTCACTCTGTTCAAATGTTCCAGCCTGGTTAAACTGTGATCATCACACAGTTTATTCAACTGTTCCCAGTGTCGGTATCAGCAGTCCCCCCTCTTCACCCTTTAATCTGCCTCAATACAGCCGTATGAGTTCAAAATAAACAGATGTTTCTACAATTTAAATTTTTATAAACTTTTTTAAAACACGAGTAACATGAGGCAAAGATTGATCCTTTATGATTCATATAACTCAGACTGTCGGTTTGTCTGCAAGACGACGAGCAAACAACTTCTAAAACGCTCGTTTTCTGAATGGAGTTTGGTTGATGAGGGCTTACGTAGTAAACTTCCTTTTCCCCGAGCGATCTGGTTTTCTGTCCGCTCGCTGTTTAAATATGCAACAGACAGGTTGAGAAGAGATAAAACTACATTAGCAAGAGAAAATAAGTTTTCAGGAAGTGTTTCAGGCCTGTTGTTCCCTCTCATGAAACGGTTGTTGTCTCTGTGATGTTTAGGGAACTATGTGCTGAATTATTTGGCCACGCGGCCGAAGTTAGCAGCGTTTGTGACCCAGGCCTTGATCCAGCTGTACGCCAGGATCACCAAACTGGGCTGGTTCGACTGTCAGAAAGATGACTACGTCTTCAGAAACGTCATCGCAGATGTGACGCGCTTTCTACAGGTGTGTGTTTAACCGCGTGGTCCGAACCCTGCGGCACTAGCAGTGTGTGTCTGACCGTGTGTAACTGACGTGTTTGTGGTGCGTTCACAGGATAGCGTTGAACACTGCATCATCGGCGTCACCATCCTGTCCCAGCTTACCAATGAGATCAATCAGGTAGGTCGTCGTCGTCCCTTCAGCCTCCGTTTCTTCCCTCCGTGCTGAAGATGTTTAACGTGCTCTGTTTCCTCCTCAGGCCGACACGACGCATCCTCTGACCAAACATAGGAAGATAGCATCGTCATTCAGAGATTCCTCCCTCTTCGACATTTTCACTCTTTCCTGCAACCTCCTCAAACAGGTAAGTCTGTTTTTATAGAGTAAAACAGGAAGAGGAAGATAAAGTTCTGTTCATTATAAAACAGTATAACTGCCTTCAGTTTATTTCCAACACACTGCAGCTTTACGGAGAGTAAACAAATCAGACTTTAGCCCCCGATGTCGCATATTTACACATCAAAGAACTGGGCCGGTTGCTTCCTTTTAAATTTCAAAATAAAAGCATCTTTGGCTATAACTCATGAAATGATGTTTTCCTTTCTGTTGATAGTGACACTGAATTACTACTATTAACAGGTTTCACATGTATCAGCAGTTCCCAACCAGGGGGAATGTAGAAAGATTGTGGAATAAAGAAATTACAATTTAATATTAAATACATTTATTGAATAAATATTGAATCAGCTGGTCTAAAGTTCATTAAAAGTGATGGATATAAGGTCAAGTAACCGATTAATTGTTGAAAAAAATCGGCTAAAATGTATAAATGATGGCAAAAAATAATCAATCGTTAGCTTTTGAGAGATAATGTTAGATAGCTAGCTAATTTACATCGATTATTAGCTAGTGAGTTTGCACATAGCGCATCTAAGGAGGAAGTTCAGAGCTTATGACTCACAGAGCAAAAAGGGGCGGGACTTATGAAGCATCTGATGTAATGTAGTTGTTGATGTTTTAATATTTATTTTAAAAACTTCTTTTGTCTGATTTGTTTGACATTTTACTATATAAAGAAAAACTATAATCTGTCCAAACTTTTCTTTAATGTTTTTTTTAAACAGTAAAAACTATAATCAGCTTTCACAATCGCACCAATAACAATAAAGCAAAGCAGGACTTTTAATAAGGTCTGTATTATATTTTACTGTGCAGAGAACAGCTGATTCCACCAGCTGACTAAATCCTGGCACTTAAAATAATTCCCCTCAGCAGACCTTTTAGGAGCTTAATCGTCGACAGAGCGTGACCCGCTGTAACAATCTGTGGATGCAGTCGGTTTATGACACATCTGACACAGACAGATCAGCATCTGATTGCACTTTAAAAACATAAGCTTGGATGGAGGACGTGTTGCTGACGGGACGTTGGACTGACTGTTGTTCTGGTTGTTTTCAGGCTTCGGGAAAGAACCTGAACCTGAACGATGAATCTCAGCACGGCCTGCTGATGCAGCTGCTCAAACTCAGCTACAATTGCCTCAACTACGACTTTATAGGAACTTCCACAGACGAGTCGTCGGACGACCTCTGCACCGTACAGATCCCCACGTCATGGAGATCAGGTAGCTGCAGTCAGCGTGCAGATGGCCTGTGTATCACAGCAGGAGGGATCTTTAGGGGCAGATAGCTTCATCTGGGAGATAAAAGTGTTTCTAGTCAGAAATCTGTGATAAACGTTGTGTTTCAGTTCTAATTTAGGAGGTTTAGAGTGTATAAGGGTCAGGGTGAGTCCATCCTCCTGCCAGGATCATCCCTATTGTTCACGCTGTCTTTTGTACTTTTCTTTGCCAGTAAATTGGTCTTAAATTGTGTTCATAATGGTCTTTAAAAGTCTAAAGTTTAACCTGTTGAAACCTGCAGAAACATTTGGGTTTTGGACTATTGGAAGAAAAATTATTTCCTTTTTTTTTGTCTGTCTCGCAGCATTTCTCGATTCCTCCACCCTGCAGCTCTTTTTCAATTTATATCATTCCATCCCTCCGTCCCTTTCCCCGTTGGTAAGTGAGCTGTTCACGTTGTGATCACACACCCAGAATAACGTGTAAAGCCTTGTGTTGCACTCTCAACGTGTGCTTTTGTGTGCAGGTGTTGTCATGTCTAGTCCAGATAGCCTCTGTGAGGAGGTCTCTCTTCAACAACGCAGAACGAGCAAAGTTTCTGTCACATTTGGTGGACGGAGTTAAGAGGATACTAGCAAACCCACAGGTCAGTAATACACACACACACACACTCACACACACTTTGTTTGCAGCTGGTTGTTTGACGGTGTGAAATGTGTGTTTCAGTGTTTGCCAGATCCGAATAACTACCACGAGTTCTGTCGTCTGTTGGCGAGGCTGAAGAGTAACTACCAGCTGGGGGAGCTGGTCAAAGTAGAAAACTACCCTGAAGTCATTCGCCTCATAGCCAACTTCACCGTCACCAGTCTGCAGGTGAGTCGAGGGTTACAGCCGCGACAGTGAAGAATAAACGCACCAGTAACCACCAAGAGAAACATTATTCAACATCTACAAACTTGTTAAAATATTGTTTATCTTTGCATTAAACTAACAAACAAGGAAGTTGTCATCAACCTTGTGTCTAAAAACATTCTGGACTTTGTTTTATCCTTCCTCACCTCTTCCTCACCTCTTCCTCTCCTCCTGTGTGCCAGCACTGGGAGTTTGCCCCCAACAGCGTTCACTACCTGCTGAGTCTGTGGCAGCGTCTGGCAGCATCGGTTCCCTACGTCAAAGCCACCGAACCTCACCTGCTGGAGACCTACACTCCAGAGGTCACCAAGGCCTACATCACATCGCGGCTCGAGTCGGTCCACGTCATCCTCAGGTAAGATCTGTGACACCTTGGATCTGTGGCGTTGTCCTGATGTTTGATTAATCAGTATAAATCGGCAGTGGATTCAACTGCAGCTTAAACAAACAATTCATGTTCCTGCAAAGGTATTTATCAGGAAGCGTTTGTCTGTTAGACTTCTAACATTTTAGGTCACAAACTGAATATGTTGTGTGTCCAAATGACTCCACAGAGATGGTTTAGAAGACCCTCTGGATGACGCTGGCCTGGTCCAGCAGCAGTTAGACCAGTTATCCACCATCGGGAGGTGTGAGTATGAGAAGACTTGTGCTCTGCTGGTCCAACTGTTCGACCAGGCAGCTCAGACCTACCAGGAGCTGCTACAGTCCACCAACTCGAGCGCTGCAGACATCACTGTGCAGGAGGGTACGAGCGGCACACAAATGGGGATTCAAGCTCAAGCTTTAAATTGGAAGTTTGATATTTGATTGTATTTTCAAAATGTTTCTAATTCTGATTGTTTGATATGAAACCACAATTGCCTTTTAGCTGTTTTCAATTATAATTCAGTAAATTGAAAGTGGACGTCTTGTTTTTAGGATGTAAATATCATACGAATGTTACGTTCCTCCCTCTGCAGGTCGGTTGACATGGTTGGTTTATATAATCGGGGCAGTGATCGGCGGACGGGTGTCGTTTGCGAGTACAGACGAGCAGGACGCCATGGACGGAGAGTTAGTCTGTCGGTAAGAATCCAACAATATATGAAAGTCGTCATGTTTAAAACCCTGAAAATATTATATTTATATCAAAGCATTTTAACTTTAGAAGTTTATCTAATTAATTTAAAAAGGGTAACAGAAATCTATACTTCATTATTTCCATTAGTTATAAGCCTTCTTTTAAATAATTTATCCATTAGTCGATTGTTTAAGCAAAATTACCTACCATTCCTGAGGTTCGGGGTCTCACCTGCATGGATTTCTTATCTTTGGGTTAGTCGGACAAAACAAGCAATTTGAAGGAGTCAGTATGGGATTATTCAGGGTGTCTGACATTTTACTCTTATCCTCCTGAAGATCACAAAATAACCTGTTCTGGAAAATGAATGACTGACAAATAAAGTAAAATAAGGATTTTAATAGAAACATATGGGACCTAGTACACTCCCCTGTGGGACTCCTGGTGCTGTTAGAATAATAGCAATGAGTGTACGACGGTTTGATGTAAGTAAAGAACTGACTCCGTATGTGACCCCCTCAGGGTGCTCCAGCTGATGAATCTCACTGACTCTCGGCTAGCTCAGGCCGGCAACGAGAGACTGGAGCTGGCCATGCTCAGCTTCTTCGAGCAGTTCAGAAAGATCTACATCGGCGACCAGGTGCAGAAATCATCAAAGGTAAATCGTTTTTAACTTGCTGCTGTTTGGCGTCGCCGTCTGTAGCATGTGTGAGATTAACCCCCACTGCTGCCCCGCTGCCCCCTCAGTAACCCTCCACTGGGGCCAAGTTACTGGGACTGAGCAGGTCTTTTGTCCTGAGCACCGTGGCGTCTGCTAGTGCTGACTGCAGCGGTTTCCATACAGTCTCAGTCTGCTACTACTCATGTTTTACTATTGTGTGGTGCTTTATAGCACACCGCTTCATGCTGACTGACGGAGGGTGTTCTCTTTGTTCGGGACAGAAACGGCAAAATGTGAACGTCCCAGATAAGTGGTTGAATGTAGAAACTGTAGAAACGTGTGCCCGTCTGGTTTGGTGTTAGCCCCCCACCGACCCTCCAGAGGTTCATCACAGCAGATATCCCAAAAACCTTGTCACCGCCAAAATTAAGATCTTTCTCTGTGTTCGTGTAGCTGTTAGAGCCCGAATGAGTTGGACCGAACGATCCCTAACTACTAGTTTATATCTTTGGGTTCTGCTTCTGTTTCCGCTGTTCTCCACCTGCTTCCTGGAGACCAGGTAATGGAAATAGATGTTTCTGCTCAGGAGATGATACCAAACCTGATGCAACACGTTCTCAGACTGAACACATCCATACAAACGTTATCATTATTATCTTCAATGTCACTATTCAAATCATATCCATAACGTCTCTTATGAAGTGCAGAGCAGCGTTTTGTTGAGCAGATATATCGAAGATGAGGTGTGTCAGGTTCGTGGAAGAAAGTCTGTAAGAGTTTGTAATTAAGGATTTAAAGTTCACTCTTGCTCCACCATAAATCTCTGAACGCACAGCAAGTTCTAGAGATTATTAACTCAGTTAATTACCAAACGATCTTCCCTTCAACTGTTGCCTACTAAAGTTTATAAAACAGTGGAAACACAAAGCAGAACCTAGAACCAAAAACCTCACGTTCTTTAAGTTGGTCATGTGAAGGTCTGTTGAGGAAAAGTGTCTTTTAGTGAAGTGAGTCACTGGGAACAGTGGGAACAGCAACCAACGTCCGAGGAGCTGCTGGATGTACGACAGCGCTGTCAGTGTGATGTGAGACGGGCCCCATTTCCTGTTAGTTTAACCCTGTAGAGTGAGGCCCCCAGCTCTTTATCTTCTGCTCATCACCTCATGCTTCACTTGTCTCCGCCCTGCTGAGCCACAAAGAGCTGATGGTTGCGTTACTGAACGCTCCTCTGGACCCTGTCCATCAGTCCGTAAACATCCAGCTGATATAGTCTCAAAGCTGGGATTAGTACCGCACGTCTCCCACCATCTAGCTACAACATAATAAAGACAGGTGGTGTAGTGAGTGTCGAAACCAACACGTCTCTACTCTCACTGTCCTCTAATAACACAAACTGTGTGTGAACGTCTGTGTGTTTCTGTTCATTGCAGCTTTATCGGCGACTATCAGAGGTTCTGGGTTTGAACGACGAGACGATGGTACTCAGTGTCTTTATAGGGAAAATGTGAGTAACCATTGGATTTATTTAGCACAGATTATTTATAGCTGTATTTCTTATATAATCAATCTTAACAATCTTTTCTGTCTTTCAGCATCACAAACTTGAAGTACTGGGGCCAGTGTGAACCAATCACCTCCAAGACACTCCAACTACTGAACGACCTTTCGTTAGGATATCCTTGCTGAGTGCAGTGTAGAAATACTCTGCTACAAGTGTTCAAGTGTTTACTTCAGTAAAAGTACAAAAGTATTTGCATCAAAATATACTTTAAATCTAAAAAGTAAAAGTGCTCATAATGAATAATGGCCACTAGATGCACCTGCAACACAGCGGTGCTACAGAGAGTTTACCTCAGATAATAAAACACACTTCATACTCGTTGTTAGTCTTTCCAACAATCACCACAGTCAAATAAATTGTTGCTTAATAAATAACCAGAAAGATTAACTGATGATCAGGATTGCTGATGATTAATTTTCTGTCAACTTACTAATCAATAAATTGAGTAATCGTCAATCATTTATTTAATCATCAAGCACTTTATTTATGTCCACAGGATGGAACATGAGTATAATGTTTACATAAAGCCCCAACCCAAACCTTCATTGTGTGTTGATTCTGGCGCCCCCTGTGGACAGAAGCTGGCCCCGACCCAGTGGCAGACAGTTTATCATCAGACAGAAGATATTTCTGTATAGTTATTATTACTGAGTGCGTTTTATAATTAAACGAAGCTTTTAGTTTGAAGATCTGTGTGTTTTCTCCTTGACTTCCTGTGTGTTCACGTACAGCAGCGTGAGGAAGCTGGTGAAGCTCAGCGCTGTCCAGTTCATGTTGAATAACCACACAGTGAGTACACGATCATCGTTATACACGCACACAGGTACAGGCTGTAAATATCATATATATTAACAACCTGTCTGTCTGCCTGTCTGTCTGCCAGAGTGAGCACTTCTCCTTCCTGGGAGTGAACAACCAGTCCAATCTGAGTGACATGAGATGTCGAACCACCTTCTACACGGCGCTGGGGCGCCTGCTAATGGTCGATCTAGGTACACACACACACACACACACACAGTGCACGAACCAATGGATACAAACACAAACCTTTCACCCTGACGAGTTCTGGCTCCTGATTGGTCGGTTTCTGATGCGTTTGTGTGCAGGTGAGGATGAGGACCAGTTCGAACAGTTCATGCTGCCTCTGACGGCCGCGTTTGAAGCTGTGGCTCAGATGCTGAGTACGAACACCTTCAACGAGCAGGAAGCCAAGGTGACACACACACACACACACTCACTCTCTCTCTCTCTCTCTCTCTCTCTCTCTCACTCTCACTCTCACTCTCACACACACACACACACACACAGAGTTTATCAAAGGTACAGCAGCAGTGAAAACAGACACTTTTTAAGCTTCCATCGTTTTTTGAATATTTTAATGTTTGTTTTATGTTCAGAGCGTTTTATTCTGACAGTTTTCTCCCTCTGTTGCTTCCTGTAGAGGACTCTGGTGGGTTTGGTTCGAGACCTGCGGGGAATCGCATTCGCCTTCAACGCCAAGACGAGCTTCATGATGCTGTTTGACTGGATGTATCCTAACGGCTAACTGACCTCAGAGCTGCTAATAATGCTAATAACAATAATAATAATAATGTTTATCAGTCGTCGCAGTGTAAGAACCGTCTTTAACTCAGACCGCAGATATCCGGCCTACATGCCCATCCTGCAGCGAGCCATAGAGCTTTGGTACCACGACCCAGCATGCACCACGCCTGTCCTCAAACTAATGGCTGAGCTGGTTCACAACAGGTAAACCTGATCAGTGATCAATGCAGCTGCTTCCTGTTTGCTTCCTCTGCATCTGTGGGATCAGGTTCAGGTGGATTTATAATGGCAGAAATAATAACACATTGTTTTTATAGGACGTTCCTTCAGTCCACAGCGAGGGAAGAAATCACCCAATGTTGGTTCATAGTCACACTGATTTCTTACAGCTCCAGTTTCAGGGGGTCGAGCTCCACTTGGCAGTGTAACGATGGCAGCAGTCGACCCTGATATGAGTGTTTAATATTTAAATGTCTGACAGGAAGTCCCTGAGTCTGTTTGTAGGACAAGCTGATGATGTTTGTGTCCGATCAGACTCGACTGTAACGAACAGGTCGGCTGTGAAAGCAGCGTGAGACTTCACGTGTGTCTTGTTTCCTGACACTGATGGTGAACTCTGGTGTTTCTGTAGATCTCAGCGGCTACAGTTTGATGTGTCGTCACCCAACGGCATCCTGCTGTTCAGAGAAACCAGCAAGATGATCACAACCTACGGTACTTTGCGCTTTCTCACATCTTATCAACTGAAAAAGTTATCAGGTTGTATCGATACTGAAACATCTGTCCCGTCTTCCTCGTGTAGGGAATCGCATCCTGACGCTGGGGGAGGTCCCGAAGGACCAGGTGTACGGGGTGAAGCTGAAGGGCGTCAGCGTGTGTTTCGGCATGCTGAAGGCGGTGCTCAGCGGAAACTACGTCAACTTCGGCGTCTTCCGTCTGTACGGCGACGACGCTCTGGATAACGCCTTACAGACCTTCATCAAACTGCTGCTGTCCATCCCCCACAGCGACCTGCTCGTACGTCCGCACGCTTGTCACACATTCCTGATATTAATGTATTGATTATGATCTGTTAAACACCAACAGAACAGCGGTGATATTGTGAATGTGTCCGAACCTTTAGTTCATTTATTCCAACACATCAGCTGGTTGTTAATCACACTAACACACTCTGTGTGACCCACTAACCCGGACTCTTCTGGTCCCTGCAGGACTACCCGAAGCTCAGCCAGTCCTTCTACTCTCTGCTGGAGGTGCTGACCCAGGACCACATGAACTTCATCGCCAGCCTGGAGCCTCACGTCGTCATGTACATCCTGTCCTCCATATCAGAAGGGCTCACGGCACTCGGTAAAGGTCGGAGGTCGCTGTGTGTGTGTCTGTGTGTGTCTGTGTGTGTCTGTGTGTGTCTGTGTGTGTGCGCACGGTGGGAGGTGTTTACTGTGTGTGTGTGTTTCAGATACGATGGTGTGCACGGGCTGCTGCTCCAGTCTGGACCACATAGTGACGTACCTGTTCAAGCAGCTGTCGCGCTCCACGAAGAAGCGTCCCACCCCGATGGCGACAGACGACCGCTTCCTCCACATCATGCAGCAGCACCCGGAGATGATCCAGCAGGTCAGAGATCAGTTTGTACCAGAGATGTGTTTATAGGGACACAGCAGGAAATGTAGAGTGAGAGATTAATGAGGGCAGGATCAGAGCAGCCCTACAGGTTGCATTCGGGGACGTACATGTTGCATTCGGGGATGTACATGTTGCATTTGGGGACGTACATGTTGCATTCGGGGATGTACATGTTGCATTCAGGGACATGTTGCATTCGGGGATGTACATGTTGCATTCAGGGACATGTTGCATTCAGGGACGTACATGTTGCATTCGGGGATGTACATGTTGCATTCAGGGACACCCAGAGAAGCTGTTAATCTGGTGGTTGTCTGATTACAGATGCTGTCCACGGTGCTGAACATCATCATCTTTGAGGACTGTAGGAACCAGTGGTCGATGTCTCGACCTCTGTTAGGCCTCATCCTGCTCAACGAGAAGGTAAACATGGGACACATGGATCAGTGTGTGTGTGTGTGTGTGTGTGTGTGTGTGTGTGTGTGTGTGTGTGTGTTTTAACACGTGTGTGTGTCCTGCAGTATTTCGCTGACCTGAGGAACAGCATCGTCAACAGCCAGCCTCCAGAGAAGCAGCAAGCCATGCACTTATGTTTCGAGAACTTGATGGAGGGAATAGAGAGAAATCTTCTAACAAAGAATCGGGACAGGTACGTCTGTCATTACTATCATTCGGGGTTCAGGTCCTCTTGTTTTACTGTCGGATGATTATAATTATTAGTCTGCTACGTCCATACAAGGACCTGAAACACACCCTGAACGTTTTACTCGTGTTAGATTCAGGTTGTCATGTTCATCATCAGTCACTACTATTAGTGTATTTGCTGCTACTGTTGTTGCTGTGCACCTGTCTCTCTCTCTGTCTCTCTCTCTCTGTCTGTCTCTCTCTCTCTCTCTCTCTCTCTCTCTCTCTCTCTCTCTCTCTCTCTCTCTCCCACCCACCTAGAGCCGAAGGATCTGTCCTAGGTTTCTGCCTTTTAACAGGCAGTGTTTCCTTGCCCTTGTCTCCAAGGTCTTGCTCATGGTGGTACTGTTGGGTCTCTGTAAATAATGTTATAAGGAGTTCGGTCTAGACCTGCTCTATTTGAAAAGTGTCCTGAGATAACTTCTGTTATGAATTGGCGCTATACAAATAAAACTGAATTGAAAAATTGAATTGAATACATTCAGGGACGTTCATGGACGTCCCTGAATGTAGTTCAGATAATAAAAGTAAAATCAGGAAGCTCCACTCTGTGTTTCTATCTCACCTGTCTCCCTCTCTGTCTCCCTGTCTGTCTGCACAGGTTCACTCAGAACCTGTCTGTGTTCAGGAGGGAAGTCAACGACAGCATGAAGAACTCGACATACGGCGTCAACAGCAACGACATGATGAGCTGACATTCCACACAGAGGAGTCTTATCCCGCTGCAGACAGAGCTCACCCCCCCCCCCTCGCTCCTCCACAGCCTCCCTCCCTCCCTCCTCCCCACCTCCCCCCCTCTCTGCATCAGCCTCCCCCCTCCCTCCCTGGGCCCGGATGCCTAGGGATCACCTCCTCCCTCCCTCTCCCCTCCCCGAACACGACGTACGGGATCGTTCCCTCCCTCCTTTTTGATATAAACATATATAAATATATACAGATCTATTTTAAAGCGATGGTCTGGCTGTCCTATCAGTGGAGGGGTCAGGAGGTCAGAGGGAGGGGGAGGGAGGGAGGGAGGGAGGGAGGGGGTCGCATGTCTAAGCACTCGAAATCACTGGCGGAGGAAGAGGAGAGTGCTGCGGAGGTGACGGGAGGCGAGGAAGGGGACGAACGCCGGTAAACGTAGTAATCCGCTTCTGCCTGCCTTGTATAGAAAAACACACAAAAAACCAAGTGTACATTTTTTTTCGTAACATTTTGAACAATGTTTATAAAATGATCGAATTTAAAACACAAAGATGAGTTGAGGAAAAACAAAAAAAACCACGTCAAAAAAAAACAAAAAAACGGTGTGATTGAGCTTTTTACAGTGTAGTGAGTTAGTGCAACTGTCTGTCTGCGTGGGGAGCGAGCTTTCCACGGGAGCTGGAGGTGAGCGGGAGCATGGGGGGAGAACGGGGGAGGACGGGGGGGAGTGAACTGAGCTGCAGGGTGGCCACAGGAGCACTTAGGCTGCAGAACAGGAAGCAGAGGTACACACACTAAGAGAAAGGGAGAGTCAGAGCATACACGTTGTACATTTTACTCAAGTCTCTGGTTGAAGTGATGTAAATATTGACGTCCCTCGCGGCGGCGGCGGCGGCGGTGGCGGCGGGCTCCACGGGCTTTAAAGGGACAATTCTGCTGTTTTTCAACCCGAGTCTTATTCTCCTGTTTGTGTCACCGTGACTTCACTTTGATCAGAAGATTTCAGAAACAGAGTTCCTCAAAAATCTAATAAAACCCTCATAAGCCCTGCCCCCTTTTCTCCTCTGCAGGAAGGATTGTTGAGCTGTGATTGGAAGAGCAAAAAGGGGCGGGGCTTAGTAAGGGTCAATTACAAGAGCTTTGATTCATAAGATTTAAGATAAAATGTTTGAGAAAGAAAAATCTGCAACCAGAGAATTTTTTACATTTTAGCAAAAAAAAATCCCTAAAAGATTTTTTGCGATTGTTAAAAAAGTTTCTGAATAATTTTCTGTCCGACCAACAATCAAGTTTATAATCATTATTATTAATAAGAAACAAAATCAGAAAATATTCAAATGTCAGAACCAGAAGTTTTTTATATTTGTGTGTGTGTGTCGGGTTTCTGGTCCGACCGGAGTCAGAACAAACACTGAGGTTGAAAAACATCAGAACTTCTTTCCCGTCGTCCCGTCGAGGCAGCGGCGGCGTCCTGTTGGCCTCACACACCCGCTTGTTTCCCTGGCGACGATCGACGTGTAAACAACATGGTCACAGCTACATGTTCCCCTCTGGTAGGCCGGGTGCAGTTTCCACCATTTTGTTTACACTCTGGATTCCTCGGACCGGGTTTTCAGGAGGTCCTTTTGGTGTGTGTGCGTGTTGTCTGTGTGTGTGTGTGTGTGTGTGTGTGTGTGTGTGTGTGTGTGTGTGTGTGCGCGTGCGTGTGTGTGTGCGCGTGGAGTGGCGTCTCATGGTGCTGCGACGGAGCCGAACCAGCCGAGGTCCGTGCCACCGTACAGGGGGGAGGGTCTGGTCGGAGCTCCCTGAAGGAACCAGGTCTAGTTTAGTCTGAAGGAGTCAAACAGTGTACAAAGCGGAGCCGCTGGAGTCCATTAGCAACTTGTGTTACTCTCTACGATGTTGCTGCTAACTGTTTGTGACAACTAGCTCATTTCTAACCATGTCAGCACTCATGGATGTTTATTGAGTTTCTAAGTTTTGGTTTGTGTCCCTGATGTGAATGTGTTGGGTCCATAGAGTGAGTAGCTGTTTGAGTTGTTTGGATGTCTGCTACATATAGTGTAAGCATTGTGACTGCAAATAAACCTCATTGATTTTTACACCGCTGCTCTCCTTCTGTTTGTTCATCGGGGAATCAAATCGTTGATCTTCAGGCCTTAAAATGTCGGAAATATGATTCTTATTAGAGCTCTTAAAGCCGCAGTGAAACATTGTCAGAAATGTACGGAAGCTCACTGCTGCCATTCAGAGAAAAACAGGTCAGTAACAGGTTATAACGAGATATTATTACGACTACGCATGAACTGATACTGAGTGAGTACTTCATAATACAATTCTAATGACCTAAATCCTGTTTTATTTTCAGTTATTTAGTTCCTCACTAATATAATGTTGATTAAAATCTGCTCGACTAACGAGGTAACATAATGTCACGCTGCTGTAAAGTGGTGTCACAGATCTGATACCTCATATCTGTTTGTCCCTAATTAGCTTCTTGTATTTGTTCTCATTTGTCACTCTTGTTCATGCAGCAAAAACAGACCTAGAAACACCTGAAACAAAAGGTTGAACATTCCTCCCTCTGCTCAGGCAAGTAAAATGACATTCATTGACCTCAAGGTGGCGCTATAATAAAGTTTATGTTTTTGGGATTGTTGCAGCATCACATTCATCCTAGTTTGTCTTTATAAACGTTTTTTAAAACCACAACAATCCTGCACACTGGTCCTTTAAAAGGTACAGTACAACCTTTGAGGCTCCGACATCCAAACAGAAAATATGAAGTGTGATGAGGTGGTGAAGCAGCGTGGGATCATGGGAGTTGTTGTCTTCACCACCATTGGTGTCATTGCAGTCAGCTTCTCCCGGTTAGGATTCCTTCAGTGTTCATGGTTCAGGAGGTTTCTACCGGGAGCCCAATGATCCACAGAGGTCTCCTCCTCTCCAACACAAACAGACCCGCTGATTAAAACCACTAAACACACTGAATAAAGCAGTTCCACCTTAAACACACTGAATAAAGCAGTTCCACCTTAAAAATCACTGCTTCTCCCACGCTGTTGGACAGACAAAGGACGTCCCGGAGGGGCTGCGAGCCGAGCTGCTGCTAACGTTAGCTCAGCTTGTTTCTCTGATAACTTAAGATCCAGACGTCTGATGACTAAAATCCTTTCAACTCTGATAAACATTAAAAACTACTGAATGATCAATAAAACTCTGGGTGGTAAAATGTCTGACTTTTATTCATTTATATCGTTTCCACGGTTACGGGTGAACAAATGCAACTTTGGCGTTTAATAAACAAAAACAACCATTATGATCGGAACAATAAAACTTTACAGTAAATACAAAATGTGTCCAACATTGATTTTAACCAGACAAACTGAACATTGATTGTTTCCATAAAACATGAAAATAAAGAGCTGCCCCCCCCTCTGAGTGCAGGGACGTCCCGGTGGTGGTTGGATGGGTCCGGTACTGGTTGGTTACTGGTTGGTTACTGGTTGGTTACTGGTTGGTTACTGGTTAATTATTAGAAGGCTAACTCTTTGAGGTTTTGGACTTGAACACAGCGTCGTTGTAGCCTTCTCGGTTTCGGGCGATTTCAACAGCGAAGAATTGAGCTCTGGTGGCTGCAAACAGGAAGAAAACATCGGTTGAGATTTCTCATTTATGAATAATAAAGAAATATTTCCGGTGTGAAAGACGTACCGAATATGGTGTTTTCCTCCGTGTAATCCTTCTCGCAGTCCAGACGCAGCAGAGTGCCGTAGTTGAAATCTTCTATAAGGCCGTCAAACTGGTTACAGAACGGACGCCACGTCTGCAAACAAACAAACAAACTAAAAATTAACTGTAGGAAGTCAAAATATTTAAGTTTACGACTGACGAACACTGAAGAGTCTGAGGATCGTTTCAGGAGTTTACAGGACACTCACACTGTCGACTAACAGAACTACAATAATCTTATTAAATCTGAATGATTGTTAAAAGTGAGCGAGGACTGATGCAAACAGCCGAACAAACAACCAACGTGGCTGCAGATGAAAAAGTCTGTTAATCTCTACAGAGAGAAGCAACTTGTTTGCGAGTGTTCGAATACAGAAATTATTTATAATCCCTGTTACATCTGCAATAATCCGCTACAGATCAATACATTGATCAGTCGCTCTCTCTCACTGACCTCTTTGGCTTTGTCAGATTTCAGGTCCTCGGCTTTCAGCACTTTGATGTCGAGATCTTTGAACGTTTCTCTGAACAGCGAGTAGATTTTATCGTCCAGTTTGGTCAACTTCAGGAACTTCGGATCGACGGACGAAATGAGCTGAAAACACACGGAGAGATTATACAGTGAGAGATTATACAGTCAAAGATTATACAGTCAGAGGTTATACAGTCAAAGATTATACAGTCAGATAAAAGATTATACAGTCAGATTATATAGACAGTCAGATGTTATACAGTCAGATATTAGACAGTCAGAGGTTATACAGTCAGATTATACAGTCAGATTATACAGTCAGATGTTATACAGTCAGATGTTATACAGTCAGATTATAGAGTCAGGTTATACAGTCAGAGTTATAGTAATTATACAGTCAGAGATTATACAGTCAGATTATACAGTCAAAGATTATACAGTCAGAGGTTATACAGTCAGAGATTATACAGTCAGAGGTTATACAGTCAGAGGTTAGACAGTCAGAGGTTAGACAGTCAGAGGTTAGACAGTCAGAGGTTAGACAGTCAGATTATACAGTCAGAGGTTATACAGTCAGAGGTTATACAGTCAGAGGTTATACAGTCAGATTATACAGTCAGAGGTTATACAGTCAGAGATTATACAGTCAGAGGTTATACAGTCAGATTATACAGTCAGAGGTTATACAGTCAGAGGTTATACAGTCAGATTATACAGTCAGAGGTTATACAGTCAGAGGTTATACAGTCAGAGGTTATACAGTCAGATTATACAGTCAGATTATACAGTCAGAGGTTATACAGTCAGATTATACAGTCAGAGGTTATACAGTCAGAGGTTATACAGTCAGATTATACAGTCAGAGGTTATACAGTCAGAGATTATACAGTCAGATTATACAGTCAGAGGTTATACAGTCAGGTTATACAGTCAGAGATTATACAGTCAGAGGTTATACAGTCAGATTATACAGTCAGAGGTTATACAGTCAGAGGTTATACAGTCAGAGGTTATACAGTCAGAGGTTATACAGTCAGATTATACAGTCAGGTTATACAGTCAGAGGTTATACAGTCAGAGGTTATACAGTCAGAGATTATACAGTCAGGTTATACAGTCAGAGGTTATACAGTCAGTTCTCTGTCAGTTTAACAAAAGTTTTAAACATTTGTTTGTTTGTTTGTTTGTTTGTTTACAACTGAGCAGCCATAAGTAAAAGGACAGCCTTACATTGAAGTAAACTTCTGCATGGTTGTACGCCTTCATCGCCCACATGACCTCGAGCCGTGGCTGAAAGAGGAAAAGGTGAAAGGTCATCAGGGTCACTGTGTGGAGGTCAAGTGTAATATTCGGACAATATTTACGTTATTATTATTATTATTATTATTATTATTACAGTACAGTTTTATTGTAGTAGTTAATGAAAAGGACATTTTAAATATGAAACAACTAAAAATGAACTGTAGGAAGTCAAAATATTGAAGTTTACGACTGAAGACTTCCTGAAATATTACTGATGAAACTGTTGATCTATAATGAAAATATTAGTTACAATATTAGTTCAAACTTGTGAGTCACAGAATGAAACTGTTGGGTATTAATAACATATTTATATTATATATATATTTAATATAAAAGTCATATTGGTCAGTCCCTCCAGAAAAACGTGATTATGCGATCCAATAATTCAACGCATACTCAGCCAAATAAATGGCTGATTTCTGCGCACAATATGCGGGGCTTGCATGATTTCATAATCCCCGCATTTCCGTTGCAAAAAAGTCACAAATATCTGAGCAGAAAGTTTAAAAATGTTGCGTTTACTTCACACAAGAGCAGCCATTTTCCCCTGTTGCCATGGGAACGTTATGAAGTGACTGTAATTACGCGACGTGAGCGTCATCGAAAAGCTGCAAACCCCGCGATGAAAACCTCACAGTTGTACGTATATTAGTAGTATGTAAATGTACGTTACAGTAAGAGATTGCACTACCTCTGTAAAACAGGAAGCACACATTTTAGTTTTTATATTTTATTTATTCATTAAGTTGGAGCATATTCCTTTTGTAAAGCTACAGAACTTGTTTGACTCATCAATGTTCTGTAAGTCTGAGCCATGTGTTTATTAAGGTCTGAAATAAAGCAGAGGAGAACTTCAATATTCCCAGCACTGTCTGTGATGTAGTATGTTTATCACAGGCAGTAATAAGAAATGACTCTTTACATTGAGGTAGCAGCCTAATGAGAACAGGGTGATGGAGAATCACTCTTTTCTCTCTTTTTCATCAAACTGCAGTTTTTCAGGTTCCTGCATGTTCCATCGCATTCTTTAAGAGAACGTACCGCATCATCAACAATTTCTGCAACAATCACAAAAAACTCTGCATTTTTCTGGAAGGACTGTTTGGTAGTTTTGGTCACTTTGGCACAAATGGGCTTCCATATATTTTAGTTATTGCACCAACAAACAACCACTGGTTCTCTGAGCACAGCGGCTGGCCCGGTTATAAACACAGAGAAAATATAATATTAATAAATATAATCTTAATATTTCCAGAGATCATTTTACATATTTATCATATGAATAAAGATCTGGTTGAACATGAAGAATACAAGTTAGATATTAAATAAGACATAAGAGTCATATTGGTAATTCTTGTATGAAATAAACATTTACTTTACAAGATATATTATATGTATATATTATATATATATTATATATAATATATAATTATTATATATAAGATCCCACAGAGGAAACAGAAGTGGAACTATTTGCTGTAGAAATCCTGCAGAGTGGAATAAAAGATAAATTAAAGGTGCATAAAAACAGGAAGGACTACAGATGTGAAACAGGAAGGACTACAGATGTGAAACCGGAAGGACTACAGATGTTAAAAATGTCCACTTACATCATTTCCATAATCATCTGCAGACAGAGACAGCGCATGCGCAGCGGCTGACGCGCCCTCCACTCCCTGTGAACCCAAAGACACAAACCCGGAAGTAGAGTCACACAGTCTGACAGCGTGTTCACTGTTAGCTTACTGAGGCTAACAACACAGCAGCTAGTCCACGTGGAGGAGGACTACAGAATAAAAGCACCAGCACAGTCCTCACGTGGTACACACCGTCTGATTTAATGGTATTGATAACGCACGAGCTGCCACGGGTTGTTTACACACGTGCTTTCTTCTCGGCTAGCTGCCGTTAGCACAGTTAGCTCGCTCTTTACTTCCTTTATGTTCTCGGACTCGGTACAGACTGTAGAGTGAGACAGCCCACAGCCAGTAAACAACAACAACAACAACAACAACAACAGCAGCAGCAGCGAGTCCTACCAGAGAGGCCAGTCCGTCATCCGCCGCCATTTCTCTCAAAGATCGTCTCCTCTCGGCCACTACAGGGGCTTTCACTGCGCATGCGCTCTGTCGACCTGTTCTGTGATCAAATATATGATCTATACATTAAACACATTATATATATTAAACACATTATATATATTAAACACATTATATATATTAAACACATTATATACTATATATTAAACACATTATATATATTAAACACATTATATACATTAAACACATTATATATATTAAACACATTATATACATTAAACACATTATATATATTAAACACATTATATACATTAAACACATTATATACATTAAACACATTATATACATTAAACACATTATATATATTAAACACATTATATATATTAAACACATTATATTCTATACATTAAACACATTATATATATTAAACACATTATATACATTAAACACATTATATTCTATACATTAAACACATTATATATATTAAACACATTATATATATTAAACACATTATATACATTAAACACATTATATATATTAAACACATTATATATATTAAACACATTATATACATTAAACACATTATATATATTAAACACATTATATATATTAAACACATTATATACATTAAACACATTATATACATTAAACACATTATATATATTAAACACATTATATATATTAAACACATTATATATATTAAACACATTATATTCTATACATTAAACACATTATATACATTAAACACATTATATATATTAAACACATTATATACATTAAACACATTATATATATTAAACACATTATATACATTAAACACATTATACTCTATACATTAAACACATTATATATATTAAACACATTATATACATTAAACACATTATATATATTAAACACATTATATACATTAAACACATTATATACATTAAACACATTATATACATTAAACACATTATATTCTATACATTAAACACATTATATACATTAAACACATTATATACATTAAACACATTATATACATTAAAATATATATATTAAACACATTATATACATTAAACACATTATATATATTAAACACATTATATACATTAAACACATTATATTCTATATATTAAACACATTATATACATTAAACACATTATATATATTAAACACATTATATACATTAAACACATTATATACATTAAACACATATATATTAAACACATTATATTCTATACATTAAACACATTATATATATTAAACACATTATATTCTATATATTTAACACATTGTTAAACTGATCTTTAACTAATGATAAACTAATGTTAAACTAATCTTTAACTAATGTTAAACTAATGTTTACTAATCTTTAACTAATGTTAAACTAATGTTTAACTAATCTTTAACTAATCTTTAACTAATGTTAAACTAATGATAAACTAATGTTAAACTAATCTTTAACTGTTAAGTTACACTACAACAAAATAAAAATATAACAATTACATAACAAACAATTAATAATCTTTCACTAATGTTAAACTAATGTTTACTAATCTTTAACTAATCTTTAACTAATGTTAAACTAATCTTTAACTAATGTTAAACTAATGTTTACTAATCTTTAACTAATCTTAAACTAGTGTTAAACTAATGATAAACTAATCTTTAACTAATGTTAAACTAATGTTTAACTAATGTTAAACTAATGTTTACTAATCTTTAACTAATGTTAAACTAATGTTTAACTAATCTTTAACTAATGTTTAAAATAAAGAAACAATGATAAACTAATGTTAAACTAATCTTTAACTAATGTTAAACTAATGTTTAACTAATCTTTAACTAATGTTAAACTAATGATAAACTAATGTTAAACTAATCTTTAACTAATGTTAAACTAATGTTTACTAATCTTTAACTAATCTTAAACTAGTGTTAAACTAATGATAAACTAATCTTTAACTAATGTTAAACTTATGTTTAACTAATCTTTAACTAATGTTAAACTAATGTTTACTAATCTTTAACTAATCTTAAACTAGTGTTAAACTAATGATAAACTAATCTTTAACTAATGTTAAACTAATGTTTACTAATCTTTAACTAATCTTAAACTAATCTTAAACTAGTGTTAAACTAATGATAAACTAATCTTTAACTAATGTTAAACTAATCTTTAACTAATGATAAACTAATGTTAAACTAATCTTTAACTAATGATAAACTAATGTTTAACTAATCTTTAACTAATGTTAAACTAATGTTAAACTAATGTTAAACTAATGATAAACTAATGATAAACTAATGTTAAACTAATCTTTAACTAATCTTAAACTAGTGTTGAACAGAGTGAACCATCAGGATTTTTCCTCTGGACTCAACTTTGACCCTACAGTGACGTCACATCCTTTAAAGGGCCAGTACTTAAAAACAAATTCTTCTTTTTTTATTTCTTTTGTTCCTTTTAGTAAATATAAGTTGTCTTTATTATAATAAATAAAGAAACTACATTTTATATCTTCTATATATTGTATTATAATGCACATACTTCAGACTCTATTATTTCTATTTTCTTATATATTTTTCTTTTTTCTATAATCAAATATTTGATCAATAAAGTATTCAGGATTCTGATTTTAAGTTACTATTCTTTTAATTTTATTAGAAAATTCACGTTCATACATTTACTAATTTACAGATAAAAAGCCAAAGTTAAAAGAGGTCAAACTGTTCATCGATTCGCTTTGTTTTTCTATAAATTTAAAGGTCGTAAAAATATTAAATTATTAATATTAAAGCTGTTTATTGTTTAAAATGTTATAAATATTCAGACTGAAGAGAAGCACATTTATAAAAAGAGTCAGTTGTTTACTGACAATATTGGAGCTTAAATGAATTAATGTTCATTGTTTGTTGTTGTTTGTTGTTTTTATATTCGCTGCAGCACAAATAATAAACGAGTTAAACTGATTTATTCGAGTTTAAATTTGAGCTACTTTAGAGAAATATTGTTCTTTTTATCAACTTTGTGAAAACTTACTGGTTGAATAAAGTTTTGTTGAAGAACTGATATTAATTCATTCATTCATTCATTCATAAACCATTGATAAACTGATCTGATTAGTTTCAGCTGAGGGAATCAATAACTAAACCAATCAGTAGTTTCTTCCTCTAGCTGTAGTTCAGTGGTTCCCAACATAAGGGTCGGGCCCCTCCAGAGGGCCACAGCATAAATCTGAGGTCTGAAATCTAAAGTCATTTTTTGGATTTTTGTTTGTTTTATGAATTGTTGGATTAATTAAATGTGAGCGATCACAAATCATCACAATCTTATTATTTGATAAACTGATCACATTTCTCTCATAAAATATATTTTTCATGTGAAATGCTCTAGTGCGACATCTACTGTCAGAAAACATCATATATCTATATTTATATACATAGATATATAAATATATATTTATTATTATTATATTTATATACATAGATCTATATCTATGTTCTCCTCTACAATAATAATAATAATAATAATAATAAAAAAAACCTCTCTGTGTTTATTATTGATTGCCCCCCCCCCCCACATACAGCACAGTGGACCGGCCCGCTGGAGCAACAGGAACTACCTCTTCCTCTCCCTCTTCCTCTCCCTCCTCCTCTTCCTCCTCCAGGGGTCACAGCAGCCCTGAGCCCGGCTCTAAAAGCAGCCTACATCACACAGCCTCTCCCTCCTGCTCTCCCTCCTCCTCCTCCTCCTCCTCCTCCCTCTCTCAGTCGCTCTCTCGGATTCATTCTGCGCTGTTTGGAGGTAAGAGCTGTTTCCTTTACATTATCTAGATATTATTATTATTATTATTATTCTGATTCTGATTCTGATTCTGGCTGTAACCGGAGCACATCCCGGGTCGTCCGTTCCGGGTCTGACCCGGGATGTGTGTGTTGTTATCGGGCTGCTACAGACGCACTTGCCTCCTCTCCCTCCCTCTTCATCCTCCTCAGGAGGCCACATGATCCGGATCCGTTGATCCGTCGAAGGATCGTTCAGATCCGCAGACTGAAATAAAACAGATTGTATTTGATAGATCTGGTCTGTGTGCAGGTGGCTGTTTATTCCAGGCCTCCTCTTCCTCCTCCTCTTCCTCCTCTTCCTCCTGTAGCTCCTGCTTCTGTCACACTGACTCTAAACATAATTACAGACATCAGAGAATAAAAACCATTTTCATCCACAGACATTAAACAGGTCGTTTTCTTTATGAATGGACACATTTAAACATTTAAACCTTAAATATACTCAGCAATAAAAGATTAAAAACAGCCAATAATCACATTTAAGGAGCTCGAGGTTATTGATCTCCTTCAGATCATTTATCTTTCTAAAAGGTGAAACAGCCTCAATGTTCTCCTGTAATAACCAATCGATATTATTATTATTATTATTATTATTATTATACTTTAATTCTTGAAACCAGCTGACATTCATTTATTATTTATATAAAAATGACAAAAATTCTCTTTTACCAACTTCTTAAATGTGAGTATTTGCTGTTTATCAAATTAAACTGAATAAATAAAACATTTAGAAACATTCTCACACTTAAATTAATAATAATAATTACTGATAATGAGAGTAAATATTGTCGTATTGTTCAGACCCTCCTGGATGATGTTGAACATTATGTGTGTTAATGAGTGTGTGTGTGTGTGTGTGTGTGTGTGAGAGAGAGAGATCAGTGCACACACACACACACTCATTGATGAGTGTGTGGCAGCTGAAAGCTCTCAGTGATCAGACTATCGGACAGAAAGCACTCAGACTGTCCGTTGGATGATCGCTGTTCGTCCTCAGAGACTCACAAACAGTAACTGAGTACATTTACTGTCTTATATCATAAATCCTCCTCATACACTTTATTATTATATCTTTATTATATCCTTATTATATCTCTATTATATCTCTATTATATCTTTATTATATCTATATTATACCTTTATTATTATCTATATTATATCTTTATTATATCTATATTATACCTTTATTATTATCTATATTATACCTTTATTATTATCTATATTATACCTTTATTATTATCTATATTATATCCTTATTATATCTCTATTATATCTTTATTATATCTATATTATATCCTTATTATATCTCTATTATATCTTTATTATATCTTTATTATATCTATATTATATCTTTATTATATCAATATTATATCTTTATTATATCTATATTATATCTTTATTATATCTATATTATATCTTTATTATCTTTATTATATCTTTATTATATCTTTATTATATCTTTATTATATCTATATTATATCTTTATTATATCTATATTATACCTTTATTATCTTTATTATATCTTTATTATATCTTTATTATATCTATATTATATCTTTATTATATCTATATTATATCTTTATTATATTTATTATATCTTTATTATATCTTTATTATACCTTTATTATCTTTATTATATCTTTATTATATCTTTATTATATCTTTATTATATCTTTATTATATCTTTATTATACCTTTATTATCTTTATTATATCTATATTATACCTTTATTATATCTTTATTATACCTTTATTATCTTATTATACCTTTATTATATTTATCTTCATCTCCAGATTAACATTCTTCATTAAAAACATGACAAGTGAAAATAAACCAGTGTTTGTTGAACTGAAGGTTAATTATTTAAGTACGAACCCCGTTAGCGGGTTACTATAATCCTTTATTATTATATTTCTACATCAGATTTTAAAGGAGAATCTGGAAACTATTTCATCTTAATAAACCCGTTTACAAATCATTTGAATGGTTAAATGGCTACGGGCAAGCTGCTGCTAACAACAGCACTACCCACAATCCTACAGGGTAACAGCGTCTCTGATTATATAAAGTTTATTATATAATATATTATATATATATATATATATATATATATATATATATATATTAATATATATATATAATATAATATTGCCACCAGCTGGTTAGCTTAGCTTAGCATAAAGACTGAAAACAGGGGGAAACAGCTAGCCTAGCATACTAGCACCTCTAAAGCTCTCTGATTATATATCGAACAGAAACTGAATGTTGGTTGTTGTTGTTGTTGTTAATGAACTGTTGTTTGATTAAGATAAAAAAAACGTTTGTTTCATGCTAAGCTAAGCTAGCAGCCCCTGAACCTGTGAGTTCAGCTGAGGACAGACAGGACCTGTCTCACTGATCTGGAGTCAGTTGTTTGGGGGGGGTGAAGTGATGGTTGGAGGTAGATGGAGCTCCCCCCCCGTCTGCAGGCTGCTGATCCTCTGGAGGGAGGAGTGTAACCACAACAGTAACCGTTGAGGACCGGCTGGGCGTTGGCCCGGCTGGGTGAGCTGATAAACAGAGGGGGGGAGGAGGGGGAGGAGGAGGAGGGAGGGGGAGGAGGAGGGGGGGAGGAGGGGGGAGGGAGGAGGAGGGAGGCAGATGAAAGAAACAGGAAGTGGGAGGATATCCTCCAGCAGGCTGTTTAGGTACAAGGTCCTACTGTTTTACTCTCTGTCCCCCCCCTCCTCCTCCGGCGGGTCGGAACCGGATCAATTGTTCTGAAAGACGATCTGTTCACTGGAAGATCAGCAGAATGTTTCTGATGTTAGACTGTTGAGGGAGTCGCCTCGGTACCGCTGCCTGTCTGTCTGTCTGTCTGTCTGTCTGTCTGTCTGTCTGTCTGTCTGTCTGCCTGTCTGTCTGTCTGTCTGTCTGTCTGCCTGTCTGTCTGTCTGCCTGTCTGTCTGCCTGTCTGTCTGTCAGTCTGTCTGTCTGTCTGTCTGCCGCCTGTCAGTACTGTCTGTCTGTCTGTCTGTCTGTCTGTCTGTCTGCCGTCTGTCTGTCTGTCAGTCTGCCTCTGTCTGTCTGTCTGCCTGTCTGTCTGTCTGTCTGCCTGTCTGTCTGCCTGCCTGTCTGTCTGTCTGCCTGTCTGTCTGTCTGTCTGTCTGTCTGTCTGTCTGTCTGTCTGTCTGTCTGTCTGTCTGCCTGTCTGTCTGTCTGTCTGTCTGCCTGTCTGTCTGTCTGTCTGCCTGTCTGTCTGTCTGTCTGTCTGTCTGCCTGTCTGTCTGTCTGTCTGCCTGTCTGTCTGTCTGCCTGTCAGTCTGCCTGTCTGTCTGTCTGTCTGTCTGTCTGCCTGTCAGTCAGTCTGTCTGTCTGTCTGTCTGCCTGTCTGTCTGTCTGTCTGTCTGTCTGTCTGTCTGTCTGTCTGTCTGTCTGTCTGCCTGTCTGTCTGTCTGTCTGCCTGTCTGTCTGTCTGTCTGTCTCTGAGTTCAGTTGCTAACGCTAACAGCAGCTACATTAGCCGTTAATATATCTGATCGTACAGTGATCAATGAGCTCCGTGTCTCTAACAGCTGCAGATTGATTGACGGGTGAATATCAGGATGTTATTGGTTGGAAATAGTTAGTTCATGCTGACGTAAACACGCGTCACACTGAGTTTCACAGGACGACACAGTGATTGGATTTATATAAAAACTGAATGTTTTGTGAGACGTTGTTAAAAAGAGCAACAATAGAACTATAATTTAATCCGGACTGTGCTTTCATCAGTGAGCAGCAGTAAATATATATTTCCTCTTTTAAAATGTCTGCTGTAAAAACGTTGTGCAGCAGAAATGTAATTTCATTAGTTTGAGATGAGTCATCCCTAAAAGGCTGAGCGACTGTACGATGATGCGTTTCCTGACTGACTCTCTCTGTCTTTGTTCAGCTGATAGAAACCACACAGGAGGAAGGTTCCTCTCAGCCATGCAGAAGGTAATCCATCATCCCGCTCGACATCGCTGCCGTAAAGAAACGCCGTCAGACGGTTGGACGCCACGTCATCAGGCGTGAGGGGGTCGGGAACGAAGGTTTTATCTCGTGTAGTGAACAGTGTAGTGACGCCTCATCTGGAAGCCATTTCGTTGTTCGCACCAACAGAGAAACCTCCTGGTTTTAGGGCTGATCTCGCTCGAGTTCAACGCTTTCTGTAGCTCTCAGATTCTTTCACTGTGGAAGCTTATTGCTGCCAGAAAAATATAAACTTTAAAAACTTTTCACGTTATAAGTTATAATACATGTTCATGTTATTACATCGTTCAACCAACTGAACGATCTGTAGTTGTACTTGGAGTGGGCGGGGCTTAAACAGAATGTGGGCGGGGCTTAAACAGAATGTGAGTAACTTGAAGTTGCTAATTTAAACCTGAAATGGATACAGGCTGATCAGAAGTTGCTTTATTTATTATTTAAAATATTTACAGAATTGTTTTACAGTAAATTATCTGTCCCAGTTTCAGACTCGTTAATTACGACATTCAAAACTTAAAACCTGTCTGAAATATAAACTATGAAAATAAGATACTAACGTCTCTGTTATTGTCACAGGTGGAGGGACAGGTAAACCCGATCAACCTGCCTTCTTCCAGGGGCCCGAGCACTCCGGGGTCTCCCGCCACCAGCATCACGGTAATCAGCCTCTTTATTTATACCTGCGGCATTATGAGTGTGTACGAACACACACACACACACACACACACACACTCACCTGGTACCTGTGTGTGTGTGTTCAGGCCAGAGTGAACGACCAGGTGGTGGGTTACAGAGACCTGGCCGCTATTCCCAGAGATAAAGCCATCCTGCAGGTGGAGAGACCCGACCTGATGACCTACCAACCACACCTGACCTTCTCCCCGCTCGACCAGCCGCGCAGAGAGGTACATTACACATTATACATTTATATATTTATACATTTATATATTTATATATTACATTCCTACAAACTGTTAATCCGATTACAGTAGTTTGACTCTGTGTCTGACTGTGTCTCTGCAGAGATCTATGTCTCCTCCCTCGACGTCTCCTCCCAGGTCTCCTGAGGTAAAAGCTGCTTCAACTGTTTTGGATAAATACACTTTTTTTTTTTTAAGTCTGATGTGTTTTTAATGTTTTACTATTTGATGTTGTTTGGCTGCTTTTATGTTTTTTTTTATATGTAAAGTGTCTTTGAGTATTTAGAAAAGCGCTTATAAATAAAATGTATTATTATTATTATTTTTTTTTTAAAGAGAGACTCCTCCATAAACTGAGCTGTAAACTGAATTCTGTGATAAAACACATCAGTGCTGCTGTTAATATTCACATTAACACCAAATGTATGTGCTGAAAATGTTTTAAATCAGCCTGAACCTTGTAGCCGTTAGCTTAGCTACAAACCAAGTGTGAACCTAACACGACGTCACCCATTGTTTTGTGGAGAACCATTTGGAATGACAGTAAAACGGAGCCAGCAGAGGTCACGTAAAGCGAGTTGCTCTGCTCTCATTGGCTGCTCGCCTGCTCACACAGGATCTGGTATTCCAGATAAACAGTAAAATGTGTTTGTGAACAGATCTGAGGAGAGAAATAGTCAACAACAGAATCTGGATCCATATCTGATCAGCACTGTTTGACAGTTTGATCTGAGTTTGGTTGAGCTGGGCGGACTCACTGAGAATGAGCTGTCAATCACAAGGTAGCCCCGCCCTAAAGCATACCCTGCTTTATGGTCTGTTTTACTCTAAATGGGACCATCAGTTACTAAATGAACATCATGCTGTATGGAAGAAGACTGAAACTAGAGACTGAGACCAGAAACTCATCAGGAAACTGTTTACTGAGGGAATAAAGGAAGTCGGCTCATTCTCCATGAATGGGATCAGTTTATATTGCAGCCAGTGGCGCTCCCCCTGCTGACCGTCACAGAGAATGCAGGTTTTCAGAAACTTCCTCATTGGCTTCACTTTTTAGAAGAGAAGCTCTGTCCGACTGTCAATGCTACAAACACAGCTGTTAGCTCAGCTACAAACAGGTAGCATACAGAAACCTTCACAAACAGCGTGAATGTGCTTCTAGTGACTGTAAGAGCTCCAGTTGATTCCTGGGAGTGGAAAAGAACAAGACAATGTTTTGTTGTTAGCAGACAAAAAAGTTGATATTATTATTATTTAATTTAAAAATCACCAAAACAACAACAAAGTCGACCTTGTGATGAGAGGTTTTAATATGACTTAGTAGTATAACTTGCTGGTGAACAGCCGGTGAACAGCGTCTCATCCTGTAGGTGAACTCTTGGTGACACATTCCTCTGTGAGTCAGTGACTTTTTGAGAAAACTGTAGTTTAACTGATATTCAGATTCTTCTCAATCGCTGCTTTGTCTCCTCACAGCGATAAAAATGTGACATTTAATGTGTCCAGTTCGCCTGCAGCCTCTGAGGACAGAGAGCTTCTCTGTTGCTGCAGCCGGCGGTTCGGTACAGTGCCGGCGGCATTGGGCCCCGTAGGGAGAGCGGGCCCTCCAACAGTGTGCTGGGAGTCATAAGAGTGCCATAAATAATAATAAATCTGTCAAAGGATCAGAAAATAAATGTGAAAATATAAAGACAAATATAAAAATAAAGAAGAATATTTTTGTTCTTCGTTGAAGATTTGCTGCTGTGGGTTTTAAAGGGTTAATGAATCTGTGTTTTCCAGGTGAAGATAGCGAGCAGAACAGAAAGTGAGAGTGGTTCTCCTGGAGGATCCACGCTGCAGCTGCAGGCTGTTCGTAAGATCAGTGCGAGCCAGCAGCACTTCCACAGACCAGGTAAACACACATTTATAATAACATACGATGTGGGGACCTGGTTTATGTCCTCCAAAGGGATGTCCGGTCCCCATAATGTCCCCATGTGGTACAACGTTCACACACAAGCTTGTTTATAAGGCTATTTTCATTTAATTATTGTTAGAAATAATTTTAAATAAGATATAAGATTTCCAAGTTTAGACTTATATATTATCAATCTCAAATAAAAAAAGAAAAATCATCGTTTTATTTATTTATCCAATTAATTAATTCTGTTTCTTGCTACTGTTTTGTTTTAAAAACAGAATAAGGAAATTATTAACCAAAGCTTACTTTTTCTTATGATTAATTTATCATTTAAAAAAATCAATATTATCAAAGTGTTTTTGAAATGTATCAATTTATGAATTGATTATAAATAAATAGTTAATAATTATTTCAATGACACACACACGGCTGCATAGTTTTAATTTTGGTCGTGAGTATAAACTTTTAAAACAGGGAAACTTTAATCTTTAACATTTAGATTCAAAACATTTGATCCCAAACAAATAAAAAATTGAAAATGAATCTGATTTAATTATTGTATTTTAATATTGGCATTGTTGAACTTCCAAACTGTGATAACTTTTTCAGATAATGGAACCAACATCTACAGGAAACCTCCGATCTACAAACATGGTGAGTTTTTATTCACGTTCTTTAGTTTCTGTATTTTCGTTTCTTCCTCGCTGATGCAGCTTCCCGTCTCTCTGCAGATGTTAATAAACATGTGGAAGGCGTCATTCAGTCAGCAAAGTTTCCAGCAGCTCAGCCTCCAGATCCCAACCAGCCGTCCAAGATCGAGACCGAGTACTGGCCCTGCCCACCCTCACTGGCTGCCATGGGTAACAAACACATCGACACTCTCAGTTTATCTGCAGTTTAACTTTAAACCTGTGTGCCGGAAACTAAACCATGTGGTTATTAACCAAACTCCACCTGTTGTTTAGTTTAAAGTTGCCTTATCCTGCAGAAACCACCTAAACACCACAAGAGGGTAGTGTTGCTTTCGTCAACGAAAATTGTGACTAAATATCGTCGTCAACGAACCTTTATCACGTGACGGAAATGAGACGAGACCCAACGTAAATGGTGGTCATGTGACGAAAACTATAATCAAATATATAATGCAATATTGTTGACGAATAAAAACGGGACTAAATGTGGTTTGCAAAATCAAACTCTGCTAAAATATCTCTTCATTTTCGTTGACCAAAACGAGACAAGACGAAATGTTCTAACGTTATTTCGTCTCGTTATTATTATTATTTTGAAGTATTTCTGTTTCCTGAGTCTCGGGGCTGCATCAGCGCACTGCACAGACGCAGGCGACATGACTTCCTCAATCCCCACTCGCGGCATTATTTAGAAGATGCAGCTGCGGTGGGTTAACGTTAGTCACAGACACACATTTTATTGGCACTTTTTTATTATGTTATTGTAGCTCGAGCGTTCAAGCACCTTGTTTCTCTCTAAGTTAAACTTGAATGTAATGTCAGTTTTTTCTGACATTGTCATTTGAAGCTATTTTATTTATTTAAATTTATGTGTGTGTACTTCTTACATGTTTGGTAGGTAAAATAAATATGTTGTAAATTCAAATCAGAGCGTCTTCCGTGTCTGGAATTTTTTGTATTCCGGAGTCTATAAGGTAACAATAATATAACAATAAGATAACCTTGTTTGACTTGTGAAATGGGTGACTTAAAGAAAATGTTGGTTTTGTCTATACTATACTAGGTACTTGTACTATATTAACTGGGTTAAATAGAATTGCATTACTAAAAAGAGACTAAAATACTATTTTCATTGACTAAAACTAGACTAAAATAGTCATGGATCATTCTGACTAAAATAAGACTAAAATGCTCAGACCTTTAGTCAACTGAAACTTGACTAGACTAAAAAGAGTACAAACGTTACTAAAACTAATAAAAACTAAAATGACAGTTTGACACAAAAACTAGACTAAAACTAAAATTAAAACAGGCTGCCAAAAACAACACTACTAGAGGGCATCATATCAGATATTTAACTTAAATGTTATATATACACATGAGATTCACTGCCACTAGATGTCACAGTAGAGCTCCAGCATCTCAGACCAAAACAATTACCCACCAGACACCATTAACAAAACCAGTAATTTTACCTATCAGATAATTATGATGATGATTATTATAAAACCTACCAAAACCGTCTCTGTTAGTCTTTCCAACAATCACCAACTCTGGTTTGGTGGAAAAAAAGTCCTTAATTCACAGAGTTAGATGTTACAATGTTTTTGTAAAGGGCAGCAGTGACTTCAACGTAAGCTAACGTTAACCCTCGGGGACAAATGCACCGTCAAAGTGCGTCCACTAACAGTAATTGTTGTTTGTTCCACTAACAGTAGTTGTTGTTTGTTCCACTAACAGTAGTTGTTGTTTGTTCCACTAACAGTAGTTGTTTGTTCCACTAACAGTTGTTGTTGTTTGTTCCACTAACAGTAGTTGTTTGTTCCACTAACAGTAGTTGTTTGTTCCACTAACAGTTGTTGTTGTTTGTTCCACTAACAGTAGTTGTTGTTTGTTCCACTAACAGTAGTTGTTGTTTGTTCCACTAACAGTAGTAGTTTCTGCCACTGACAGACTCAGGTTGTTATTGTCAGTGTCTGACAGCATTATGGAAAGGATCCCTACAGAGATAGACCTTTAGTTTAACCACAAACAGCCGTAATGTCACTATCACTCTCCACCAGACTCCAGAGAAGAAAACACTAATTTTACCTTCAGATCATCGTAACTTCATTCAAAGTGGACAGAAACAGAATAAAACTCATTAAAACCGTCTCTGTTGGTGTTTCTGCTGTTGATGCAGAGCGAACTAACTTTAAGGTTGAACTCTGGCAGAGATCGAGTGGAAGAAGAAGAAGCTGCAGGAGGAAGATGAGTTTGAAGACCTGACAGAGGAGGCCAATACGCTGCAGGAGCAAGAGCTGGAAAAGGTTTGTTTAAATCTGAGTAACACACACACACACACACACACACAGAGTAATAACCAGCAGGAATGACTGACTGTCTGTGGTGAATCCAGATCAAGTCCAACCTGGGTCGTCTCATCCTGAAGGAAGAAAAGGAAAAGGCTGTTCACTTTCGGAGGAAGACGCAATCGTTGCCCGACAGAACTCATATGCACACCAGTAAGACTGATTCTCCTTTCAGTTTCTGAGTTTAGGAGGAATCAGTTCTCAACCGTCTCTCTTTCATTTGTTTGACGGCAGGTTTATCAGCAAGTGCATCGAAGTCTCCTTCACACTCAGGCGTAGGCTTGACCAGAGTAAGTGTTCATATATCAACACATCATGAGTCAGAACAGACTGATAATAAAGATATTAGAGATGTAAAGCTGAGGGGAAGTTCTGGGGTGGAGATGATGTTTGGATTGGGTCTACTGTGACTTCCCAACATACATCGAATCAGTGAACTCTTGTAAATTACTGTCCAGATATACTACGAGTGTTTCTATATAGTCAGAGAACAGTTTACTTACTTGTAACTCACAACAACTCCCTGATTTCCTCTCAAATAAAGATGCTGTTGTGCTGCTCAAACTTATAGTTAATCTCTCGTCATCATGATTTCTGGCAGAAAGACAACTGCTGAGTAGTCTCACATTGACAGACCGATCTACAGAAGTTTATTACACTTTTCCTCTAACTGTACATCGATGACTCGACGCCAAAAAGATGCAACTAGTCTGTTCTGGTATTGAAGTGCACAGCTCATCCTACCAACAGTCGAGTGTTAAATACTCACCCAGGTTTACACTAGTGATCTGAGACAGCTTAAATTATTTCCAAGATTTTTGGTCATTTGAATCAATTTCCATGACTGAAAACTAGTCTGTAATTTTCCAGGTATTCAAGGTTTCAAGGGTGCAAGGGAGTCCCAGAGTCTGTTTCACTCCTTTAAAGATCAGTTTCAATAGTTTATGTTGGAGCTTGTGTCAAATGAAGAACACTAAGTAATATTGTCCGAAGCTTCAAAAACAATATTATTAGTTGGTGAGAAATTGTTGAACAGTAAATTTACTGATTTATAATCTGTTTTGTTTATTTTCAGATGCAGTCTGCAGAGTTTTCCACAGACGGAGATAAAGGACGGTCAGGTAGGGTTCTTAAATATAATAATAAATATTATATATATTATTTATAAAAGACATATTCTGTCCAAAATCTACGGCTGTAATTATTGTAACTTTCTGAATGTCTGCACAACATGTAAAACCACAAACTTTGGTTTTCACATGACAGTTTTCTTTACATCTAAAACGGTGAGCATTTGTCTGTTAGCTTTAGAGGCTAGCTGTTTCCCTCAGCTATCAGTCTTTATGCTAAGCTAGCCACATCTTCACTCACAGACATGAGATTGATATTGATCTTAACACTTGAACTGAACCAGTGTTTAGAGTTATAACAGATACATCAGTCCCAGATGACCATGAATCTACTGCAGCACTGTGATCATGTGTTATGTTCTGGAGCTCACTCTCTGATCTTCCTGTCGTCATGTCTTTGCAGCTGCTCAGGTAAGCTCAGTCGGCTCAGACTGTTTGTGTGGCATGTGCATGGCCAGTGCTGTGTTTAACCTGCGAGTGAACAGCTGTCTGCACTATAACTTCTCCTGCACAACCCTGATCCATCTGAACAAAGTCTGTCTGCCCCGAAAACACTGAACAGATGTTTGTGCGCTAAATCACCAACGCTGTGCACCTACTTCAAACTCGCTGCTTTCTTCTGGCTTGGCATTATTGTGATGGTTTATATGTTGACCAGATTGTAGAGGAGTGTCCTTCATACTGTGTGTGTGTGTGTGTGTGTGTGTGTGTGTGTGTGTGTGTGTGTGCAGAACGGAGAGGCTCGGAGGGAGAGGATGGACAGAGGAAACTCTCTGCCGAGTATCCTGGAGCAGAAGGTGAGAGCTGCTCCAGCTGCACATCAGCTCAGTTCATCAAGATTCACGCACAATAGAGTTTAGGTCCAGGATGTGGTTAGCCTAGCTTAGCACAAAGACTGGAAGCAGGGGGAAAGTGCTAGCCTAGCTCCATAAAAAGAGAAATTATGTATGTGCCTTACAACCAGACATAAAATGTAATTTACACGTTGTATTAAAGACGTATAGAGATACAAACATACTGAAATAAAGAGAAATACAGAGAGAAATTTAGAGTAAAAGATTTAACTAAACATAATAAAGTTATAGTTGGTAAAGATAGAGGGAGGTATAGGGAGAGAAATAGAAATAAATATATATACAGAGCGAGGTCCTGGACGAGCCCCCATTTGTCACAAATTCCACACAATAATTATTATTATTAAACCAAGGTCCACACAAATCAGAAGACACGACAGTGAAACAGGCTGGATTCAGCTGTAGGAGGGACTGAGTGAACACAGGGACCAGGTTTTACACCTACAGGGACCAGGTTTTATACCTACAGGGACCAGGTTTATACCTACAGGGACCAGGTTTTACACCTACAGGGACCAGGTTTTATACCTACAGGGTTTTATATCTACAGGGACCAGGTTTTATACCTACAGGGACCAGGTTTTACACCTACAGGGACCAGGTTTTATATCTACAGGGACCAGGTTTTACACCTACAGGGACCAGGTTTTATATCTACAGGGACCAGGTTTTACACCTACAGGGACCAGGTTTTTCACCTACAGGGACCAGGTTTTACATCTACAGGGACCAGGTTTTATATCTACAGGGACCAGGTTTTACACCTACAGGGTTTTACACCTACAGGGACCAGGTTTTTCACCTACGGGGACCAGGTTTTATACCTACAGGGACCAGGTTTTATATCTACAGGGACCAGGTTTTATACCTACAGGGTTTTACACCTAAAGGGACCAGGTTTTACACCTACAGGGACCAGATTTTATATCTACAGGGACCAGGTTTTATACCTACAGGGTTTTACACCTACAGGGACCAGGTTTTACACCTACAGGGTTTTATATCTACAGGGTTTTACACCTAAAGGGACCAGGTTTTACACCTACAGGGACCAGATTTTATATCTACAGGGACCAGGTTTTATACCTACAGGGTTTTATATCTACAGGGACCAGGTGACCTTCACGTGGGCTTTACTACAGTTATATAGACATATATGTGTTTATGTATTTATATATATGGAGACAGTCTGAGCTTAACATATAAAACAGAGATAGAAATATAGAAAGATGTAGAGCTATAGACAGACAGATATATAGAGATAAAGAGATACAAAAATATAGAAATAGAAGATATAGAAAAGATCATATAGATATAGAGATATACAAAGATAAATATAGAGTGAGTGAAACACATATAAAGAAATATATATATAAATATATATATAAATATATAAAGAGAAACAGATGAATAAATAATGAATATATTTATTGATATATATAAATGTCCACACACACAAGCCCTTTTTGTGGTTTACAGACTATTTATTGATCAACTGAATCAGACATAAAATGTTTGAACCAGATAACATTATTTGTATATGAAGGTATAAACCTGTGAAAACGTTTAATCTCCATCAGCTGGAGACATTATGTAATAGGTTATTGATCTGTATGAGGTTGATATATTGTGCTGTTGGATTTATATCTGCGACTGATTGATTTATTGATTAATGTGTCTGATTTCATTCATTCTTTTATACAGTTTGTGTTGTTGGATTGAAGCGTATTAAAAAGTGTTTGTTATCATTGTTTTAAACAGAATACAAATATTAGACAGAAAATGGAAATATGAAAGAAAATTCTTAATATATTCAAATAATACTTGTAATTTTACCTGTTGAGTTTATTCATATATTATATTATATTATATATTATCTCTGTCTGCTGTTCAGATCTATCCCTATGAAGCACTGATTGTGACCCACAGAGGGCGCTGTAAGCTGCCACCAGGAGTCGACCGCACTCGACTGGAGGTTTGTGTCAGAGATCAGTTTGATTGATTGATTAGTCTACGTGTTTCCATCCTGAACAGCAGCTGATTCCTGAGAGCCTGAAAGATACAGTGTACACTGATCAATATCATCCATAAAGATACAGTGTACACTGATCAATATCATCCATCAAGATACAGTGTACACTGATCAATATCATCCACAAAGATACAGTGTATACTGATCAATAATCAATAAGATAATCAATAATAGTGTTGTTCCCTCCCCTCAGAGGCACCTGTCCCCGGAGGAGTTCCAGCAGCTGTTCGGGATGCCGATCGGAGAGTTTGATCGACTCTCTTTGTGGAAACGAAATGAACTGAAGAAGAAAGTCTCACTTTTCTAACAGGAAGTGACCTCATTCCCCCTCGAAATACTTGATGAACCAATCAGAGGAGAGAACAAATATCAACAAACCTCCATCTTACTAACCAATCACGTCCCTGGATGTGTCAGCCCCCCCCTTTATACTAACTGATGCACTGACACTTATAACCACCACTGCTTGCAAATCATCCTCATCATGTGTCCACTCACCATCACCACCATCATCATCATCATCATCACCATCACCATCATCATCACCATCATCATCATCATCATCACCATCACCATCCTCATCGCCATGGTTACGTTCTGTTCCACTGAGCCCCACAGGGCTGAATCAGGAAGTGAGATTAGCCTGTTAGCAGCTGTCGAACTCTTCTGGTATCATGAAGCTGGTTAACTGTGGTAGGTCACCGTGGTAACGGGGGTGGGTCACCGTGGTAACGGGGGTGGGTCACCGTGGTAACCCTACGATGCAGGGCTAACGATCAGCAGTCAACTACTGACCAATCAGATGATTGATGAGGTCAATATTGTTAATATGTTAATAGATCAATGATCTTATCAGACTGATGAAAGGTGATTGTTATTGTTATTATTGCTGCGTATTGATCCCGTTCAGTTGATAAGCTAACTTTTGTAGCCGTGCTAGCAGCCATGCTAACAGCTGTGTGAGGCTGCTTTGAGCTAAATGCTAACATGCTAATGTTTGTTGTAATAATGTTACCTTCTTAGTTTAGCATCTTAGCATGCTAACGATTGCTAATTAACACTAAAGTACAACTGAGGTTGATCAGATATTTGATATATTTAATAATAATTAAATTACTCACATGACCCCGGTGTGGGCGGGGCCTTAAACCAAAATGGGCGGGGCTAACTGGAAGTTATTTATTAGTTAAATTATTAATTTATTAATTGATAATTGTTGATGAAAAGTTGCTGTTTATTAAAAAACTATTTACAGAACAGCCTCAGAAATAACCATCTTCAAAATGTGGTTGTCCTTTCAGCATAGATTAGCTTAGCATATAGCATACTGACCGAGGCTCGCTCAGCTGTGATTGGAGCAAAGAGCAAAAAGGGGGCGGGGCTTATGAAGGGTTAACTGACCTTCAGAATAATGTTTTTAATGATGAAAAGTCACATTTTTCCACGATCCATCCGATCGATATTTCAGTCTGGAACAAGATGGAGGACCGACTTCAGCCAACAAACATACAAACATACAAACATATAAACATACAAACATATAAACATATAAACATATAAACATACAAACATACAAACATATAAACATATAAACATACAAACATATAAACATATAAACATACAACGAACTGAATCACATGATCAGCAGTCGTTTCAGCTGCTCACAGACTTCCTGATTCGGTCCTCTGAGGTGTTTCTGCTTTAAACTTGAATGACAGCTGATTAATGTGAGGTATTAAACATGTAACAGATTGTAATTTATATTTATGATGGGACGATTTTTATTTGTGATTTTTTTTATTCCACAGGTTTGTTTGCTACTGTTTTATTTTGAAAATCTGATTTTTTTTTTGCTGTACAGTTGTTTTTTTTTATGAGCACCAACTGATGACTTTAACATTTCACCCACATACCGACATCTTAAAGGAGCAGTTCGTACTAATCAACATGGTAGCGTCTGTATTGGATCGCCGTCTTCACGCTCAGTGTCCGTTCTTCATGCTTTCTTCTGGTCAACGCCTCCAACGCCTCCAACGCCATCCTCCTCTTTGTTTCTGTCTACGTTGTAAAGGAGTCAAATAAATCAGAGAGAAAAACAGAAGCTGTGTGTTTGTCTCCTTTAACTCACCACACCTGAGAGCACTTTTATTTATTTTTAGGTTTGAAGATAAAGTCTTTATAGTCGATCAATAATCAAACAATAACGATTGATTTCTTCTGTTCTTCTTGTTTTCACTGTTAGCCAGCATTTTGCTCGATAGCAGTAACAGTAGGTAACTAGAGAGCTAATCTACATCAATTGTCAGCTAACTAGTTCAATCTAAAAGCTTTCAGTGATTCTGGTGAAACGATCAGATTTTATGGAGAAAATATTTCCTGGTTTTCCCTCCGACGTCCTAAAGTAGCTAACTGCTAATTAACTGTATCTGGCATTAGCGGGCGGCAGAACCGGGCTCAGCAGCAGAACCGGGCTCAGCAGCCGGACCAGGATCGAACGCAGCCTCCGAGACCGACAGGGAATAACGTTACAGTTTCCCGATGGACAGATTGATCAGTAGCTGACTGCTAACTGCTGCTAGCTCGGTCAGCTGGATTCCCTGTGAGACGGCGCCGACGGTCTCAGAGATTGTGTTCGGTCCCGGGTCCGTCTGCGTTCACTGGTCGGTAGCACTGATGCTAGCTCATAGCGCTAGCTGCTATTGGCTGCTGTGAACTCTAATATCTACGATAAGTCCGTCACTCTCTGCCTCCGTTTGATGTGGACTTTAAATACAGTCAGAAACGATACAGGAGAATTTGTTGCTCTGCAGATTTAAATAATGAGTCATCTGTTATCTTCTATTACTTTTCTTTCAGCTCATGTTTGATTTGCTGTATTTCTGTATTTGTTACTAGAGCTTCACACCTCCTGCTGTAGGGATTTTTTCACACCTCTCATCGTGACAGATTCTGTAACGCCGCCGATTGTGTTCAAACTCCCCCACGGCTGCATTCCTATTATCATCAACCTTCTCTGCAGCGAACTTCATCCGAGCGAGCTGCAGGTAATAATGTGGAGGGTTTGTGTTGCTAAGGAACATATGGGCCTACACATAAAAGCGAGGAGCTGGAGATGTTTCAATGCCACTCGTCTCCTCGCTGGATGAAACCGCACAAAGCAACACCTCCCACGCCGGCCTTTGATTGGCAGCCGCGCGGCGACGGAGAGACGGCGTCCTTGAGCTCCGAGAGCAGCAGTGAACAGACACACACAGGCACCGAATACTTTTCTGCTTTTTTTTATTTGAATGGAGTGAAACATCTACATAAATGAGAGGCCTCGCAATACATGTACTCGACAAAAAAAAAGTTCTCTTTATTTCCAAATTTATCTGTAAAGAAAAACAAATCTTGATTTTTATCTTTTAAAGCGTTTCTGTACATTCTGTGAGATATGTTCTGAGACCCGAACAGAAGTCAGAAACGAGGCCTCGCTCCCAACAACATACGTCACCCGCACACCCCCCCGAAAAATAAAGAACAGAACAGTTCAATCAAACCCACCCGGGTCCGAACCCTCACTGCCCCCCCCCAACACCTCGAGCCTCCTCCTCTCTCTTTAAGGATTATAAGTTTATCAGAACTTCTGTTTCTAGTTTGTCCGTCATTTCTATCGGTGACATCAGAACCACTGACAGCGTTTCCACCAGGAAGTCAGAGAGCGGCTCCAGAACCAGTTCTTCCTGTTTCAAACTGGTTCCAGTGCAGCAGCCTTACTGGTCAACGAGGCCCCTGCTAACCGTTTATTAGCTGTTTATTAGCCGTTTAACGAGCTAATAATTTGTAAGATCAATGTATCGAACGTTACACTGAGCTAGCTGGCTAACGTAGCTACGAAGGTTTTCGGTGTTCGTTACATTGATGCTATGACTAACAGCGCTAGCTAGCATTACCTTGGTAACAACAGCTAACAGCAAACCGGTTCTCAGGTTGACTCTGAACCGGCACCAGACCAGAACTCGGTCTGGTCTCGACCCGATTCCGTCGGGGGGGCTTTAGTCAACCAGCTACGTATTTATTAGCCGTTTAGCAAACTAACCATCATCACGTCTTCAACGTTAGCTTACGTTAGCATTAGCTGGTAATCGCTCAGATAACGTAGCCAGCTAGCGTAGCCTTGGTCCGCGTTGGTGGAAAGGAAATAAAAGTTAGCATCTGCGAACACGTTGAAGTCTGACGGGTCAGAACCCGACTGCAGGAGCCGTTCAGTTGGACCACTTCCTGTAAAGAGACGACCCGTCAGAATTCGTCCAGAACCGATAGAAACGACGGCCAAAGACACGAAACCACGAAACCACGACCGGTTTGTGTCCGACGTAAAGATCGGAAGTCGCGGTTCAGTTACGTTTAATCTTCACGCAGAAGAAGAGAGTCAGTGGACGACCCGAGTTGTAATAAAAAGCAGAAGAACCCTTTAATGGAGCCTTTCTAAGCCCCGCCCCTTTTAGAACCACGGCTCTTCCTGTACTTAGAGATGCTACATGCTAAGCTAATCTATGTTGGAGGTACAACCACAGTTGGAAGATAAAAGATATAAACTAATGATTGATGGAGATTAAAAAAGCTAGTTAGCTAGTTTAGCTAACATGAGCTAATACATTAGCAATCATTAGCTAGCTACATAGCTAATGTTAGCAAAATGCTAGCTAACTAGCTAGATAATTTATATCAGTTGTCAAGCTAGTTAACATTAGCTAAAGATGTGACTAACATATCTTTGAACCATCACACATTAGCTTAGCATGTAGCATATCTAAGTACAGGAAAGGAGGAAGTTGACTGAGGATTGCTCAACTGTGATTGGAGCACAGAGTAAAAGGGGCGGGGCTTAGGAAGGATGAATTCTTCCTCTCCTCACCTGTCTGTGCCCCTCCCCCCTCCCTCCCCCCCCCGCTCTGGATAATTAAGCCTAAATCTATGTTGTAAAAAAAAACAAAAACAAAAAATAACCCATCACATTGAAAAGAGGGAACAATTAAAATATACATATATAATATAAATGTCAATACTCGCTCCTCAGAGCTCAGTCACACTATCATTGGCATAAGAAAGGATGGATTTTATGCGATCTGATTCTGTCTGTGTGTGTGTGTGTCTCTGTGTGTGTGTGTGTGTGTGTGTGTGTTACTGTGTGTGTGTGTGTGTGTCTTGTGTGTGTGTGTGTGTGTGTGCGTCTGTGTGTGTGTGTGTGTGTGTGTGTGTGTGTTACTGTGTGTGTGTGTGTGTCTCTGTGTGTTACTGTGTGTGTGTCTTGTGTGTGTGTGTGTGTGTGTCTCTGTGTGTGTGTCTCTGTGTGTGTGTGTGTGTGTCTCTGTGTGTGTTACTGTGTGTGTGTGTGTGTGTGTGTGTGTGTGTGTGTGTGTGTGTGTGTCTGTGTGTGTGTGTGTGTGTGTGTGTCTCTGTGTGTGTGTGTGTGTGTGTGTGTGTGTGTCTCTGTGTGTGTGTGTGTGTGTGTGTGTCTGTGTGTGTGTGTGTGTGTGTGTGTGTGTCTCTGTGTGTGTGTGTGTGCGTGGGCACGAGCGCAGCGTCACTTCCTCCCTCCACACAAAGTAAAGCGCTGATAGAAAGGTGCCTCCGGGTTATAAAATGGATTCTGCCGGGCAGTGATCGCCGTCAGTGAGTCCGTGTCGCTTTGAGATTTTATCCTGTTCAGTCTTAAACTATGATATTTAATAGATGATAAAATAAATTAAGCGTGGTGAGAGTCGCTCGGACTGAACTGCCTCTTCTCCTGCTCTTAAAGGAGAGAGGAGGGGAAGGGAAGGAGGCAAGGGAAGGAAAGCAAGGGAGGGAGGAGAGGAGGAAGAGAGAGGAAGAAGAGGGAGGAGATAAAGGGGTTTTTAGGCCTGTGCGTTGGTGCCGTTCTTGTCCGGTGGTCCGGTGCTGGCCGGCAGGTTGTTGAGGGAGGGGGCGGCCTCCTGTTGCTTGCTGTCGCGGCGGGGGGGCATCCTCTCGTTGATGCGGTCCAGACCTCGAGCCTCCTCGAAGCTCTGGATCTTGTGCTGCGGGTTGAAGCCTTGAATGGCTGCGAGGAAACAGAAAGGTGTGAGAGCGGCGCCGAAACAGCCTGAAACACAGCAGGGACGGACCGGAACCTACAGAGGCTCGTTCACGCCAATGTGACGGGAAAACAAAATAATTTTATAATGAGAAACACTCTCAGAATTATGTATTAGGGCCAGACTAAGAGATTTCTTTTTGGGGGGGGAATTACGAGAATAAAGTCGGAATATTACGAGAATAAAGTCGGAATATTATGACTATATTATGATATATATTTATTCTCGTAATTTCCCCCCAAAAAAGTCTTAGTCTGGCCCGAATACTCCGTCGTATAAAATAACGACTTTGTGATACTAAATCAAAAAATTCTCAGAATAATAAGAAACTTTATTTATTAGTTAATAAATTATTCTGACAAACTTTCTCTTATAATATAATTTATAAAATAGTTATAAAATATTTTACAGATCTATTTTCCAGTCACGTTGGCGGTAAAGAGCTTCCGTAGAAACCTCAGCTCATCCACTGACTGATGATTTTACTTTGTGACCTTGCTGCAGTTATTAATGGTACAGGAAGTGTTAGAGTACTGGGAGCACTGGTTGGACCAGGAGAGGAAACTTACTTCAGAACAGGACGAGGACAGCATGAAGACAAAGAAACAGACGTTCATTAAAGGGACATTTCACTGTTATTAGAGAGGCTATAATCCTTAATCTTATCAATTAATGTTCAATACAACATTGGTCAATGAGCTCTCACTCACTGATATAAATGGGGTGGACAAAATAATAAAAACACTTCCAAAACGATCATTGAGCAGTTCTAAACACATAATTCACATTAATATTAATTAAATGTTTAAATGTTCTAATAAATGCTGAATAAAGGGGATTAAAGTACAAATATGAGCCGTTAAAGGACGAATCAGGAGACGTGTTTCCGTCCAGATGTGTCAAATTTGAACTGAATTTTGAGTAATGAATGCAGATTGAAATAATGCTTAATGAGTGAAAACCTAATGTGTATTTTAACTGACACATCATACATTTCAATCACAATATTACCCAAAAATTAGATATTTAGGATTGTAATCATTGTATTATTCAGTGTTGAAGGTAGTTTTTATGAAGGTTTTACTGGACGTATCTTCAAACAGTAATTAGAACAAAGTGAAAAACTTTTTCCTCAATAATAAAATGTATTGTTCAGATTGTTTTCATGTATATGGATGTAATGTAATAGAGCTGGAAATGAGCTCAGTAGGTTTAAGAACTGACTCTTCGTCCAGAAAGTGTAAAAACATTTGTGTGAATCTGAATTAGTTTCCATCAAATTCTTCTAAAATAATATTTTAAATGCACAAATAAATACGCTGACGGAAACACGGCTTGTTCACTCTTACATGAGATATTCGTGATATTAGCTTCCTCGCTAAACCTAAAAACATGTTCTGTTGTGTAAATGTTGAACTACCGAGAGCGGGGTGGTGGAAATACACTGACTGACATTTAAGGCCTAATTTCCACATTTCCTCTGCGTTACCACAACAGGATTCAGGGTAAAGTGGCTCTTTACTGCGACGGCCTTGGACTCAAAATCAGTCACAAAAACAGGGTTTTTACTGAACAATGACATCATCACACAGTTAAATGAGAGACAGACACACAGAGAGACAGACAGAGAGACAGACAGACAGACAGAGAGAGATGAATGCATACCTCGTGCCTCTTCTGCCTCTACGGTGGCTGTGTAAGCGTGAGTAGAAGAAGTGCCATGCCCAAAACCAATGGAGAGAGAGTGGGAACGTTATATATCAACGCATTCAGTCAGTCACGTTATCACTGCAATCAGTCAGTCCTGTTATCATACAACCCCCCGACAACCCCCCGACAACCCCCCCCGACAACCAACATGGTAGTGACCGTACAGACAGAGGTTAGAGCTACATGGTACAAAAGGTCCTATAATAATAATAATAATAATAAGAATAAGAATCAGAATTACAATAATAATAATAATAATCAGAATCAGAATTAAAATAATAATAATAATAATAATAATAATAATCAGGGTTTGTTAGAGGGAAAATGTTTAAACCATGCTGCCCTAAAAAGATCAGACACAGTGAATATTTTCTATCTGAACGACAACGTTTTATTCTGTTTCTGTCCACTTTGAATGAAGTTATACTGTTATTATGATCTGTGAGATTATATACAAAGTGAATGCAAACACTTTACAGTCGTTATTTCAGCATCATTTTGATCTGTTTACTGACATTTAATCACATCTGTTTACTTTGGCTTCATACTGCTGCAGAGTGTGTATAGTGTATATTTACTCTTGTTCCTCCAGGTGTGAACAAACCATAAGAATAATATTCTGAGCCTGTCAGTAAAAACACGTTAGCACCGTACACCCTCGAACTCTGTAAATGAAGGATTTATTAAAACTAAGTTAGTGTTGGTGATTATTAGAAACACTAACAAACTGTTACAGTGAATTTGATTTAGTTTCTGTCCACTTTAAAGTGTGTTTAATGATTAGTGTGACATCTAGTAGCAGTAAAGTTTAAAATAAACAACCTTTAAAACAACAATTATCACAATGTCTGTTGTCCTTAATGAACTTTAAAGGGCAGCATGTTGGAGATGTTTGAACAGGTCCTTCAGAGGAGGAGAGGTCGCTCTGTGTGTGTGTGTGTGTGTGTGTGTTTCTGAGGTTAGTCTCAGTGTGAGTGCAGGCACAGGGAACAGTTAGTGTTAGCTCGACTCTGTTAGCGCTGCGTTCGATGCTCGGCTGCGTTTACACTCACCGCTTTGCAGAGTTTGCCGACCTCCAGACAAAACTCCCAGAGGCAGCGTTCCCGTCGGGGTCAGCCCCTTCAGCTGTAACACGCTCTCGTTCTCCTCTCTGTACACAGACACACAGACACAGACAGACAGACAGACAGACAGACAGACAGACAGACAGACAGACAGACAGACAGAGCGATCAATCACCTGCTGATCAACAGCGACTCAAAAACAACTTGTATTTTAGCTTCTTAATTGATGAATCATTTTAAAAGCTTCCATGTTTCCATCTCAAGTTCATCTGTTGAATCAAATATTTGCTTTACTTAAAACCAGCAGGTAAACACAATCAAATTCTAATTTATTCACTTTTAAGTTGAATACTTTTCAACATGTACGATCTAATCTTGTGTTTATGGGGATTTATTTAATCATTTGAATGTTTTTAGTTTTCCTTTACATCCAACCAATGAAATCAGAGAGGTTATTGGGCCTCACTGATTGAATGATGACGGGATGATGGTCCACCGTGAGTCAGACTCATGGTTCACTAAGTTGACCTGCAGTGCTAACCCTGAGCCCACAATGCTACCTGTAGTTTTAATATAGTTTAAAAAGCTTAAAGTTTTAGTTCCCAGCACAGACTTAATAAGTGGACTAAGAATAAGATCCGGATCAGGTGAGAAACTGTCGATATCAACTGTTCCAAAGAGCAAACTAAACACACTAATGATTAGTAATTAGTGTGTTTATGTGCGCGAGATGTTTTCAGGTGTGCACTGTGTTAGATAATGAGCCTCCGATGCTTTTCTAAGCCTTAAAATAACTTTTCTGAAGGAGAGCATTCGTCATTAGAGGACAAATGATTGTGACACACTTCCACAGGATTAAAGGAGGACACATGTAAATCAAGGAAAAAGTCATTAGCCTTAAAGCTAACTGGAGCACGACTGGAACAAGAACACAACTGTAGAGGAAGTCTGCCGTCAAACAGCTTTTCTGTCCAATAACTGCATTTATACGACTCTTTAAAGAAGATTAAGTAGAAATCTTTGTTTCCTCACAGTCAAACATTTAAACACACCTGAGCACAGAGAAGACACGCGCCATCTTTCCAATAGCCCGGATCTTATTTCTGATCACCTCCTTTCTGACGGCTGGAGTTCCTCCTGAACAACAAAGTGAAAGAAAGAAAGAGGAAAATCAGAAACACACAATCGGAGCTTTATATGTGCTTTACAGACCTCAGCTGGTTTCAAGTTACACCCTGAAAATATCTATTAACTATTTGATTCTTCCGTCTTCACTTTGGTACTTTAACACTCGATAACTGGTGTTTACTTATCAACAACTGATGAGCTTCTTGTTGTTTTAACATCTTCAAAATGTGGTTGTCGTAGCAGCATAGACATTATTAGCTTGCTCTTTAGAAATACATACATTAAAATACATCTTCAAAATCTGGTTTCAATATAGATTAGCCTAGCATGTAGCATATCTAAGTACAGAAAAGGAGGAAGTTGATCGAGGCTTTACAGTGAAATTGAAAACCTGTGGACTGGAGACAAACTTCAGGTGTGACCTTCAGTTCTCAGGACGATCAATACTAACAGCCCCACTGAGGATTGATCCGAATATTAGCACCCAGCAACTGATGAGCTCAGCTGTGGCACTCGACCTCTGTGGATAAACATCAGCTTCAACTTCCTGCAGGGTTTCACTTCCTCCTGATTAATCACATTCAGTGATAAAGATTGGCACTTCGCTGTCGGTCACCACGGCAACACGCCACTTTTTACACCGACAGCTCCTCTGTGGCTGCGAGTGGCTGCACCCACATCCACCGAGGGCAGAGCTGCAGCTCATCCATTAATGAAGTATTCTCCCATCGGTCCATTGATTAATCAGATACATACTGTATGAAAGCAACAGGAAATGTACAACAGAGAGAAAAAGCTGGTGGTTTCAGTGGGTGGGTATTCTTAAAGTATTAGAGCGGCTCCTTCCTCCACCCACAGTCTAACTGCGTCCACAGGTGGCTGTGAGTGTGTGTGAGCAGTAGTTTGGTTACATACAGTGAGTGGATGAGCTCAGGTTGCAGTGTAACACTTACTGTGTGTGTGTTTATGTTACTACGCTGTCTTCCTGTCATGCAGCTGCTGAGTTGGTCAACAGCTACAAACGAGGTTGCAGACAATTCAAGCAGCAGGTATCAGGTGGAACGTATATTAGCACGGCTGCTAACTGTACTAGCTGCTGTTAGCTAGTTAGCGGTCCTATTGGCTGTCTGTACCTGGGAGCTGGAAGGACAGGGGGAGTTTAAACACTATTAATGTAGGAGCCACAGAACCGGAGCGGGGCGGACCGACAGAGTCCGGCTGATATCCAGTGGCTCCAACCAGGACTCTGACTCTGGGATGAAGACACACCAATGACACTGAGCTTCTCTTGATCTGATAAATAACATAATAACCGTCCATTAACCGCTTAAAACGTCCATTTTATATTTTAAAATGGTCAGAAATGGATTCATAACCCCAAAACCAACTCCTACATTGCCCATATAGCCGATTATTAATGCTAATTATGCTAACTGTCCAACATATGCAGGTTAGCATGTGTCAGTGTAGCTGCTGGAGATCCAGACTGAACATTTCTAACAGTTCTGGTTCACAATAGGAAATATTAAAGCGTGTTGTGCAACAGTAGCAATCAACTATTTATAGCACCGAGGGAAATAATCTGCATGAGATTTGTAAAATATTGAATATATATATATATATATATATATATATATATATATATATATATATATATATATATATATTTATATATTTCCAGTTTGATTTCCTGTTAGTTTCCATCCATTTGACCAACGTGCAGCAGTTAGTGACTGAAGTGTCACGTGTCCGACGACAACTAGAAGTTTTCTCACACCTGCGCAACCACACAACTATCACCCGACACAGCAGCAGAAAGGTGACAAACCGTCTGCTCCGAGTCTGAAACGCCACCCGTACCCAGAGGAAACCAGTCCGTAGTTGACTGAGCTCAAACATCTGGAAGGTTTTCCTGCGAGCTCTGTTGGGGATTTGTTTTGTAATGAAGAACTGAAACAGAGAGGGAGTGATGATGATGAGTAGGTGTTGCATCCTCTTACCCTCGCACGTATCGTCCCCTTCTGACATCAGCTCGTCGTCAGAGCAGATGTTCAACACGTTCACCAGCATCTCCGTCACTGTGAAAAACAGAGAATGATTAACTTCAGCATCCATAGAGCTGCACACAAATCTACTATTATTCACTGTTAGAGAACTGTGAAAGACCTTCGACCAACAGTCTGAAAACTAAAGAGGTTCAATTCATTCACATTATGGCTGCAGGAACAAGAGAAAAACAGCTCAACCAACCAACTCTGCTGTTGCTGCTCTACTGTTAAGTTACTGCTAATTGAAAGCCATCGTTTCTTCCTGCTCTCATTTCACAAACATAAAATGCTTTTATTGTGAAGCAGCAACAGGAAGCTCATTATCATTAAAATAATGTCCAAGTCCTAAAAAAGTTCCTAAAAATATACACAGAAAATAATCTGCTCAGAATTCACCCAAATCTCTGGTTTTCCACAAACTTCCTGCAGTTATTATTCACAGTTTGAGTTCATTGTTCAGTTTATCAGCTGTTCTGTGTGTGTGAATATAGTCCGGGTACTCAGTGGGACAGCAAGGAACCGCTGATCTTAACGTCCATAAATGAAGCTGCTCTCATCAGGCAGTCATTAACAGTGTGTTGTCCTCACTCTGAAGCCCTGACACACACACACACACACACACACACACACACACACACACACACACACACACAGAGCAGCAGCCTCACCTTTCTCTCCAACGAAGGGCAGAGACCAGGTGAAGACGTCCATGAAGTTGGGCAGCCAGTAGGGGTGGGGGGAGCAGTTAAACTGCCGGATGTTCATCACATTATTCTCATATTTCAGCACCGCAGCTGGGAACACACACACACACACACACACACACACACACAGACACAGACACACACACACACACACACACACACACAGACACACACAGACACAGACACAGACACACACACACACACACACACACACACACACACAGATTAACATTTGCTACTGCGTGATGCACTTCCTGTCTCCTGTTGCCAGGGGCTTCAAGGTTTCCAACCTGTTGCCATGGTTTCCGTCCTTCGCTTCCCTTACCTTTGTTATTGTACACGTCCAGGTAGTTAGGAGCAGAGAAGATTGTAATTAAAGAAGGGAAACCTGTCGTCTGACTTTTCCTGTACATTCGATACCTGATGGACAGAAAAACACAGTTTACACTCAGAAGAGAAAGAATCAGTGATTATTGATCTGCAGGCTGCATGTAACAGCGCAGAGACAGATTATTGGTGATGTTTTTATTGATCAGGAGCTCCAGAGATCCTGCAGGCCGCTCATTGGTCAATTCGTCCGTCTTTCACATTAGTCTTTAGTTTTTATTAGTTGATGAAAAACTACCAGACAACTTTTAACAAGCGTTAGTCTCGTTTCCGTCGCCAGCAGCATCCAGTGCCGCACATTTCAAACCCCTATGAGTGAATCAGCAAAAGAAAATGCAAAGTAATGCTCGTTTCCATCCGCTACGTTACGTGGTCAACAGTAGGTGGCGCCAAATCTACAGTCGGATAACCAGAAGAGGGCGCAACAAGATGGCGTCATTACCTTCTGTATGTGTTTATTGTCCTGTGTAATTATTTACTACCACCTCCTGCAGGGACCTGTGTAATCTCCCATATCAGTCACATCTCAATACAAAGCTGCATATAGTCTTCATACAACTCTTATTCTCTTATTCTACTTTCACTATTTGTTGTATCTTTCTATTCTTTTTTATTTGAGGTGTATTTTTTTATCTGCTGTGTTGTATCTGGAGCTGCTGTTGCAGTGTGAGATCAATAAAGTCTATCTTATCTTATCTTAACAGAGTAGCAGTGGAAGCTCAGACGGTGAAAAACAAAGCAGAGAACGAAAATATGACTTTTGTATTAGTTTGATGTGTTAATGAGAGAACGGTTCATCAGATGTTTGATATCAGTCTATTAAATGTTCACAGCCGTAAAGAGCATCAACTCTTTTTATTAAAAAGCCTCAAGAGAGTAAAAACTTGTAGTTTCCATCAACTGGTTTTAAAATCGCTCTGTAGATAAAGATGCTGAACAAACTAAAGTCTGGAGCATTTTTTCAACATGAAATGAAACATATTTTAAAAGGCCTCTGAACATTAGCTGATATTTCTTCGAGGAATCTGTGTGTAAAGTTCAGCAACAGATTATTAATACGGAGATTTTCGGCTTTGATTGTAAGTGAAATGTTACTTTGAGTGTCGACGCAGAGCAAAGTTCCCGCTCTTTTTAATAAATCATATTCCAGGAGTGTGGACAATATGGACGTATATAAGCTGCAGCTTCAGGCAGACTGACTACATTAATGTGTCTACAGCTCATCAGTAACAGTTCACGCAAGTAGAATTTATTTTATTTTACTGAAAATTCATCTTAGAGAAATTGTAGAAAGTGTTCACTGCGCAGTTAACGTCACTGTGGATGTATCATTAACAGGCTGTTTGACTGGAGACAGACCACACAGAATATAAAATAAAGAGAATATCATTGTGTTCAGTGTCGGACAGACGGTGCCTCACTCACCCTGCATCCTGGGCTTCATGTGCTCGTATTACAGACAACAGGTTATTGTTCATCAGGAAGTCACATACTGCTGGGTAACTGCAAGGAAACAGAGCAAACATCAGTCCGGCCACCGCTGAGCCACGACGGCGCTCAGCCTCGTGTCCTCCTGCAGCGTGGCTGTCTCAGTCACCTTGGTTGCCATGACAGTGAAGAAGGCTGCCTGAACTCGAGTAGAGCGAGAGATCCTTAAACGCGCTAAAATTAGAGATCAATTAAGGTCGAGGCTTTTACACACAGGAGGTGTGGGACTTTATATCTCATCTTCACAGAACTGACAACTCGCTTCAAAAAAATATTACCAAAAGTCCCTTTGTGCTCATTTTTTATAGGATACTGGATTGTTGGTTCCCACGCCAACACGACTTTAAAACACAGTAACTCTGCTTTTACTGAGACGTGAGAGCTTAAAAGTTCCCACAAAGTCAAATCTGAATCTATTGTGTGTCTAGTGTTTTTATCTCTTCGTGCTGTCCGTCTCCTCCAGTTTCCGTCCAACAGGGACAGGAAGTCCTGGTTCAGGTGTCTTCAGGTGTTCTTAAAAGGTATTTTACAGTTTTCTGATAATCAATAAAAGTATTTGATGACTCATCCTGCACTCGGGGGCGTTTACTAATGCTGCGTCCAATCAAACGCTGTCTCTCCGATACAGACAATGTATGACCTCACTGAGTACAAAGCCCTACTGTAGAGCTACTAGTTAGCCAATCTACATCAATCATTATAACTGTATTCAGTGATTCTGGTGAAACTGGATCTGACGTCCTCCGGCTGCTTCAACTCTCAGATGGACAGATAGCTTTAGCTAAAGTAGCTAACCGCTAACTGCTGTTAGCTCAGTTAGCCGCTAAGCTAACTGACTCAGCCCCGGGACGCCAGGAGCCAAACCCGGCAAGAAAACCACCTCGGTGCTGGATTCGCTGTCGGTCTCGGGTCTGGTTGTGTTCACTGGTAGGTAGACTGTTATTACAGTGGACACTTTAAACTGCCAGAAGATTTATGTAACGAGGTGCTGGTCTGAAAGGGAGTCACAGTCCGGTCCTGGAAACCAGAAGCTAGCTGGAGGAGCTTCAGGTTTGTGTTGGCTCTGAACGGTGAGTGAGTAACAGCCAAATCAAAGCGCCGCTGACGGGAGGCTGCAGGCACCAATGGAGCCGTTCGAGAGCCGCGGTAATTTCTTGATGAATCATTTAAACGTTGTTCTACTAAAACAAACTAACGTGGGATAAAAGAGGCTTTAGAGCAGCAGCTGCTGTCCCCTCACTGTGACCTCCGTGTGGTGTCAACACTGCAAATTCAAATATGAAGACTGAGCAGAGAATGCTAATATTTATTTTCACTATCTGTCTGACGGGGATTTAACCGGCGGTCACTTATCCAGAGATAAGCTATTGTTTGTAAAAGCTTTAATCAGCTCAGATTAACAGAGAAAGCTGCTTTTTGTCTTTTTAATGTGGAAACGTGCAGCAGCAGCAGAGGGAGGGAGTACCTGTAGAAATAAGAGCAGCCTCTGACACTGTTGTGGCAGAAGTGTTCCTGGGTCTTTTCTGAGCCGTAGTCCTCGCCCGGGTCCGACCACAGCAGGTCGCACATCGGCCCGAACGCAGGAGGTTCCTTAAACCGGTCCAACTGCACAGATACAGAGTGATACAGTTAAATATCACATTTATCAATAAAATACAACAAACCCAGTTAAACAGACAGTTTATCTTTATGGATGATATTGATCAGTATACACTGTATCTTTATTGATGATATTGATCAGTATACACTGTATCTTTATGGATGATATTGATCAGTATACACTGTATCTGTATGGATGATATTGATCCTGTATTGACAGTCAGACTGTGGACATATGACGGCCTTTAGCTCGTGTTTCTAGAGTTACGTGTTGTTACGAACACGTTAGGAATTGTTAAAATGTGATATTTCTTAAAGGGAGTTTGGTGCAGGGAGATTTTAGTTGGATTCAAACTGCTGATATGGATCATTGTTAACGTTTAGTCTCCACTACAGAAACACTAGCTAACTGCTGAAGGCTGATCAGGTTGTCTGATGGTATTAGTTTGATTGATGCTTTAATGATGTGGGAATTGATTACTGACACTGGCTGATCTGGATCATTATCAGCAGTGAATGTTTGCCCTTTGTGTGCCTGTCTTCTAGTTTCATATGATAGCATCTTCACTGCAGCCTCTAAAAGACAGTCGAGTCAGTCAATCCCACATTTACACTGATTCTCTTCAGCCCTGCGGTTACCTTTCGTATGTCATCCAGGCAGGTGACTTCGGGGCTCAGACCTCCGTGCACACACAGGAACTGCTGGTTGAGGAGAGCAGCCAGAGGCAGGCAGTCAAACGCATCCATACAGGCATCATATACACGCTCCGAGTACTTTATTTTACCTGCAGGACACACACACACATTAAATCAACACAGAGCGCCGCTCACTCTCAGGACGCAGTTTGTCAATGGCGGGGACGTTCAAAGACAAACAGCAGCAGGACTTACACTCCTGTTTGAAGGTGAAGTACTCTGTGAGGTGCCGGCACTCGTGGTTGCCTCTGAGGAGGAAGAGGGTGTTGGGATGGTTGATCTTCAGAGCCCACAGGTACAGTACACACTGCAGAGACACACACAGCAACACTCAACCTCATATCAATAATATCAGTGCTGGGATGAAACTAAATATAATCTGTCTGAATTACAGCTGTGATCACTGTGATGATGCTGGTCTCTTCTCAGAGGTCTCTTTATGAGGATGTATCGGCCTGTAGCTGTTCTCTAAGAGCTCACAAACATCCTGTTCCCAAAGTGACGATGAAGACACTAAAACTGAGCCTTCTGCATTGTGACGTCGGCAGCACAAACGCCTACAGACACTGTAGTCTGCAGTTTAATGCCAGAGGAAGAAGTGCAGCTGTACAGGTCATTTTACTATGTGCAGGAGCTCAGCAGTGAAACACCTTCAAGGACGGTGTTTCACAGACAGCAGTGGAGAGCCAAACACTCACCACGCCACTGCAAGTGGTATCGTGTGGGATTTAGTTCCACTTATCACTCGCTCCACCCTCCCGTTCCAAGCGTGCAGGAGAAACAGCGGCTGGGAAAAAAGCTGAAGCTTAAGGCTCCACCAAAAGAGGAGCCGCTCCCTCTGTAGATTAAAAACTTCTCATTCTAAGGTAACAAAAGTGGAATTTGTATTGTTATAGCATATAAAGGAGAGTACATAATTCAAATTGTAATAAGAATCAGACCTCACCAAGTGGTCATTTTACATAAACCAGCATTGAATTTACAGAAAATGTGCTGTATTGTGAAATGTATCGTTATCTAGATATGAAATTACAGACAGCATCCAGTAAACAGGTAAATACAGAGAACAAAGAATGTCTCTATGTACAACATTTATTTGTATTTCATTGTATTCTGCTTGAGGCTTCATGAACGAGGGAGATAATAAACTTCTAAATGAGTGTTTTTTATTACCAAGCAGCTCCTGCACAACGAGGCTGAATGTGACAAACAAACCCACTCTCCTCAGCTGCCACTCATTCGCTGTGTTCTTGTGCTGCATCAAACCACCTGTTTAATTTCAATGGTTTTCTCTTTTCTGAAGGCGTCGACAAGCAGCCAGATCTGACCAGCTGTTCATCCAAACCGAACAGGCCGGCTCACAGAGGAACCGGGAGAACAACGGGGACGGATTCAGGGAGAAGCATCTCAGGAGGATTATGTGGAGGTCTGCTTTAGTGCTCGATACTGGCAGCGATATGCAGAACTCAACTCATCAGACAGACAGTCTATTTCAACAGTCTGCAGTTGCAGAAGTTTCACGTGTGTGTCAATATGATGATATGCAATCTTACGACCTCCATATCAAACTGAAACACAGCTGAAACACAGCAGGTAGGACCCACTGACCCAGCTGCTGCAGAATCACTGAATACACTTTGTAAATGAGCACAAATTCAATCATACAAATCTATGAAACATCCAAAGAAACTATGTTCCAGGAGTCTTTCTTGATGAAGGACAGCTCACAGTGGCGTTCAGCGTTTATTGGTCTGAGTTAGGTCGCTTTGTTTGGGTGAGGGGCTAAAATACAATTTAAACATTTCCAGGACATCTGGCCATTTTAATTCAATTTCAAGGTCTTTCAATGACTGTAAAACCAAACTTCCAGGGAACCCTGTCAACGAGCAGAATCTTTCAGTAGGTAAACAGTCTCAGTTTAACACTGATGCCTCTTTAGAGAGAGAAGGTTGGCTGTTATAGTCAATGTATAAACGAGGAAGTAGAAACACTACAGCCTTTCTCCACAGGGGTCGCCAGAATCAACACAGAACGAAAGGTCCCTGAATCGTACAGACCAATAATACGACTGTTTCTGCCCTCTTACACCATCGCTGTGCCATCTGTGAGTGTGTTTATTTGCAGATGACAGTGAACCCTGCGAGGTTGTGTGTGATGAAGAGCTCCATTCAGCTGTAATCAATGTTTGTAGATCTGTAGCTGCTGAAATAAATAAAGAGATCAAACTGTTGATTGGTCCATTTGGATCTGAACAACACCCTGAACACTCCGACATCACTGGTTAAACAGGGTCGTCACACGTGAACCAGCTCTGATTCAGACTCTGTTTCAGGTCTGTGCTGGATCCTGAACTATGAAACACTCATGTGGAGTTTCTGGAGATAAATGACTTCTAAATTAATCTGGTTCAATGGAGCATCTGCTCCTCCAGAAAGAGTCTGACCCGGATTCTGACTGGGTCTTTAAAACTGGATAATGTGGCTCTCTGAGGCCCCGCCGGAGCTGTGAGGAAACTGTTCCAGGATATCCACTAATCCTAACAAGGAAGCATGACAGCAGCCAATAAAAATGTCATGCCATCCATAGAGAACACACCCAGACCCAGAGCGAGGCGTGTGTGTGCATGTACGCCTGTGTGTGTGTGTGTGTGTGTGTGTGTGTGTGTGTGTGTGTGTGTGTGTGTGTGTGTGTGTGTGGGTGGGGCGCGGCGAAGAGGCAGACAGTGAGCCTTTCATTTCCTACAACTATTTAAAGAGCGAGCCGCGCGGGGCCGAGCAACGGGCCGCCGCTCCAAATGTCAGAGCGGCAGAAACACAAACACAGGTTACCTCGATGCTGAAGTACCCTCGGTCCACGTAGTCTCCCAGGAACAAGTAGCGGGTGCTGCTGGGGGATCCGCCCACCTCGAACAGCTTCATCAGGTCAAAGAACTGTCCGTGGACGTCTCCACACACTGGAACACACAAGTTCATTGATTAATAAAGTTTAATTAGCATCAACAAATCTCCTGCTGGTGCGTCAGACTTCCTGTCTGTGTGTCAGTTGGTTGGACTGAATATACAGTTTGGTGTTTAAACAGCTGCTCAGTGGAGCTGCTACCAAACAAACAGCAGTGTGTTTGTTAGGGACTATTTCCAGCAGCGGATGAACCCACATTCGGTGCTGTAGTGAGTGTTTGTGGCAGCAGGACGGAGTATAAATACATTGTGTGTGTGTTCGTGGTGATGAAGGAAGGCTCACTGATGTGTTTTTAATGGCACAGAGGACTCGTTAGGTTCATTATGGATCGATGCTGGCTCTATAAACTGTCAGATATCAAATAATTCATTTTCTATGATGTTGTCTCTTGGCAGGTGGACAGAAATACCAGCACAGAACCGTAAATATACTTTCATTTTGTCCAAAGCCAATAAATATTCACTTTACAGGAGACAAAATCTACTCTTTGGCTCATCAGTCTGACAACATTTAGCAGCCACAACAGTTTTAAACTGCATCCTGCTTTATTTAACTGAAATTAATTGTCTTTTGAACCTTTTGAGCTTCATATTTAAATATGTGACTTTATTCTTCGTCTCAATGGCAGAAACAGGATTCTGTAACAAACGTCTGAATGTCGGAGAAAGAAGAAGGTGGCTCTACCTGTGATGGGGGCTTCCACTTCCAGCATGCATTTCTCCTGGCGGAGGATGGCGGCTCCCTCGTTGATGATCCGTAGGGCAGTCTCCTCCTCCAGCCGGCCCTCCTTCACCAGATGGGCCTTCAGCACCTCCACGCTGGGCCTCCCGTCCACATACAGGTCTTTGATAGACAGACGGGTACCGGGAGGATACGGCACCGCTGCAGACAGGAAGATAACAGTTAGCTGCAGCTAGGGATGGTACTGGTGGTGTAGTTTGGGCATGTATATATATATATATATATATATATGTATATATATATATATATATATATATATATATATATATATATAGTGTTGGTATTATGTTTAACATGTTGGTGACATCTCTGCATTTGAGCGGCACTGGTACCGATACTGAGCTCTACAATCTTATAGTCTTATCTCTTCCATGTGTGAGTCTCCACAACCTGCTCACTGACTCTACTGTAGGCCAGGCTGTGTCATACTGTAGACACACACACACACACACACACACACAAGCTCAGGGTTTTTTGGAATTCTGCAATCACATCAGAAATTCCTCGCTCAGACCGTGACGGCATGTTGAGGCTTGACCTGAAGACAAAGGATTGAACAGTTTGACGGCACACACCAGCCCCTGCAGGAAATACCAAAGTATTTAATTCCTGGAAAACACCATCGTCTCAGCGAGAGGAAGAATACAAGAGAGGGATGAGGTTCTGGAGGTGTAACTTCTACGCAGGCTATCTTAATCATGACTCACATCATCAACAGTCTTACCCCACAGTCAGAGACTGTTGATCTTACATTTGCTCTGCTGTGTTGGACCAATAACAACTGAGCTGTTTAATAAAGGTTCTATGTGATCACCAGAGACGCCCCGATCCCAACCAGTCCTTTAATATCAGAATTATATGAGGTTATAAACATTAATATAAACATTATATTCTCTATATACAGTCACATGGTGTCTCTCTCCCTCTGCCTGTGTTGTATCTCAGCCTCTCTGTGGTTTGTTTCCATAGCCGGTCTGCTCCGACTGAAACTGCTGTTTTTATCATCTACGTCGGTGAATTAAGGATTTATTTCCACCAAACCAGAGTTGGTGATTGTTGGAAACACTAACAGAGACGCTTTTAATCAGTTTGATTCTGTTTCTGTCCACTGTCTCGTCTGTCTGATATAGTAATATAACCTTTAACACTGAGGCTTCACTACATTTCACTAAAGTCAAACTTGACCTTTTAAGTTTTGAAATAAACTATTAAATGTTTGAGCTGTGAACAATTTCTCATTATTTTGGTGCTTGAAAGTTAAATATATACAAATCTTCTAAAGGACAAAGTAAGTTAACATAAAGTATTTAAATTGTTAATATAATAATTAGGAGTTTGACTCAGAGCTCAAACATTTAATGAATTCAGTCGCCTTGAAACTGTATTTTCTTAACTTTATATCTGTAGCCTAATTATTTCACTCAAATGTTGCTCTGACAAGTGAATTTCCCCATTGTGGGATTAATAAAGTTATCTATCTATCTAAATATTTTTGCAGTGTATCTTCACACGCTCTAAAGTCACATGTCGCGCTGTAGTTGACAAGTTTTTTAATTTCCCTTTTTAGCCACGCACTCCCCTCGCTGTGGGCCGCACGCAGCCACAGACGATGCTTCACTGTGTGTCTGCAGCAGCTCTCATATGGACACAGAAACAAAGCAGGTGCCTGTTTGATACGCTCTTTGTTTTGCGTATATTTGACTGGCTGCTGGCCTCCGGGGCTACGGTGGCCAGCAGGGACAAAGTTCAACAACCAGCAAATGCAGTTAAAATGTTAGAATTTGTACTAGTTGTTGTTTAATTGAACTGCTATGAATGAAGCTTTCAGTGTGTGTGAGTGTACTGCTGGTTGCTCTGATAATAAATCTTTCTCTGCGTCCCTCCAGCCGCAGGGAGGAACAGCGTATCTCTTCATTATTTGAATACCACTTCCTACAGTGGTCTGTGACGCCTCGTTTCACAACTCTGGGTTTTGTTTTTCCTCTTTCTGAAACTAGATACTGGCCTCCTAATCGTCAGCTAGATCATCTCGTCCGACTCGCTCACATCTGTGCTGAGCCCGGCTGGTTTCCTCTGCTGGTGATGAACCAGTTCAGGAGAGCCCACATGATTGGCTGGATGAGTGCGACCTGGTTTGGTTTGCACAGTAAAGTAGACCACTGGGCCGGGAGAGAGAGTCTGAAATACTTTCTCTACAACTGGGAGCTCTGTGTTAGAAAACAACAGGCACTGGTTCATTTATCAGAGTAAACACGCAAGGAACTTCTCTGTTAACAGCTTCTTTATGCAACACCTCCGACCACCACACACTGTATGTAAGCACAGGAATACACACTGCACGGATCAATGAACTAACTTCTGATTAATTCATTAAACTCTGTATTTGTTGTCTTTGTATTTTAAAACAAGTTATAATTGTACTGAACATTCATACCGATCGATCACAGCGATCAGTGTGATTTCAATGGATCAATATCTACTAAAACCTTTCTGAACTCTACTGAGTCTGTTTAAAATATTATATATATATATATATATATATATATATATATATATATATATATATATTCACCTCACTGTCTTATTATATTATATTTTTTTAGATTAGATTACATTAGATTAGCCTTCATAGTCTCCCTCAGGACTCAGTTGACACACAGCAAGAAATGTATCTGAGAGTCGATTATCATTAGACAATTGACCAATTGATCACTTTGCCTGATTAATAAGATCCACTTTGTACTGTGCAACCACATTAACAAAGTTTAAAAAAGATCCTCAAAGACGGAGCCACCAGAACGAGTTGATGCTGTGGTGCAACGTGTTAAAACTGCTTCATTATCAATATGTTGTTTTATTTATCAGCAACATCAGGCCCAGGGCGGAGTTAGCACAGGGTGGGTCCCAGAGTAAGCCCTGACTGCAGTACGCAGATCGAGGAGTGGCTCAACGTGTGGGCGGAGCTAAACGTTTGACTCCGCACACTTGCCCAAGTGTAAATATATATGTAAGAAGTTGTATGTGAAGTTGTGAGGGCTCATGAAAATGTAAATGCATTACCACTATTTTATTCACAAGATGAGACATAAATGTATATCGAATAGTATGTATTATTATAACTATTATTATGTAGGCTGGTATTTACATTTAAGATACAAAAAGAAACATGTTTTCCCAAAGAACTACATTTTGGCACCAGACCTGATCCTGACCTGAACCCAGAGGTGTAATTAAATTGAAATTGTATTAACATCTATATATACACTATATAGTTATATTATATATTATTATAATAATATAAAATTACGCGGAGTCAAACGTTTAGCTCCGCCCACATTTAGCCCAACCCCGATCTGCGTACTGCAGCCAGGTGCAATTGGGGTCCCAGGGCAGAGCTCCATCCTGGGACCCACGACAGGCCACTGAACCGGCTCCGTCCTGGGGTCCATCAATCATGAATGAGGACAGAATCATTACACAGGCCAGCCGATGCAAACGGCCGGACTGATTCGATTACCATCGGTAACTAAGCCAGAAGGCCGAAGCAGCCAGCGCTGATCCATCAGTGCACGCATACACACAATCACACACACACACACACACACACACACACACACACACACACACCAGGTTGGACAGGACGCTGCGAGCTGCTGCAGCCTGTCAGAAAAGGGCAGCAGTGATGAAGTCGAACTGTTTATCCAGAAAATAATTAGTCAGCTGATCAGACGATTGACAGAAAATTTAATCAACAAGAATCCTGATCAATAACGAGCTCACGCCGTCTATAACAGTGAAAAATGACCAGAAGGCAAGAAACAATCATAGAAAACAAAGCAACCAATTAATATAAATAATGAATTATCAAAACACTCTCATATTATCATTATGAGCAACAACACGTACAGCTGCAACCGGCCGTTATCATCTTCTGAGTTTCTATAAACGATTGTCATTAAACAGATAACAGACAGTAATTACTGGCTGTAACTACTGGCTGTAACTCCAGCTCCATGAGTCTGTGTGCAGCGTGATCAATACAAAGTGAGAGTGAGTTTCTACTTCATACAACGTTAACTAACTCAAAATCATATTTGGGACATTTTAACGTCTAAATTATTGGATTTACGATGTGTTTTTTATACATAAATATATTATTTGGGGCTCACGACTGGACAGAAAAGGACCACAGGTCAGTTCAAACTCGAGGCCCCTACAGCAAAGACTCCGCCTCACACGGGGCACCATTTCTAACAGGTGAGCTACCAGGACTCTCTCAGGTGAGCTGTTACTGCTCTACAGACTGTTTCTGCTAGAGCCCGACTGATATCGGCCTATCACAGACATATCGCTATCCTATCAGTTTCGGTGCTTTTCTCCATCGGGGCCCATCGGCTTTGGAGCGACCTGCCTGAGGAAATAAGATTCATCGCTTCTTAGAACATATTTTTATGACAGTCACATAGTAGTTCCAGTCACAACCTACTGGCGGTGAGCAGATATTTAGGCGCAGTTCCTTAGCGTAAGATCCCCGATGATAAAACTTACGTCACTCTGACCCGAATGGACGCTGCCGTAATAAAGTTATTTGTTTAAGAAAGCAGGATTCTTACATATCGGTGGAAAAAACACATAGAAATATTATCGGTCTGTCGGTATCTACCATCTGCGACTCTCAATATCTATATCAATCTAATCAATACTACGGGATCAATATCTATATTGATCGTTTGTGGTAACAGCTGCTGTAAGGAAGCAGAAATGACTCGGGGCGTTACACAATCTGACGGGTGACGACACCGATGTCACAAAATGTCACAATGTGGAGCTCAAAGAGGCCGAAATGATTCTCCCAGAATAAATCATCTTCCAATAAGTCGGAGTGTGTGACGCTGCAACTATTGATTATTTTCATTATTGATCAATCTGATGATTATTTTCTGAAATCCTCATATTTTAGATGCTGGAGCTGAAGAATGTTTGGAACTTCTGTCTGAAACGATTAACACGTTTTCTATCAATCGATCAATTGATTCATCGACCCCGCCAAATTATTAATATTATTATTGATCTCTGATCAACAGCCTCGTCCTGCATCAGAAACCAACCAGAGAGCTGATAGAACAATAATAATAATAATAATAATAATAATCTCTGGTTTCACTGTTTGGGTTCATTTACAGTTAATCAGCTGTTCTGATGATAGATTGATTATTTATTGATCGACTGTAGTCTTTTTTAGATCCAGTTCAGATATCCAAGTTATATTTAAATGTATTCTTATTATCCTGGTTTGGTTCTGTACTCGGTGTTTCATTATTATTTTGCTGCTGGATCAATAAAGTTTATCTTATTGATATATTATTGATATATTATTGAATATAAAATGAAACATCCATCAAATATGTAACTGTGGCAGTTTACTCACTGATAGAAAAGTGTTGGGAACCAGCTCATTAAACTGTCTAATAAAGTGTTTCTGGACATTTTCTACAATAAAACTGTTTATCTTACACACACACACACACAGACACACACAGACACACACAGACACACACACACAGACACACACAGACACACACACACACACACACACACACACAGACACACACACACACACACACACAGACACACAGACACACACACAGACACACACAGACACACACACAGACACACAGACACACAGACACACACACACACACACACACACACACACACACATTAAATGTTTCAACACACAATGTTAGCGTTAGCTTAGCATGGTCAGTGTACTTTCAGTCAATGTTTATAAATCCGGGAAACAAAAAGTTGTTTTCTGTCTTTTAATTTCTATTGTTTGTTTTTTATTTTCAAAACAAACAAAGTAAAATATTCCCATATTTATAAACAGTTTGTTTGTTTACAGGTTGTTTTCTTGTTTTGAGGTTTTTATTTACTAAACAAACAAACAAACTACACTACGTCATTTATTTATTTTTACTCAGAAAACAGGTCTTTTGTTTCTCTCTCCTATATTAATTAATAGTTTATTAATAGTTTATTAATTAATAGTTTATTAATAGTTTATTAATTAATAGTTTATTAATAGTGGAATGTTTTTAAGTTTTTTAGTTGTGGGAAACAGCTCGTTTCTTTCAGCCTCGTGTTCTCGTGATGTGCTTTATTTTCTGCCTCCATACATTATATTATATTATATTATATTACATTATATTACATTACATTACATTATATTATATTATATTACATTATATTATATTATATTACATTATATTATATGTTATATTTATTACATTATATTACATTATATTATATTACATTATATTATATTATATTATATTACATTATATTATATTATATATTATATTATATTACATTATATTATATTATATTACATTATATTATATTAATTAATTATATATTATATTACATTATATTCATTATATTATATTACATTATATTATATTACATTATATTATATTAATTATATTACATTATATTATATTACATTATATTATATTATATTACATTATATTATATTATATTACATTATATTATATTGTTTTATATATTATATTATATTATATTGTTTTATATATTATATTACATTATATTACATTATATTATATTACATTATATTATATTATATTACATTATATTATATTATATTACATTATATTATATTGTTTTATATATTATATTACATTATATTATATTATATTACATTATATTGTTTTACTGGCTCACAGTCTGAGAACTGAACGTTAACAGTTGAATGTCAAACACACTGCTGACATCTGGCACTCCGGGAAGCTAAAAGGCTAACTCATTAGCAGGGTCTGGAGCTAATTACCCTGCCCAGCCTCGCTGCCCTGGTGTGGGGGGGGCAGTGGGGGGGCAGTAAGGGGGCAGTAAGGGGGTCAGCACCACCATCCACTGGGCCTGATTTAAACAAAAAGAGTCCGAGTAAATGAGCTGTTAGACGGGTTGACATCCAGCGGCGCTGCCCTGCTCGCAGTTAGCCGACTAGCTCCGCCAGCAGCCGTTAACTTCCTGCACCGAGAGCCACACACACACACACACACACACACACACACACACACACACACACACACACACACACACACACACACACACACACACACACACACACACACACTCACCTTTAACGGGCCGCTCGACGGTGGACAGTTTGTTCTCTTTCACGGACATCCTCTGCTTCACTTTCTGACTCAACTTGATCAATTCCTTCCAAGCTAGCTGGCTAGCTGGAGTGAGCTAGCCGCGCTAGCTAGCAGTGTGTCAGCGGCAGCGCTTCCCTCCGCAGACCGAGCCGAGCCGAGCCGAGCCGGGCCGAGCCGAGCCGAACCGAACCGAACCGGGCTGGAGTTAAAGCTGCCGGGGGGGAGGGGGGGAGGGAGGAAGGGAGGAAGGGGGGAGATGTGTTCAGTAACAGATGAAAGGTGTCGCTCCGCGGGGCAGGACGCCGCTCACAGTGGGACGCAGTCGGCGCAGGAAACGGCCCGGGCACCGCCGATGATGCGTTCAGGAGCAGCGAGCAGAGTGCGTCAGATCATAACTTTATCCGGTTATTGTCGGACAGCTGCAGCTGCTACAGGCCGCTGGCTCTCTGTCGTGATCCGATGTGTCGTCCAGACCCGCTGTCGGATTACAATAATCCGCCGCAAGCGGATTTCCTACAACACGGCTCAACGCGGGGGGTTGTGGGTAGTGTAGTGTTAATGCGACGTTAACCCTTTAACGTCCTCACCGAGAAAGAAAAACGATTTAATATTTTTTGCGTTTTTTATGTCTTTGGGGCAATAATAATAATAATAATAATAAAATAACAACAATAAAAAATAATAATAATAATAATAGTAATAATAATAATAATAATAATGATAAAACAATAATAATAATAATAACAATAACAACAATAATAATAACAATAATAACAATAATAGTAATAATAACAATAATAACAATAATAATATTAACAATAATAGTAATAATAACAATAATAATAATAACAATAATAGTAATAATAACAATAACAACAACAATAATAATAATAACAATAATAGTAATAATAATAGTAATAATAATAACAACAATAATAATGATAACAATAATAGTAATAACAATAACAACAATAATAATAATAACAATAATAGTAATAACAATAACAACAATAATAATAATAACAATAATAATAATAATAATAGTAATAATAATAACAACAATAACAACAATAATAATAACAATAATAATAACAATAATAGTAATAATAATAATAATAATGATAAAAACAATAATAATAACAATAATAACAATAATAGTAATAATAACAATAATAACAATAATAATATTAACAATAATAGTAATAATAACAATAATAATAACAATAACAATAATAATAATAATAACAATAATAATAACAATAATAATCAGTGTTGGTCAGGTCAAGAATCTGACATGATATTTGATACATATATAAATTAATGTTTATATATGTTTATTTATAATATCTGTTTATAGTAGTTTATGTTTGTCGAGCTGATTTAAAGCTTTAAAGCAATATTTTTTCTGTTTGTACCAAACTGTACAATTTAAAGTTGCCGTGCTGTTCCTTTGAAGGAAACAGGTCTAAATATGAATACATATATTTAAAGTTAGCCTCTAATGTGGCAGAAGGGAGCGAGAGCGTGAGGCTCTACTATAAAAGTACAAATATTAGGAGAGAGGGATATATTTGAGGTCCTCTGTGTGCTGACTTTGAGAGAACAAACAGTTAATTTATAAAAATGTCACAATGAGTTGTTTGTGAATTATATTTCTTTGCTAACACACAAAGACGTATTAAATTGTTAGATTTTTATATGGAGTTTGGTATTCAGTTTCATCTTTACATGTTTTACAAATAAGTTTGAGCTGGAATAACAATCTGTTCTTAATATTCAGGTTAAAAGGATCTGCTGTGTGTAAGAACTCATCATTAAACATTATATATGTTATATTTCTATAGGACACGTGAACAGCAGGAGCTGAACAGAATGACTACAGCGCCGTCATGTGGACGCTCATCAAACTGCTTCAAAAGGAGCCACAATATTAATATTCAGACCCTTCAGAGGACATTTCATTTAGTTTTCTTCATTTTATTGTATTTAATGTATTTATTTTAAAGTTCTGTTATTTTATTCCAATATTGATGTTTTATTAAAGTACAATTTATTTAAAATGTGCTCATAAGATAATTCAGTTATGATATCCTGCTGACAATGACACAAACATCACTGATACATTCATTTAAATATATATATACAGAAATACAACAGATACAGATCAGCGACGTCCAACCTGCAGTGAAGATTATAGAGGAGAGAATTTATTTTAGGTGTTTTAAAGGTGACTTTAGTTTGCTAAAAGTAAAGGATGAATTATTGAAATAATAACTAAACTAATGGATAAAACATGAACTGAACACTGTATGAAAATAATGTAACATCCACTTTCATATAATTATCCGTCAGATCCACTGAGATAGAAACTAAAACTCAAACAGCTTCTTTCTCCTTTAATAACAAAAAGACTTTGTACTTTATTATGTGCAGTTTCACACTGTCACTGTTGGTGCTTTGAAGCTTTAAATATGGATGATTGCAAATTTTCTTTTCCAGAATAATCAGGATGGTTTAAAACTGAAGATTTATTTGATGTGAAATGTTGAATTTAAAGAAGAATAAAGGATTACATAAACATGGAGAACAAACGACGTCTCTGACCTCCAAAACATTTCTTTAAGTTCAGAATAAAAACTGTTTTATATCTGACTTCAATGAAGAACACAGACGGTCCTCAGTCTGTCTCTGATGTGAAACTCTGGAAATAGAAACACTTTAAAAGGTTTTGATCAGCAGCAGCAGTTGTTGGGCCTCCAGAGAACCCGGGTTTCATCAAACATCTTGCCCATGTAAGGGGAACTTGGCAGGTCTGGGGGGTCCCCCTTCGATCCTGGCTCGTCCCCGAAGACCCCGCTTTGATCGGACTATCATCACATCCCCCTCCCTGCGACCCAGACAGCTGCTGTACTTAAAGTCTCAGCCCCCAAATCATCAGACCGACTGCAGCAGCGGAGAACCAGCAGCAGACCATGGTACGTGCTCACATCACATTATTTTCTGTTTCTGCTTTTATATCAAAACCAGTTTCTAGTAACTAATAACTAACTAATTTACATATTGAACTTCACAAGCTTCAGGAGATCAGTTTGAAACTCTTCATGCTCCCTGCATCGGTCTAATTCTTAATGATACACATGATGAATAATAAACACAGAAATGTGGAGTAGCAGAGTTTCTTGTTACAAATGTTCAGTCTGAGTCTGACAGATTCAATTAGCATTATTAGCATTAACTGCTTGGTTGATTTGGACAATGTTTTGAGTTTTGGGAGTTATTGAAGATGTTAAATCTATTTCTGACCAAATGGACCATATTTCAAACTCCCAGTGGGCTGATTTTGTTTCATTTTGGAGGTTATTTATATGATGAATCCATAAACACAGCGACACAGACAGCTCAATGACAAATACTGTGCAGGAGGAAACAATGTGTGAGCAGTCACATCAATGACTTTGAGCTTTCTTGATCCTAAAATGCAGCTTCAGTTTATTAATCATATAAATAACCTCAAAAAGAAATAAAATCTGTCCACTGGGAGTTGAAATATTCCACTTTAAACGTCCATTTTGTATTTTGAAAATGTCCGAAAAATATAGTTTGACACTAGAAGGATACTTTTACCTTCATCTGCTGAAAGTGGAAAGTTTCTCTGAGTTCAATAAATATCTGATTTTAGGGGGCGGGGCCTACGAGCATGATTTATAACATCACAAATAGTTTGGTACACCCTAGTCCAGTATGCCACTTATCCACCAGTGCACAGACACTGAGGATGGACTTTAACATGGAAATAAAAGTAATAAAGCATATTGAGTTTACTGAGTTTACAATAATAATAATAATAATAATGTCTGTATTCTCTGTTTCAGGCGAGCAGGAAGACAAAGAAGAAGGAAGGAGGCGCCAAAAGAGCCCAGAGAGCCTCGTCCAACGTTTTCTCCATGTTTGAACAAACTCAGATCCAAGAGTTCAAAGAGGTAAAATCGTCACGTTCACAAGATATTCATCCAGTTTCCACCTCGTAGTTAAACGTGTTCGTCTTCCTAACTCAGGCGTTCACACTCATCGACCAGAACCGGGATGGATTCATAGATAAGGAGGATCTGAAGGACACGTACGCGTCGCTGGGTTTGTATCTCCGGTTGGAAATGAACACAGCGAGCAGGTTTTCTGTCAGACGCGAGCTGACGTACGATGTTTCCTCAGGTAAACTCAACGTGAAGGACAACGAGGTGGAGGACATGCTGAAAGAAGCAACGGGTCCCATCAACTTCACCATGTTCCTCAACCTGTTCGGAGAGAAGCTGCACGGTGAGAACCTTAAAGAGACAACGATTTACTGGGAAGGGTCGACCACGGACAACTCACGCTCATTATTAGAAACTGTCAGCGGTGAAGGTTTGAAACACGCCAACCTGTACAAGAAGTGATAGAGGCTGAAGAAAACAAACATTAATGTTATTAAAGGAAACTATTTCAGTCTCTGTGTTTGAACAACAACAACAACAACAACAACAACAACATGTGACTTTCAGTGCAAATAATGTGGTCAAACTGTAATTATTTGGGGAAATATTAACACTACATTAACATATTCACCACTAACTAGCTTATTAGCCTTCATATTAGTAGCATACTGGCTCTTTATTAGTTATAAAGTATTTTTCCATATTCTGCAAACACTATTCTACAACTGCTAGCTCATTAAGAGTTTACCATCAACTACCTTCTAATTACTGCTTATTGATGAAATAAGGAAGTTGTTGCACATGAATATTGATCTTAATATGCTTTGTATATATGCATCCACAAATTCAACCGATCCACGTGAATTCTGCACAACCTTTATATTTTGTCCAATCATTGTAGTTTCCTGTGAGTTTCCCTGATCATCGCAGACCACCGCGCAAAACCTTGAGTCATTGTCAAACTGCTGTGAAATCCGACACGTTAATCCTGATTGAACGAGCTAACTGAGTCGTGTGAAGGCTAATGAGGACAATAACACCTGAACATGAGCTCATATGTGTGTCTGCTTTCTGTGTGCAGGTACGGACCCCGAAGACACGATCTTAAACGCCTTCAAAATGTTCGATCCCAGCGCCAAAGGCTACGTTCACAAAGACGAGTAAGTTTAGAGATTTACAAATGTTGCTTCTGAGGTAAAAGGAACTAAAGACTTTATTCTTTGTTTTTGCAGATTACAGAAACTACTGATGACACAAGCAGACCGGTTCACACCCGAGGAGGTAAAACTTAATAAACTAACTCTAAACTTACACTATAATAGCTGCATCCATGCTGTACTTTCCATCATTGAGTCCTAAAAGTCAACATTTCTTCACGAAAATCTACGGAAGCTCTAAAGGGCCATGTATTCTTATATTTTATTTCCTCCGTTTTCCCGTGATAACGAGTACATTTCCTCGAGATCTCGAGATAACAAAACTTTGTTTTCCCGAGATAACGATATAATTAATTCGAGATCTCGAGATAATGACTGTGATATGATAACTGTGGTCAAATCAGCCGTTACTCCGATCTCCATGGTCAAATCATCCACACTTAAATTTACAGCGTATTCACTAAAATAAAGGTATTAAGAACAGTAAGCTATAATTCGAACCTACATTTAAAATAAAATATGTTACATTAAAGTGTTTCATGCGCCCATGATGGATTAAAAACATACTTAATATCAAGCATTTTACTGCACCAATGTGGAGAAATTCAACAATAAATATCACAGTCATTATCTCGAGATCTCGAGAAAATTAACTCGTTATCACGGGAAAACGGAGGAAATAAAATGTATGAATACATGGCCCTTTAGGGCTTCAGTAAAAATCAACATTTTCTTTCTTAAATGAAAAAATATTTATAGAATCAAGTATTATAGTTGAATCTACAGGAGCAAAGTGCCTGAACTGGACCCACAAAGACAAAAAACAACCTAACACTAATAATTTTGCTGTAATACATTTTAACAAAGATATTTTCAGCGCTGTTTTTTTAGGGTTTGGCTTTATGGTCTGTTTTACTCTAAATGAGACCATCAGTTACTAAATGAACATCATGCTGTATGGAAGAAGACTGAAACTGGAGACTGAGACCAGAAACTCATCAGGAAACTGTTTACTGAGCTCATAAAGGAAGAGAGAAGTCTGAATGTAATCAGTGTGTTATTGCAGTCCGTGGAGCGCCCCCTGCTGGCCTTTACATACACTGTCACTGATCATCAACAGGGGGCGCTGCACAATGAACACGCCCACTATTCATATTTATAAACTCTGACACACATTTGTAGGAAATTGTTTATTTGAATTAAAAACATGTTAAAGTACCACAGTGTAGAAATACTCTGTTACAAGTAAAAGTACCAAAGTACTGGAATCAAAATATACTTAAAATACTGAAAATGAAAGTACTCAGTTACTTATTATACAGAATAATATATATTGTTGGACTGCTGCATTAATGTGTGAAGGTGGAGCTGATCTTTAATTTCTTTATATACTTTATCTGTCGGGTAGCTTGTGAACTTCCCCTGGCATCAATAAAGTTTGATCTTAATCCATAATAATGCGTCATATTTAAGTTATTGATTACATTTTGTATTAGTAATCTGAATCTGCAGTAACTTATAGTAGTAACTTAAATAAATGTAGAGGAGTAAAAATATTTCCCTCTGAGATGTAGTGGAGCAGAAAAGTACCTTAAATTTTACTTAACTACAGAACTGAGTACTTAGTTACATCCGACTGCTGTTAAAATATACTTTTAGGATCAATAATTGGAACCAGAACAAACGCTGATTCCTGATTGGTTGATTATTATTGATCTGTGTGGCTGCAGGTGAAACAGATGTTCCAGTCGTCCAATATCGACGCTGCAGGAAACCTGGACTACAAATCTCTGTGTTACATCATCACTCACGGAGAGGAACAGGAAGAATAAAGAGCCCGAAAATATAATCTGCTGCAGTTTGGTTGAGAAACATTAAAGTTTGTCTTTAAGTTCAAATAAAAACATGAAAACTGACTCAAATTTATTCATTTTCAGTTATTTTAACATTCATGTTCCCGTCAGGAGGAACTGTAATAACTATTGATCATCTGATATCTGCAGAACTAATCACGTTCCCATCAGTTTACTGTTACTTACTGTTTACTGTTTGCTGATGATTACTTTAAAAATTATCTATCCGATTTAACAATTAATGTAGATTAGCTAGCTACTTAGCTCCACCATGGAGCTGAGCGTGGAGGACTGCCAAGATGGCGACAGCCAGAGTGACCTCACTGAGCTTCAGAAACCTCGTCCACCATCTTTGTTCACCTGAATTAGAATAAACTTTATTAGCACCGCACACAATGTTTTCTATAAATACGACATCCAGCATCCAGAAAGAAACTCTTCTGTAGAGATTCACTGACTTCAGTCCGTCCTCTGAAGCGTTGAGGTCTCTCGGGTCAGGCGCAGGCCGCAGCTCGAGCGTCGGTGAGGACGAAGAAGGCCAGCGAGTACGCAGGAAGCTGCAGATGTTGAGCCGGAGGAAGTCGGCTTCCTTTTAGATCCGGAAGAGTTTTATCATCCACCATCTTCAACAGCTCTCCGTTCAGTTTCACAGACCTTCAAACAAACAACTCGTGAGTCCATTTCATTCTCAGCGTAAGCAACAAGTTATTCTCAAAGTAAGAAGAACATTTGATGGTTTCAGTAACATCAATCTGTGTGTCTGATAACATTTAAAGGATCCCTACGGAGACAGACCATAATATCACTGTCCACCAGACTCCAGCGACAAAAACACTAATTTTACCTCGTAACATCGTAATCGTTCAAAGTGGACAGAAACTAAATAAAACTCACTAAAAGCGTCTCTGTTAGTGTTTCCAACAATCACCAACTCTGGTTTGGTGATTGTTAATTTTAATTCACTGAGTTAGACGTGAAAATATTCTGTCTCTCCTGATATTTCCACGTCTTATGTCACATAATGCAACTTGGACACAGACTGTATGTTAGCTTAGAGAACATTAGAAAGCTGCTTCTGTAGTCTACAACGAGGAGTAAACTGAAGTCAGAAGCTGATTTAATGAAGACAAACAAGAAGCTGATGGAGCTGTCGGACAGAAACTGGATGTTCTTTGTGTCCTCGCCTCGGAGAACCTCTCGCATTTAAAGTAAGTGATAAAACGTGACTCTTCACATGACAGAGGAGAGCAGATCTGAGGCTAACTCGGAGATAAATGGGTTTATTGACGGGCACCTGGAGTAGAGCCCCTCCTCCCCCGGCTGATCTGACTGCAGAACAAAAGCCTCCACTGTGCCGGAGGAGCTGAGACCGGGAACCGAGATCCTGGCCGGCTTCCTGCTCAGGTTCATAGACATCAACGTGACGGCGCCGCGTCTGTAACTGCAGAACAGAGCCAGCGTTACTACGGGAGGGCGGTCAGACATTACAGCTGATGTTACAGCTGATGTTACAGCTGATGTTACAACGGCGTACCTCTGTCTGTGGGCGCAGTGCAGATACAGCCTCACTCTCTTACTGCCACCAACACTGGGAAACGCCGCGGCGCTCAAAACCTCCGGTCCAACCAGCCGCTTATAGAGAACGGACAGCCAGTAGTCCTGAAGGAGGTCAAACAAAAGGACAGACACTGGAACATCATCAGTTACTTAAAGCTGCTCTCACTGACTGTTTGACCACCAGGGGGCAGCACATCCTGATACAAACTGATTTTAATTGATCTGTTAGTCAGTTCATGGATAGTTTTAGTCATTTTAGGAGGAATTGATTAGGAAGATAACATGTTTAAACTGAATCAGTTGTTGAAGTAGCAAAAACCCTTAAAACCCTACGTAAGTAGACATCTTGAGTATGTAGTAAATTTTGGTTATTTTCCAACAGTCTGCTCGGATTAGACACACATCTTGCTACAGAGTTATAAACCACTGAGTCTTACAGGAAGAGGATCCAGGTTGTCGTCGACCAGGTGATAACTCCCAGAACCAATAAACACCTGCCGCATCACCACATCCAGCCCCAGTCTGGCTGCCAGGCCCAGTTTATCCAACCACCTACACACAGCATATAGTCAGCGACAGGGAAACGCGTTATTAACACGTTAATAACACATTAATAACACGTTAATAACACGATAATAACACGATAATAACACACCTGTACATTAATAACCCAGGTAGCTGTGTTAGGAGTTATTATTATGTATGAGAGGACTATTTAATGATTTAATGTCGCTATGACGACCACACGTGAGCCTTGTTGTGAGGGAGCAGCAGGGCAGCTTTAAGGTCTGTCATGAGACCGGGGCTGCTGGGTAATCAGTAAATTAAATTAACTGCCTGTAGTGCTCCTGAGGATCCACCAACCTCCTGTTAAACACAGCGAGTACATTCCTGCTGGCTCTACGTTAACGTGATATTCTCTGTTCAACCAACAACCCAAAACCTAAACCTTTCATTCATCATCAGAAGAGACTAAAAAGTGGCTTAATAAATTAATTAATTATCAACATTGTTGCTGATTAATGTCCAGTTGAGCTAATGGTTTCAGCTCTGAGTGAAGTGTGTGTTTCTGGTCTCCAGACTCGGTCTCGACCCACATGTGGACTGTCGCTGGACTCGGTCTCGGCCCACATGTGGACTGTGTCTGGACTGGATGATCTCATACGAACTCACATGAATCCAGCCACGAATGTGTCCGACAGTCCCACGGCTCCTCCTCCGTACGCTGAGCTCGTCTCTCCCAACCACACCGACTTCCCAGGAGACACCAGCTTCACTCTCTGAACCCGGAGAGAGAGAGAACATCCACCTTAACAACCCAACACCACCCCCGTATCCCTCCGCCTGTGCCGCACATTGTTACCTCCAGGACTTCATGGGTCTTTAAGGCCAGAGTGTCCAGAACCTCGGGGTCTAGAAAGTCCTCCACGGACGTGTCTCTGCCGTTCACGTAGTAGCTAGAGAACAGGATGAATGCTTTCATTATTGAGATATTAACAAATCAAACTCTTCCTGTAACGAGAGGTGAGAACCGGACGGGCGTCATTACGTCAGGACCACGAGTACCGATTTACGCTAAATCAGGTGGTGCCGAATTTTGGTACCTGAGAGGTAAACTCTGTAACCAGGTAACTGGTTTATAAATAAATCCTTAATTCACTGAAATATTCTGTCCCGATATTCTCTCATCTACGTCGTCGAATTAAGGATTTATTTCCACAAACCAGAGTTGGTGACTGTTGGAAACAGAGACAGTTTTATTATCTGTGAGTCTGGTGGGCACTATTGATTAGGTCTGAGATGCTCTAGTGCAACATCTAGTGGCAGTAAAGTTCATATATAAAACATTTATAATCTTCAATAAACAATAAGGTAACAGTTTGTGACAGCAGATCAGGAAGAGGATGCAGTTTATGGTGTGTAATGATACTTCAGGTGAACTCACTGGTGCCAGGTGACAGCGTCCACTGCCTCAGCTCCGGTCTGCAGGAACCTACAGCAAACACAGCGTCATCAATAAAGGATCTTATCTTACACACTGGTTGGCTGTGAGGTATTTACAGTGATTGGTAGAATTAACTTTATCAACAAACACAGCAAACCCTCACACAGCTGCTAACCCTAACCCTGCACAACAGTCATTATTTAGCTCGTTAGCTAGCGTTTTGCTAACATACATTTTCAGATGTAGCTAACTAGCTGGGTAATGATTGATGGAGAATACCTAGAGCTTCATTAAAAGATAAAAGAAATAAAATAATTAGTACCAATTAGCAAACTAAAGATTCATGTAAATTAGTTCTGCTAACATTAGCTAACTTAAGATACGACTGTATATGTTGTATCTGTAAAATGTGTCCTGGTAATTAAATATTACTGAAAATATCTCATCAATAATTAATTATTATTAAGAAAGAGTTTGTAATTGAAGTGACTGTGAAACATTTATTGACGTATTATTGATCCACCGGCTCTACAGAGACAGGGTGACCTCTCACCCCTCCAGGATGTCTGTCCGGTGGTCCCGTGGCTGCCCGACGTCCGGCCCGTACAGCCCGGCGCCGTGGTACAGTGTGGACTCTGACATCATCTCTCTGAGACGGGTGAAGTCCTGTCCGAGCTGATATCCGTCCACTCGAATTCCCGCCTTCTTCTCATAGCTGTTGGGCTCTGAAGACAGACGACACGTTCACTTCCTGCCGGTCTTTCTGTGTAACTGCAACACTAAACCACTCAAACAGTTTCCCTTCTCACATCACATCTAACAACTTCCTGAACACATCACAATCACATGAACACCAGGAAGTGAAACTCAAACCTCAGATAACAGACCACACACACACACACACACACACACTCACACACACACACACACACACACACACATATATTATTATTATATTGATATAAGTGCAGATGTGTGCCTCTGTGTACCGTTGCCGAGCTCCCAGGACATCCTGTACTGTCTGGACTCGCAGTACTGCAGCAGTAAGCGGGCGTTGCTGCTGTTCCAGGTGTTATCAGCCGTTCTGAGCAGAGCGTTGAGCCCGAAGATCAGATCCATCCCCGAACAGTTGGTGAGGGAGTGCAGCAGGTCGACAGTGTACTCTGTCACAGCAGGAGGACACAACTGTCAGAGGAGCAACTGCATTTATAGAAGACGAGGAAGGAAACAGAAAATCCGGCTAAAAATAAAATAGGAGTCATTTACTGAAGATAGTGAATAATTTCTGACCAGAATTGACCATATTTCAACTCCCAGTGGGATTTTGAATAATTTTGAGTTGGTTTTGCAGTTTGCTGGGTTGTTTGTAGGACTACGGTTCCACAGATGAGAGGACTGTAGAGCGGTGTGTCATCTGCATAACATATATTCTGTTTCTGTCAACAGGAGCATGTAAATTAAACAGCAGTGGTCCAAACATCGAGCCCTGTGGAACCCCTGATAACATTTCAACAGATTATAAACACAGAAGCTCCAGTTTGAGCAGACCCCGATAGGAACTCTCGTACCTGTGAACTTTACTCTTTTGTACTTCCTCTGCAGATCTTCTCTCATCAGGATCACTTGTTGTTGAGTCCAGTCGTTCTTCAGCCTCTTCTCCAGCCACAACGGCAACTCCAGCGTATCACAGGATTGTTCTAATAACGACAGGGAATCTGATTTATATTGTTCATTTCATTACGCATCAGCTGTTTGCTTTCATTAACATGGAAAGGAGAACGGGGCGTCCATTATCAGGGATTAATGGACGACGTGGAGGCCATTAATCCCTGATAATGAATAACTGACAGAGCTAACATTACACTAACACTAACGTTACGCTATGAGACAGAGAGCTAATGTTGGAATATTAATTGAATTTACAAACTAAGTGTCACTTACTAGTAAAATCTGCTTAATCTTTTTTAACTTCTAAAATTAAGTTTGTGTTACTTTTTGATGTTATCAGTCTCAACAATTAAAAATAAAAGTTAAAATAACTTATCGCATTACAGCGTGCGATGTAGCTGTTTCCAGGTTTGAGGTCGGTCTGTAGTTCCTGATCGGTGCCAGAAGAGGAGACAAAGTATTATTGTGTTTATTAACTGAAGCTACCTGTACTGAAACCGGAGTCCGATCGAGGCCTCTGAGGACTGAACACCATGAAGTCTTGTTTGGTTCCCCCAAACCTCAAAAACGCCGGAGCCAAAGCTTTAGCCAACGTCCTGATCTTCGGAGAGCTGGAGAGGACAAAACAAACCGTAATGATCAATAACAATATGATCAGTTTCTCTCTCAGCTGAACTGGAAGACTTGAGTCTATTGATCATTGAGTCTATTGATCATTGAGTCTATTGATCATTGAGTCTATTGATCGTTGAGTCTATTGATCGTCTGTTTTCAAACGTGAACAAACTAAAACTTTGGAAGTTTAGATTTTTATTGAACATAGAAATATTAGTTTAATCTGTTTGAGTCATTAAAACTTATAATTAAATTATTTTCAACCAAAGTAAAACACTGATTTCAGCAAACTTTCCTTTTACAATCAATATTTTACTCAATAATCAGTGTCATCAAACCAAAGTATTTGCATTGATTACTCATAAATTCACAGTATTAATATCAACACAACTTCAGATTTATTAAAACAACTGAATTAATTTGATATATTTTATAGCTGATCGAACAAAGAGAATAAAACTCATCTGTGATCAATATTGACAGGAAATAATCAGACTGCAGTTATTGAGTTCACTGTTTGTGTTAATTGATCGGTTGATCATCTGTTATTGATACTGATATAGTTATTGATATTGCTGATATTGATCAATATGAAACATTGAACAGTTTACTGGTTGAACCGGTTGATAAAGTGGTTTTTAAAGTTGATTTCAATCGTTTTGATTCCTGTTTAAACACAAACCGGTTCCTGTAGACCCTGATCCGGAGTCCAGAGGATCCAGAGCACATTAACTAACAAGATTTATTAAAACCCGGACCCAGAGAGAGCCAGACCTCAGCAGGGACATGAAGCGCTCCTCCGCAGCCAGGCTGGCATCGATGGTGACGGACAGAAAGCGCGGATCCACCCGGCGGACCAGATCCAGCCGGTCCAGCCCCACAGCGGGGTCAGAAGAGTTCTGGTCCGGGTCTCTCATGTGGACTGCGTCAGTCCGGGAGCAGATGAGGGACAGGAGCACCAGGACCGCGACAGACTTCATGACTGCAGACCGACACATGCTCAACACTTCCTGTTCACACCGGGACCAGGTCGATCCTCCACAGACCTGCAGGGGGACCACGTACACACCGACAGAGACCGGAGTCCGGAGTCCGGAGACCAGAGACCGGAGTCCGGAGACCAGAGACCGGAGACCAGAGACCGGAGTCGTGGAAGAAGTAAAAGTACTACCACAGTATCAAAGTACTCCATAACAAGTAAAAGTATCTGCTTATAATCCCCATTTCACTAAATGTAACTGTAATCTGATTACATATTTTGTTCTGTAACTATAATGAATAACTGTAATGGATTAATTGACTGACCACGGCCATATAAAGTACTCCATTACAAGTAAAAGTAGTACCACACCAGTTACTTTAGTCAGTAACCTAATCCAAGTATCACAATATTAAAGTAACTTTTTTACTTTGTTGATCTGAGTCAAATCAGTAATCCTGCTAATTCCTATTTTAATTGAATGTAACTGTAATCTGATTACATATTTGTTAAGTAACTGTAATGGACTAGTTACCTTGTGTCCTAATTACGTAACTCAGTTTCATGTAATCTATTACTCCTGAAGCCTGCCTACCACAGTATAAAAATACTCCATTACAAGTAAAATACTCAATATAATAATAATCTGAACAATAATTAAAAACCTTCTGTCTTTATGAAGTATATAAAGTAACAGAATACTCTCTGAACTGTAGTTACATCAATTACTGTCATTAGATAATCAATAATATTAACGATTGATTTAATATTTATTATTCTACGTCTCTTATAAACAAATACATTTATTATATTGTATTAAAATGTTTTACTGCAAAAGAAGTTCATTAATCAATAATATTTATTGATTATATTTTGTTTTATTAATCAAAGAAACTAAAGTTATTAAATAAATGTAATAACAGTAGAAAATATAGGGAAAAAAGTGTCGTACTGATTTATGTTAATCACATCAATAGCAATAATTACAATAATAATAATAATAATAATAATAATAATAATAATAATAATGACTGTGAGGATCAATGAAGTGTGATGTCAACATATACCAATAATTAAATGTGTGTTTTATAGTTTCTATTATTGATCAGTGGAGTAAAAATGAATGTTTGGGCACAAAAACATCAAACACAAAATATAAAAGTAACTAAGTACATTTACTCAAGTACTTTGTGCGAGTACACTCATAATGTTTATAAGTAAATAAAATAGACAGATATAAAAATAAACAATATTAAACACTTTCAGTATTTTAATGAAATATTTCTCCTCAGTTCGGCTGCGGCGCCGTCGGAAGGTCGGATGGCGCCGTCAGCAGCTCGTCCACTTCCTCCTGAAGTGCCGCCGCCTTCTCGTTCACCAGCATCTGGAAGCAGAGAGACGCCGTCTGATCACACGCTCACTGTAACAGTGTGATGTCACAGTGCAGCACACTCACTTTAGCCGACGCCACGATCTGATCCGCCTGTTTCCTGAACAGGTTCTCTATCGTCTCGGAGAGGATGGCGGGGTCGGCGTTCGCCAGGTGAGTCAGCGTTTTATAGCCGGCGTTGTAGAGCTGCTTCGCTCGCACCTGCAGGGAAAAACAGACGTTAGCTCAGGACACTCGTGAGCTCGTTAATGTAGTTTATAATATCACAGATTATATATTTTTACTTGGAAACAAGGATTCATTTCCTGTTGCCCGATGAACTTTAATAAACGTATTTCACTGACCTCCATGACTCCGGCGACCTCCATCAGAGGGACGAGTTCAGCCTTCACGCAGTAGCTCAGCCTCCGGGTCAGCTCCTTCAGCAGAGCCCTGAACGGCCAGAACTCCTCCAGCTCCTGAGCACAGACAGGAACATTGATTAGTCTGACAGACCTGAGATCAGCTGGGTGTCGCTCTGACAGTTTCAGTATCGGTACCTCGGTGAAGTGCAGCACGCAGGAGCAGAAGGCCGACGAGGAGCTGAGCAGGCTCTGGATGAAGCCTCGGCTCAGCTGGAACTTGTCGGCGACGCTCCACAGGTCGGTCTCCTTCAGCAGAGTGAACAGGACCAGAGCCAGGTACAGCCGGCCCACCACCTCCAGGTTCACACTCTGAAACACACAAAGGAGACGTGGTGTGGGTCGGCACAACCAGGACGGGTCTGGTGGGCCGTAGCACCCATTGTTCTGGTCTGCTCTAGTGCGACATCTAGTGGCAGTAAAGTTCATATATAAAACCTTTAATTTAAGTTAATAGATTTCTGAAGTTAGTAGTTGTTGTTTGTTCCACTAACAGTAGTTGTTTGTTCCACTAACAGTAGTTGTTGTTTGTTCCACTAACAGTAGTTGTTGTTTGTTCCACTAACAGTAGTAGTTGTTTGTTCCACTAACAGTAGTAGTTGTTTGTTCCACTAACAGTAGTTGTTGTTTGTTCCACTAACAGTAGTTGTTGTTTGTTCCACTAACAGTAGTAGTTGTTTGTTCCACTAACAGTAGTAGTTGTTTGTTCCACTAACAGTAGTTGTTGTTTGTTCCACTAACAGTAGTTGTTGTTTGTTCCACTAACAGTAGTTGTTGTTTGTTCCACTAACAGTAGTAGTTGTTTGTTCCACTAACAGTAGTTGTTTGTTCCACTAACAGTAGTTGTTGTTTGTTCCACTAACAGTAGTTGTTGTTTATTCCACTAACAGTAGTTGTTGTTTGTTCCACTAACAGTAGTTGTTGTTTGTTCCACTAACAGTAGTAGTTGTTTGTTCCACTAACAGTTGTTGTTGTTTGTTCCACTAACAGTAGTTGTTTGTTCCACTAACAGTAGTTGTTGTTTGTTCCACTAACAGTAGTTGTTGTTTATTCCACTAACAGTAGTTGTTGTTTGTTCCACTAACAGTAGTTGTTGTTTGTTCCACTAACAGTAGTTGTTGTTTGTTCCACTAACAGTAGTTGTTGTTTGTTCCACTAACAGTAGTTGTTGTTTGTTCCACTAACAGTAGTTGTTGTTTGTTCCACTAACAGTAGTTGTTGTTTATTCCACTAATCACCAAAGTGAACAGAAACAGAATAAAACTCATTAAAACCGTCTCTGCCTCTTCTGGCTATGATGGAGGTAAATGTTAACCCATTGGAGGAGGAGCTTCTAACCTTTTTCACCGTCTGTCCTGCAGCTTTTCTGGCAATGAAACTCTCGGGCACTCCGACAGCCGCAGACATCTTCTGCTCAGCAGCCGACAGCAGGGTGAACTGCAACAACAACACCAACCGGTTCACAGCGAGCTGACACACAGCGACTATACCACGTCCCACAGCGACTGTAGGACGTCCCACAGCGACTGTACCACGTCCCACAGCGACTGTACGACGCCACTGTCAACGTCCCACAGCGACTGTAAAGCGACTGTAGGACGTCCCATAAACGTCCCACAGCGACTGTACGACGTCCCACTGTACAACGTCCCACAGCGACTGTACGACGTCCCACTGTACAACGTCCCGCAGCGACTGTACCTGTCTGTAGTACGTCATCCAGTCGGGCTTGCACTGCGTGATCATGTCGTACGGCGTGACCAGGTAGACCAGGTGCAGGCAGCTGTTGAGCAGCAGACCCTCCAGACCTTTAGAGAGGTCCCTGTACAGGACACCGCTGTAGGTCAGATCCACTGAGCCTGAGGAGGACAAACAGCCAACAGCAGCTCTGTGAGGCTAACAACAACAACAACAACAACACTGACCAATCAGAACATTTTATTTTTCCTGTTTTCATTGTTTATCAACTAACTAACCATTAAAAACCTTTTTTAACTGACTGACTTTAACATTTAACCAGCTAGTTAGCATTTTGCTAACATTAGCTAACTTTAGATGTGACTATAAATATGTCTTTTATCTTTTAACCATCTTAAAACTGTGGTTGTTTTTTCAGCACAGATTAGCCTAGCATAGCATATCTAAGTATGGGAAGGGAGGAAGTTGACTGAGGCTTGCTCAACTGTGATTGGAGCACAGAGCGAAAGGGGCGGGGCTTAGGATGGATGATCTCAGTTATATTTCTCACTGCTCTTTGCTACGGACGTTGCAGCTGTGACATTAACCTTTATACGTAGCTTTTCCCAGCGCGGTGACCTGCAGAGTCTGACCGTGTGAGTCTTCTGTCACAGTGATGAGATCTTTGTCCCTCAGGAGGTCGACGCTCCGTTGAACCGCCTCCCGCAGACTCTTGTCCACACACAGCTGCCTCTGCTGGACGTACAGCAGCGTCCCACACAGGAAGTCCCTCAGCTGGTCCGGCGACGTGGTGATCTGTGACAAACAAACAGCCGTGATTGGTTGCTCAGGGTGGCGTGCTCAGGGTGGACAGGAGGAATAAACACAGAGGGTTTTTACATTCAGTCCAATGAGGGACAGGATGAGACTCAGGAGGCCTTTTCCATCGTGGAGCAGCAGGTTGCTGTAACAGTTCTCCATCGGCGAACACACGAGTGTTTGAGCCTGAAACAAACAAACAGGAAGAGTTTCATCTCATTTATATATTATTATATTATATTATATATTATATGTTTCCTTCTTGTTTCTTCAGTCACCATGTTTCTGTCTTTGTCCTGCAGGATGAGGATACTCTCTCCCTCGGTGTCGATGCCGGCCCGCCCGGCGCGTCCCACCATCTGTTTGTACTGGCTCCTCTTCAGGAAGTCTGTGGCCACGTACGGCGAGCGCAGAATCACTCTGTAGGACATCAGAGGACCATCAGACGTACTCAGCTTTAGACGGGTTGAAAGGGAATCTTAAAGCAACATTATCCTCCCATTAGTGTCCTTATAGGAACTGTCAAACAGATTAAAGGACCAAACCAGGGTTGTCGTATAATTCAGTTTACAGGACTCTTAAAGCAACATATATTAAAACTGTCAATATGTTTATATGGTAAAAAGCAGTTGCCATTTAGGGGATGTCATCAACTGATACTTCGGTACAGCATACAACGGATCTAGTCTGCCGTTAATGCCACAGGAAGAAGTAGAACGGCGACAGCACTGTTGAAGGCTCCGCCTCAAACGGGAGGAAAGACTCTGAACTCTGAACAACTTGAAAGGCGTTTTCTCACGTTGGTTTCGGCGCCTGCAGAGCGGCAGGAGGAGTAACGAGGACTGTTGGTATCAATACAAACACCCAACTGAGGCAGAGAGACGGCTACGTGCAGCTGTCTGTAATGTTCACATGTTTTTAATAAAGGACTGTATGAAGTGTAAGGATTTCACTGATGTTGGTATGGTTACCAGATAAGTTCATTTAACTTTAAAAAATGTGTAAGTTAATAAAACATCTTTGATTAAACAGCTTTTGTAATTTTTATTTGTCCTGTAAAAACAAAAGTAAAAAGTTCGTAATCAGGAATGTTTCTGTAACTAAAACTAAGTTAGTGTCACTGACTTTTATTAACTTAAAAAGAGTTGGTGTGACTTATATTTTGGATGTAATGTGTTTAAAATAACTTCAAACTCTCCTTCCAGAGATCTCAAACTATTAATTCACACATTCATTTTCTCCTGTTTAGATTACTTTGATTCCCTCCACACAGTCAGTCCAAACTGTTCACCAGAACCAGCCGTCCCATTACTCCTGTTACCTATAGACCCTGCTGATCCTCCGTGACCCCCAGTTACATCTCTGACCTCCTGGTTCCTCCACTGCTCCTCAGATCTTTTATCCAGCTGCAGAAGTAAAAGGAACCGTTGCTGTTTAATCTCCGACCCGGAACCTCTGGACTCACTATAAAAGCCTTTTTATAGATCTCTAACCTGTGGAATGAATTTAACTTTATAAGCTTCTATTCTGACAGATTCACTGTTTTCTTGTCTCCGACGTTCGTTCTATTAAATCTACTTTACATTTTCTGTTTTCTCAGAAGAACCAAATGCTGACATACAGACCTACAGTGACCCCTAGTGGAGGAACCACTGTACTGCAGCACTGGTTGGGAGCCTCTCAGAGCCTCAGTGATTTACTGTAACAGCTGTTGGTGGTTCTGATCCGACCTTCCGGCTGTGTGAGCCGGTTCCATACAACCTGCAGTGTATCTGTGGCTCACCTGCGGGCAGGTAGGTTGATCCCAGCAGCCAGGGTGGAGGTGCAGGTGAGGAGGCAGAGGACCCCGCTGGAGTACGCCTCCTCCACCAGCTTCCTCTCCTCGGAGGTCAACCCGCTGTGGTGGTAGGCCAAACCGTACGGCACCGTCCTCCGGAGCACCGGGCACACCGAGCCGTTCCCGGTGTCCCGCAGCTCGCGGAGGAGGATGGCCTTCTCCGCCTCCCGGTGCCGCAGGAAGTCCCTGCAGGAGGAAACACAGAGTGAGCGGCGGTCGGCGGGAGCGTCAGCGGGAGAGCGGTCGGACGGTGACGTACTCTTTGAGGTATTTACAGATCATCCCTGCAACGTTCTCACAGTTCTTCTTGGTGGGACAGAAGACCAGACAGGAGTGAGCTGGGATCACTTCAGTCACCAGAGCGATGATGTGATCCGGGTCCAACTTCTGCATCCCGCTCGAGTACTGAGGTAAGAGGTCACAGAGGTCACAGGTCACAGAGGTCACACTCATTATATATCAGACTGCTGTTCATTATGTAAATAAATGGCTTTAAAATATGGAAATGTTGTTTCTGTTACACTGATTGATGCTAACCTATATATACACATACATACAGACAATATCTCAGCAATATCGGAGGTTTTGGGGTTATTGAGGACGCTGAATCCATTTATGTTTAAACCAGATTATTTAATCTCCCAGTGGCTGATTGTGATTCATTCTGAGGTTATTAATAAGATCGACATAAAGCAACAATGTGTATCATTGAGGCATTATACTGTAAACTGATGTACAAGGGAATAAAATCATTGTTTATATTGGTAATAATAAGAATTGTAGATAATAATTTATATAACAGTATATTTTACCTTTTTAGTCTGGCTTTTAATAGATTTTATTTACTTTATGTTTTATTATTACTTTATGCCATTATCCCTTTTTTCTATTTAAACATTTTAATCTGGTCTTTTTATTTCTCTCTTTACTTTGTGTTTTTATTTATTCATACATTTTAATCTGTTTTATGACTTTATTTTTTTGTACATCTGACTCAGTTTTATTTGGTTTATCCTTTTCTAATTCTGCCTCCAGTGTTTCCTCAGCATTTGAATTTAGGGTTTTATTGTTCACAAAGACACTTATAAATAAAGTCTGATTGATTGATTGATTGATTGATTGATTATGTTTACGTCTCCCTCGTCTGGATGTTGTTCTTACTTTAAAGTTGAGAAGACGTGAGAATCTGAAACAGTCCTCTTCCTTCGGGTCCACTTCGTAGATCGTGTCCCTCAGTTTCACAAACTCCTTCAGCTGAACCTGAAAACAGAGAAAAGTTTCACTACAGCGAGTAAACTGACTGAATGCTACGGATCTAAACTTTAAAAAGAACAGCTGCATCTAGTTTTCTATGATTGAAATGTTTAGCTACGCTTACGCCAAACATTTATAAATATACACAGGATCGGGACTTTAAATGACCCGGGTTGGATTAAGGGCAAAAAAGCTGATCAGGAAATCTCTAATTTTAGGTGACTTCATTTTTAAACATTTATTTTGTTGTGTAACTTAAAATGTTCAATGTGAACAGTTTCAACAAATATTCTTTTTAAGTTAAAATATTTAATCACGTTACATTATATTGTTAAATATGGCATCAAGTTCCTAAAAATAACAGGAAAACTCATCTCTGATCAATAATCTGCTCAACATTCATCCAAATCTCTGGTTTTACACAAACTTCCTGCAGTTACTGAGTTTACTGTTTGTTTATTGTTCCGCTGATCAGCGGTTCTGTGTTGGTTGAATTCAGTCAGTTAACTCACTGATAGACGAGCTCCCTTAAGGAAACAGGTTGGGAACCACTGGTTCTATTTAACAGTTAAATCTCTTACAGGTCTGAAGTCGTTGGTGTAATTTTCCGCCCTCAGAAACATCTGCAGGTCTCTGATGTTTCCCAGCGTGGCGCTCATTCCAATAATCTGAGTGGATTCTGGAAACAGAGTGAAAGGATCCATTAAGAAGGTTTTAAAGGTTCAACAGGCTGACTGATTGAAGTGAAACTTACTGCTCGTGTAAAGAACTTTGGCCAGAGTCATTTCAATAACGGCCCCTCTGCTGCCGTCACCCAGCATGTGAAGCTGCACACAGGAGAACAAATGTTGAGCCTCCGACCTTTACTTTCATACTTAAAACCTTTTATTCAGACTGTACCTCGTCCACCACCACCAGCCCGAGGTTGTCCACCCTGCCGCTCTCTATCAGAGAGTTGACGAGGCTGTGGGCTTTCTCTATTGTGGCGATGTACAGCGACGCCTTGTTTCTTCTCTTCACTGGAGGGAACCTGCCCTTGCTGCCGGCGTACTCTTCCACCATGAAGTCCAGCTCCAGGCCGAAGCTCGCCAACCCACGAACCTGCAACAGAACACAGCTGAGAAGGTCAGGAAAGGAGTCCCACAGGGCTCTATTCTTGGTCCTCTAAACCAGCAGTTCCCAAGCTGCTTCCTTAAGGGACCTCTTTTATATCACAGAATAAACTGATGAGCCCTGAGTAAGTGACATGTTTTATATTCTATTGATCAATAACAGCAGAGAACAGCTGATCAACTGAACAACACAAACAGTGAACTCAATAACTGCAGGAAGTTTGTGTAAAACCAGACATTTGGATGAACTTTGAGCAGATCATTTGCTGTTTAGGGAACTTTTGTATGTATTATATGTATTATTAGAACTTAACAGACAGATTCAGTGTTTTCTTCTCCCTGAAAGTTTAGATAATAATTTAAACATGAAAAATAAAATGTTTTCTTACATCCCTTAAAATCAAGAACGCCTCCTGACCCCCCGTGAAGCTTTGGCGACCCCTACTGGGGGTCCCGACCCCCAGGTTTGGAACCACTGCTCTAAACATAAATAATATCTCATCTGCCACATTGTAAAGTACATTTCTATGCAGATGACCTCGTTTTATATTCCTCTTCTCATGTAGGAATCTGAAAAACAGATCTTATCTTTTTTTTTTTAACGGTCTGTCTTTGGTCGCCGTACCTTCTCCTGCACCAGCGATATGTACGGTAAGATGAACAAACAGTCTTTCTTCCTGCACAGCAGTTCTCTGAGGATGAGGATCTCTGCAACCAGGGTTTTCCCTCCGCTGGTGGGAAGAGAGTAGATCAGGTTCTTCCTCTGCTGAACGCAGTCCAGGTTCAGACACGTCTCCTGCCAGTCTGAAGAAATAAAGTAAACTGTAGTTCTCAGTTTTAAGGTACAATAACTTAAAAGAAGAGTTTGGTAATTAGGGAATTAATCTTCAGAATAAATGATTAGTGGGAAGAAAATACAAAAATATCAGAAAACAGTGAAACATTTTCACATTAAAGGATCCGACCAACAGTCCAAAACTCAACGAGACTCAACTAAACATCAGATCCTCCCATTATAAAAGCTAAAACCTTATATCTTTATTTTAGAGTTTAATGAGCTAATTACACAAACATCTCTGTATATAATACTTGGATGAAGAAGTATTTGGGTGGAATAAACCTTTAAAAGTACAATAGATGGCAGTATTTAGGTGGTGCTGTAGTGAAAAGAAATTATGAATTATTTTGCTGCGTCACCATATAAAGTCTTGATTCCTCTCAGTTTGTACATCAGGTCTTTCACTTTGGTTGGGAGTCCGAAGAACGGCCCGAGGTCGGTGGTCTCTGCGGATACGGTTTCCATGGCCTGCATGGCGACGCTGATCTCCTCTGAAACCACCGCTTCCTTCAACACGACAGTCCGTGAAATGCTGGAGGGAGACGCTGCGTTACTGACCATCGTCCTCTTCAGCTGCTCCGTCACGCTCCTCCTCGCCCTCGCCGGCCTCTTGCTTTTATCCTCCACGTTTCCCGCGGCAGACTTTCCGCCAGCGTCTCGCAAAGGCGTGGAGGTTTTATCTCCGTCCTGCAGTCGGCTCCTCTTCGCGTTCTCCACCTGTTCCTGAAACTGTTGCTGGCTGGGCGGTAATTCCTCCAGGGGTTCGTCCCCGAGGGCGTCCAAGATGGAGTCGGTGAGGAAGTCTTCGCAGGACTGTTTCCAGACGGCGTCTTTGGGGGGACGCAGAGAGGTGAAGTCCGGCTGATCGGCGGCTGAAGGCCGGACGTCGCGCTGCCGTTCGGTTTGTTCTGCATCGTCCAGCTTTGCCAAGAAAGAGCTGTCCTCCAGGATGCTGTCATAGTCCCCGAACAAATCCTCGCTGTCGCTGCAGAACTGACGACAAAACACAGTCAGTGTACAAATAATGCCGGTTCAGACCTTTTCAGACCACGATGGAGGCAGATTAAAGGACCAGTGTGTACGATTTACTGACATCTAGTGGCCACAAGAGGAGCTGCTCCCTCTGTAGATAAAAACCTCAAATAAACAATTAATCTAGGAGATAAATATCACTGATTCCAGGGTTGCTGCTCTTTTTAAGGAATCATGTTCCAGGAAAAAGAATATTAATCTTTTAGAAAGTGTTGATCAACCACAGCAAACAGATATTTGATCATTAATCCTCATTAATGTGTGGAACAACGAGAAGTTCCATCACAGCAGTTTCACTTTGAATCTAATAAACCAGTTTGAAGAGCGTCCGCCCAACAGTCGAGTTTCAAACTAGATACGCAGCGAGGTGATCTGAGGGAGGAGCTAAAATACATTTTAATCAATGTCCAGTATTGGCTCTTTGTGGCCACCGTAGTTTCTCCTACACGCCTGTAAGGCTGAATGGTATTCAGTTGGGTGCGATGTAAACCCTCCACACTCGTCCTTTAATGTGAACATCTGTAAACATTCTCGTTGATACCTCAGCAGCTGGAATATCAGCCATGATGCTGAACCTCCAGTTTATGGAGCATCCTCCTCCTCCTCCTCCTCCTCTCTTCCTCACAGGTGTCAGGTGACTCTTCAGGTTGTCCCTTGACCTCTTCCTCGAGGAAACTCTCTTCACCTTGATCTCTCGGCTCCCAGCATGCATTGCAGCCAGCTGTCACCCCAACCGCCTGATGCTAACATGTTAAACAGGGTCAGCTAGCAAACAAAGCGTCCTCAAACTACAGAAACAGCTGCCACACACACACACACACACACACACACACACACACTAACAGTCAGTGCTACACACCGGTTCTACTTTAAACTGCAGCATTAACACCTTTAAACCAGTTAGCCTGACAAACCTACCTAACGTTATTTAAACTGTTAACCTAGCTCACTGCTGTAGTTCACTCTCTAATTAATCTCTAATTAATCTCTAATTAATCTCTAATTAATCTCTAATGCCTGTAAAATGTATAAAAGTTACTAATTGAATTTAAAGCTGCTCTGTTGTTAATAACTGATTTAAGTTCGCGAGGAGGATTCAACGTCTCAAAGAGCCAACATTTAAAAACCGTCAACAGCGACGTCAGAGCAAGAGACAAATCCGCGTTCACTTCCGTCTTCGCTTTACCGGCTAACAAGCTAGCAGAGTTAACGTTAACGGTTTAATTCCAAGATTATTTCCTGATAGTTGTAAGTTCAGCCACCGTAAACTTCACATAAGTTGTTTAAAATAAAGCCGTTTGTTACCACTGTGACGATTTGCTTAATCGGCGCCATTTTCTTCCACTTACTGTGTTATCGTCCTTGTAGCGCGGTATGAAAGTGCGTAGCGTGTTACTGTGGGTTCAATACGGTGGCTGTTCATACAGATGCTTTTAAAATGTCACATACGTTACTTAATGAGGCGTTTTAAATATAATTACTATCACTACTTTGCTCAAATAAGTAGCAAGATGTGCTAACGCTACGCTTTCAGTTATTTCGGTGTTTTCTATCTTGCGGTCGTTGTATCTTTGAAGAGGGTAACATTTCTTCTCTTCCGGAAACGTTAGATTTGAACCGTTAAACTACATTCACACCAAAAACTCAACAACTCACATCACATATTTATTTATTATTAACAAATAAAGTTACATTTCACATGTAATTTACCCCCAAATGTACCAATAGTAACTGTAGAAGAGGTAGGAACTAATAGTTAGGAAACGCGGTGAAGCGCCGGAGTTCTCGGTGGACAACTTCCGGTCCTGTGTGCGGTGAAAATGTTGTGTGTGAGAGGATTTCAGAGGTTAAAGGCGGTTTTATCGCCGCCTGGAAACCAAAGTAAGACTCTTCAGAGTTTCTGTCACTGTTTCAAACTCTTTATTAACATGTGGAATAAACCGAAGACTTGTTTTACGTTGAAAGGTTTGATTCGGTGTCTTCCGGTTGCTAATGCTAACGTTAGCCTGCGAGCTAACGAGCGGTTTAATGTTTTTCTTCTTCTACAGGTTTAAGAAGTCTCACAGCGTCATCAGACGGAGTCCAACAGAGAGAGGAGGTACTGATATCGATCCTGATATCGATCCTGATCCTGATATCGATCCTGTTATCGATCCTGATATCGATCCTGATCCTGATATCGATCCTGTTATCGATCCTGATATTGATGAAGATATTGATGTTTATTGATGATGATTAATGATGATTGACGTTTATTGATGAAGATATTGATGTTTATTGATGTTTATTGATGATGTTTATTGATGAAGATATTGATGTTTATTGATGAAGATATTGACGTTTATTGATGAAGATAATGATGTTTATTGATGATGATGATTAATGATGATTGATGATTATTGATGAAGATATTGATGTTTATTGATGATGATTATTGATGAAGATAATGATGTTTATTGATGAAGATATTGATGTTTATTGATGAAGATATTGATGTTTATTGATTACAGTAGTATGTGAGTCAGGGTTTATCATGTTATTTTCTCCTTCAGTGGGTAAAGATGGACAACCCGTTTAAAGAGCCACAGAAAGGCTGCATCCTCTGCAACGTCCCGGTGGACTACAAGAACATCCAGGTGAGCCAGTCGGGCACCCGTAGATCTCCAACTGGGTTCAGACTGTGTGTCAGTGATGGACACTGAGAGGATTTATAGTGAAGGACGATGAGTCAGGTGTTGGTTTGGTAAAAAGCTGCAACTAACACTTATTGATCGATGGATTAGTTCATCCAGAAAATAGTTGTCAGTCGATGTATTGACTAATCGTTGCAGCTGTTAAATAAACACAAACAGAATAATAAATAATAAATAACTAAAGTTGTAACAATAATTATTAGACGTGTTTCAGTCAGAACGATGTGAAGCTGTTGTATAACTCGTGTATTCACTCTTCCTCACAGCTGCTGACGCAGTTCGTCTCGCCGCACACGGGCAGAATTTATGGCCGACATATCACCGGTGAGCAGCCGATCGGTTCACTTCCTGTTGGCGGCGGCGGCGGCGGTTTGATTTTGTGGATTCAATAAAGATTGTGTTTATTTTTCAGGCCTGTGTGGAAGAAAACAAAAAGAAATCTCCAGAGCGATAAAGAAAGCTCAGTCAATCGGTACGTGTCCATTAACCTCTCCACCTCAGACACATTTTACCTGCTGCTTTTCTGTTTCTGCTATAAATGAAAGAAATTAAAGACGGAACCGTTTCCTCCAGGTTTCATGTCGGTGACTCACAAACATCCACAGCTCATGAAGGACCCAAACATCTGTGCTATCAACCATCTGCAGTAGTGTTCATTAAAGTCTGCTCCAGTTTCTGTTTTACCACTTCTACAAAGAATAACTGTTTAAGTTCTGCTCTGTTGTCTTCACTCTTTGGCCGAGCTGTATTCAGTTGGTTGGTCCTTTAAATGTGTTCTGGGGAATATTTCATCCTTTGTGGATGTAAAATAAATCTACATTATATTAATTACAGCCTTAAGTTGTCTGATTGAACCCGTTGACACTGATGGTGTCACAGATGGTTGTGGGTTTATAATCAGGAATCTGTGGTTGCTGCGGCGGCGGTCAGGTGACTGAACACCTCATCAGCTGTTGGAGTCCAAACAGGAAGTTGGTGCAGCGACGGATCAGCTGAGGAAACCACAGAGGAAATTCTTCTCATGTTAAATAAAGTTTAAAAAACTAAAAGCTGTAAAATAACATTAAGTAAACGAACGACTGCGACTTTAACAAAAAGATCATCTTTATCAGAACACAGGAACACTTTTAAACATCAAAATATATCCAATAACTTTACATGTTTCCGGGTCAGAACTGGGACATTAAACCCGGTTCATGTGAATCAGGAGCTGCTCTTCCTGCGTTTGCTCTCCCTCACCGGCGGCACTTCCTTCAGCCTCTTCCGAGAGTTCGTCCTGCTGGGATGCAGCAGCGAGAGCGTTTCCTGACTGTCTGTGGCGTCTGAGTGGACCGGCGTCGCCATGGAGACGTCCTCCTCGGCGCCCCGGTGGACGCCGGGAACTGGAAAAGCCTCGAGTGTTAAAGTCTGAGTGTGGAAGAGAGGAGAGCAGGCGAACAGAGCTCTGACGGCCTCGTGGAGACGCAGGTTGGTCCTCTGCTCCGGTGGAGCTCCGTCGGAGGCTGCGGACAGACACAGCCTTCAGTGAACTGCAGCTAACAGCGCCGCCAGTGGCCGTTCAGTGAACTGCAGCTAACAGCGCCGCCAGTGGCCGTTCAGTGAACTGCAGTCAGCACCAGCCAACAGTGACAAATAAAAGTGTAAAATAACTGACAATCACATTTACAATAACGTTACTCTCTGTAAAGTTCCTATATTCTACATAGAACATACAAATCAGTCCACAGTAGGGATGTAACGATACACTCAACTCGATACGGTTCACGATTTTTTGTTCACGATACGATTTTCTCACTATTTTTTTTTTAAAATCAAAATGAGCTACAGTCAAATTATGACCAAATAAAATTATCTTTTATTCTTAGGAGGTGCTTTCTTTACAGAAACTCTGTAAAACAGTCCTCTTATAAAAAGTGCGACTTACATGGTCATCTTAAACAACCAAATACATGACAAATATCTCCTTTCTTTAGAAACAATCTCACAAGTAAACTGGTGTTAACTGGTGTAATTCAATATCTTAAATAACAGAAGAATATAAAATCTTGACCAAATAAAGAGGTCCTTTCTTTACAGAAACACTGTTAAACACTTTGTCTTATAAAAAAAGTGCAACTGAAGTAGTTATTCCCTTAAATAATAAAGAATAACTGGATTTTTTTAAGGAGATGCAGCCTCTCGTCAGGGTGGTTTGACCCCTCGGCAGTTTTCGCTCAGGAGGTGGCGTAACGTTACTTTGCTTCTCACTGTGATGGCGGCTAATATGCTGCTGCATGTTGCTGGTGTTGGCGGTATATGTTGCAATATTTACATGCTGTTTTGGTTTTGTCTGTCCATTTCTCACCGGTTGTATTTGTGTATATCGGGAATCCAAAATGCCGCCACACAGGTGATTTAAAACCGCTCGGTGCATCCTCTATTTCAAAGTTGTTGCCTACCGTCGCCAAGTCTTCCCTCTGTGCCCCGTACCTACGTAGTGACGTAAGTCACGTGACTTGACGTCTGACGTTGAACAAATGAATCACCAACCAGTGACTTTTTTTTTTAAGATAACGTAACCTATTTCTTAAAAAAAAAAAAAAAAAGAACGTATCCTACTTTTTTCTGTCAACCAGTGCTAATCGTCACCCATTTGTACCAACTTTTAATCGTGTCACGATGCATCGTCACATCCCTGGTCCACGGGCAGCAGAGGAACAAAGCTACGCTACAACCTGTTAAAACATACAAATAAAATAACGGTTAGAGACAGTCTGACACATAAAGACCACAGCGAACCTTTTCCTGCTCCACGCTGCTTCTTCTCACTCAGTCTCCTCCTGAGAGCTGAAACCTCTGCCTGTAGTGTTTCCACCAGACGTTCACTCTCCTCCACATCCCCGCACGCTTTCTGTGCAACAGGAAACACAAAGGATGAGCGAGTGAGGCAACAGGAAGTTCAAACACACCCTCCTCCTCCTCCTCCTCCTCACCTGCAGCTCCGCCTGCAGAGAGTCGTTCATTTTATTCACTTCGTTGACTTCTCTCAGCAGCCCGTTGGAAGAGAAGAATCTGGAGCTGGAACAGCAGAAGAAATGTATTATTATTATTATTATTATTATTATTATTATTGGAAGAAACATGAGCAGATGCACAGATGTGATGTGAGGCTCCTCCTCCTCCTGTTCGCCGTGTGCAGTGTGGTACCCGTGTTTCTTCATGGTGAGGTTGTAACCGGCTGCAGAGCACGCAGCGGACACCTTCCAGTACGCCAGCTGCTCCAGTAAACCCAGATTGTTGACCAACACAGGAACATTCATGAACTGCCTGCACGACACAGACAATAATAACATTATTAATCAGCCTTCAGCAGTCAGCTAGTGTTTCTGTAGTGGAGACTAAACGTTAACAATGATCCATATCAGCAGTTTGAATCCAACTAAAAGCTCCCTGCACCAAACTCCCTTTAAGAAATATCACATTCTAACAATTCCTAACGTGTTCGTAACAACACGTAACTCTAGAAACACGAGCTAAAGGCCGTCATATGTCCACAGTCACAAATCCCGACAGGAGCTAGCACAGATTGTTGGAGTCCTTCATACGTTTTGGTCTCAGTCTTGTTTTGGGGGCTCGTCCAGGATTTAAAACTGAAAACCGGGGCTAACATCCTGTAGTGTGACTCAGTGTTAATGATGAGACCTGTGAGTCACCTGCTGCGTGAGGTGAAGGCGGCGTACTCCATCCTGTGGGTCGAACCTGGCGCCGTTAGCTTGCTGGGCGTCAGCAGCACGAAGATCATGTGAGGGTTGGACAGCGAACTCTTCAGCTTCTCGTGGACCATCTTTTCTCTGAAGGTCATCTGCTGCTCCGTGTTCCTGCGCTGGCGGTACCAGCCGATCACGCTCTCCTGCAGGCGTCAAACACACAACGGCTCAGCCACACAACTCCTCCAGGCCACCGCTCAGTCAGCGTCGGAGGTTTTACCTGCTTATTGTCGGCCAGGATTTTATTGACAGCGTCCACGTTCACGTCTCCGACACTGTTGTAGAATCTGCAAACACAGAAACGTCTGTTAACACTTATATATATTATTTATATCTGTTAAAGTCTCCAACTGAAACCCTCACTGGACTAGAATAATAAATAATATATAATAATAAATAAACCCAAAGCTGCTTATTACATTTAGCTGTTTTAGACGTTTTACTGTGAAATCACAAACAGGAAGTCGAAAGGCTGATTATGATCTGTTGGTATAATTAGTGAACAATTTTATTTTTATAATCAAGAGCTGATAAAATATACAACAAAATAAAAGTTTAAAAAAAAGAATAAAACCAAATATAGTTTTAGAAATGGAGTTGTGTGCCTTTATTTCAAAATAAGAGCACACAGTTCATCATCCAGGATCAACAATGAGAATATTGTTATATAATTATTATTTTATCCTGATAAAAGCATGTTAGCCTGAATTAAACCACATCTGAAGAGCAGGACGCTGGTCTGAGATCAGATACTCACTGGTTCAGTTTGTGGCAGGCGATGTGCTTCTGGATATCTGATAAACACATACAGATATATTATTATTATTATTATTATTATTATTATTATTATTATCATAATGTGGCAGTGAGGATGTGACCAACATGAACTCACTGTAGATTTCCTCAATGTGGATGTTATCGGCCTGAGAGTCACTGATGGTGACCTGCTCCTCGAACCGGCTCTCCCCGAGGAGGAGACCTTCCTGCAGACAGACAACGAGGGTGTTAAATATTAATATTACAGTTTGACCTGTGCTCATTTCTATATGTTGAGGTCGCACTATTTCATGATTTTCAGTATAAAAGTATTTGTTGACCTGATAATCTATGAGTAAAACACTTTTAAGACAATTCAAGGCGCTTTACATAAGACATAATACAAACTCATTTAAATAGGATTCAAAAACTTAAAAAAAACATAATAATATTAATTATCATTAATAAATACATTTTGACTATCATTGTCATTTTTCAAGCAAAAATTGTGGAAATATGACAAATATTATCTGATTTAAGCCTCTCAGATAATATAATATAATAATAAAATAATAATAATATAAATCCGTATATTAATCAATTATTAAACTACTAATTAACTGCAGCCCCAGAATCGATTAAAACAGATGAACAGGGGACATTAAAAGGACACAGAGAGATATGATGATAATATTGTATTGGTGGGCGGTAACTGGGTACCAGGTCTTTATGTTCATATTTAACTCATAGTAATTACATATTGGTTTATAAATGTACCGAATGCACCAACAGACCCTGCTGATTGTTAAAATACATTTAATCAAACTTCACAAGCTACGTTTTATTTTCCACAATCGGTTTCATGTTAAATGAGAGTATTTTTGAACGGAGTCTGGTGTTTCTAGGCTGTTTACTCTTAGCTTGGTTTAAAAAGTTGCATAAATGGCGTGATGGGAGATTTTAGCTTCACTTTAACGACAAACTCTTCAAACTACAGGCTGAAACCTTCACAATTAAACTATTAAACAATAACTAATCAAGTTAAAAGTTAATTAATAGCTTTGGGACTCTTGTGTTCTTGCTAGCTTTCCTCCTCAACCTCCAGAAACGCGCTAACCAACCAGACTCCACTGCAAAACACATCGATTTTAACGAGCAATGAATGTCGGTCTCACCACGTCTGAATCACTGTTAACATGCTGGAACATGAGAGAAGCTAACACGATCCCAGACATACGGACAGTCGGTTCCGCCATGCTGCTTATTGACCACCGATACTGATCGATCAGAAGCGTTAATGCAGCGCAACATAAGCGCAGTGAAACTCTGCGTTTTCCAAGCGCAGTCCGCCATCATGAAGCTAAGCTAACGGAGGAGGAGTTCTGCTCCGAGTTGGACTCAAGACACTTTTTCTTTGTTTCAACGGAACATTTATCAGCTCCGGAACCGACTCATCGATTATCAGGTATTTATTCATGCAAACATATTTGTTTGTTGTTGTTTGTGTCACTGTTGAGTTCGTTTACTGTTGTTCAGATAAGAGAAAACAACCGGGACTAACGGTTCTAACGGTTCTAACGGTTCCTCTCCTTTAACGCAGGAATGTAACTCCACTCTGAAATACTCCATTACTCTTTACTTTACTCTTTATACTTGTGCTCACTCATAAGTTTTACAGACCTATTATTAAAGTGTACATAAACTGTAATAATCCGGTAATTAACAGTCACGGGACTTTTTATACATTAAGTACTTTTACTTTTAATACTTTAACTACATTTACCTGATTATTATTATTATAGTGGCACATTCAATGCAGGACTTTTACATTTCATTTATTTTTGTGGTAAAAGTATTTAAGTATAATCAGTATTAGTATTATTGCTGATTATTTTCTCCA